GGCTACCTGGGGGACTTTTTAAGCGGGATGGTTCTTATCACACAGATTAGATTGAAATTTGATATTTCATTGTATTAAGATGTGTACAAACTTCTGGTGGCTTTTCCAAGAAGTTACATTGGAGACTACCCATATTATTTGTTGGCTAGACCATATAATATTAGAGGAGGCATGATTCTGAACAAATTCAGGGCAAATACGACCCGCCTTCCTTGAAAATGTATGCTACTAGACCAGAATATCATATCATCATTTGTCCCCTCCACTTTTTTTCCCTGAATAAAAATTATAGCCTACATTTGAATCTGTAGCTCAGAGTAGCTGATTCAAAACTCAAAAATGAGTGATGGTCTTTTGCTAAAAATATAGGTAAAAGTGGTCAGAAAATTGCCTCAGACTCGCACCACAGAGCGCCTAGAATCCAAAATGTTCCAGGATTTGATACTCAATTTCTATCAAAGGGGCAAGGACCATTTGATAAAAGAAGTCAGGAAATCCAAACTAACTGAAACTGTCCAGGGACTAGAACAACAATTATGATATATATATCTAATCGCTACGAAAATCACCCAAATCAGTGAGGCCTATACATGTTGTACCGGTACCTCTCTCCTTTTAAGGGAAATTTCACAAATTCCTATATTTTTTGGGGGAGCCAATTCAGTCCACGCTATCTGGTCAGCAGCCGAAGGCAATTTTGACAGTCCGGGGTCCTGCTGAGCGATAAGGTCTGGGTTTGGCTTTCCCAATTAAATTCTCTACCAGCTCGCGGTTTGGTCACAGCGGTACGTAGTGCCAGGACTTCAAATGAATCATATTTGCAGGCAGTGTGTTTAAAAATATTATTTTAAATTGAATACACTTAAAACAAAATGATACCCGTCTTTTACTTTTGGGAAATCTTCTACAACAGTACATGTAGGACTGAAATACCAGAACCTGTCAATTTTGAGTTTCAGGTTACTCCACTCCAGTTGGTGAGCAGTTTACAAAGTTCTACATTATAATTTTATTTCTTGATAAAACTGATTAAAAATCCACTTTTCAAGTTAAACGTTGATATTACAAGTGATCTGTGAGAAAATGTTAATTTTGTTCCAACTTGCTCTGTTTACTTTATGATAAATGTTATTTTATTTTCATTTATTTATTGGCTTACTTTTTGTTATAATTTGGGAGGGGGGGGGGAGGGGGAGGGGAATGAGGGATTGGGGTCTGGTTGTAGTCAGCTCACAGCAATTTTTCCTTGACTGGAGACAAAATGACCAGACTTGTGGACTGAGTGCCCACAGCTTTGACAGTGAATGTTCAAAAAATATGGTTCCAATTAAACTGCTCCAAGCTGGATTGAATGTACAGGATGAATCATGGGCCTGTACCACACTGAGGAACTTTCTGGTTAAGCTCTGCAATGTACACATGCAAGATCAGCTATTCACAGACTTCACCAATTCAATTAGCTAAAATTCAATTCCAATGTGCACACTTTTTAAAAGTTGGCTTAAATGTTCATTGTTATACACTATTTAGAGTAAACCTGTTGTACTGCATACTGGCTTGATAAAGAGGGTTAAAATGTAGTTGAGAAAAAAAAATCAAATCGTTTTGAAAATTTTTCATGGTTCTGTAGGTAACAGCATTTGGGCATAACATGAGATGACATTCTTGGAATCAAAATGCTCAAAATGTTTCCTTGGACAATTTTTCTAAGGACGTTTATCTAAAATGAGCATTTCGAATTTAGGGAGTAGAACATTTTTTTCTACGTGTGTGTGTGCCTGTGGAGTGGAACTTGTCTTTTTTTTACGTCAAGTTTTAATTTGTTCACATTTAGGCCAAGATTGGGGAAAATAAAATCCAAGAAAATATTTTTCAGAGCCCCAGAGCGACACATGAACTCCTAAAAACTGCTCATTGCACTTCTTTTATATTGCTGACTGAAAAAGAAAAATTACAGTGATGAAAAGTTCTTTTTTTTTTAATTTTTGAAATTGGAAAAATAGTGAGAAAATCCCACCCCAGCACATTGCAATGCAATATGCTAACAGTCCCTGTACTCCCATGCATTCACAGTCAATGGATATCTGAAAGAGCGCCCTCGTGTGACCTGAGGATGTTATGATGGACATTCATTGGTGGAAAGTTCTCCATAAAGAGTGTCAAAGAACATTTGGAGTAATGTTAAAGCAATTATTCCCAAAGTATACTATGTCATAGTTTCTCTGTCAAAACTTTAAGTTTAAACAGTTGCAACAATATTTGCTATAAAATAATAACCCCCAAATCCATTCATTTCTGGAAATCGCAGCAAAAGCAAATTTTGTATTACATGTAATATCACTTTTAACAAAGAAAAGATCAAATCTCTTTAAGAGTATCAGAGAGAGATGTGATCGACCTTTGGTCTTAAGGAACAATGAGGTCTTAAGGAACAAACTACCGGGGTATCAGACTGATTTTAAGCATCAATTGGGATAAACTTTGAATTTATCGCCCAGCTAAATTTCCTGCAAATCAATCATAAAACAATGAATCATACATGTATTCAACAATAAGTCAGGCAAAACTATTATTTCCCCTCTAAAATGTCAAAGACTGCCCTGAGCAATTCCCACGATCGGCGGTGGCCTTTTCTGAGCCAGTGGAGAATTTCAAGGAAGGAAGGGATACTAAGGATTGAGGAAGGTTACTTTGGTCCAGTTTTAGTCAGTAAACCTTGGGTTCAGCAGATTGTTTCCTTGCATTTTAGTTTTGCAACCAAAACTCCAAGCAGTTTTGCAGAAAAAAAAAATGAGTGAGACAATGTAAACGTGAGGATCCTGTTCATCAACTTTTAACCCAATTGCGTCTATAGATACCACATGGTTGTATTCACTGAAGAATTTAAATAAAACCATGTGCTCCAGCGGTTTCAGGCACTAAAGTGAGTAATAGGCAGGGCAGTTTCGGGTGCTACAGTGACTAAAAAGTTAACAAGCTTGAATTATTTTCTGGGAAGTTTCATTCAAATTGTTCAATCTCGGCTTGTCAAAACAGATGCTCACCAAATTTCAACAAAAACATGTTTTCACAGGATACTTGATCCTATTATTTACTTACAATCGAGTACCGGTATGATATTTCTATGATATTTTAACCATTTCATTTTAGAATGTTTGCAAATCGTCATCATTACAAAATACCTATACTTGGCATTCGTGATACAGCTGGTTAATTTCCCGGACTTGAATACAAAAAAGGAAAAAGTTAAATACCAGAACGAATATTGTTTGGCAAAAGCAGGTACCAAGTAAAAAAAAAAAAAATTGTAAGGTTTATATTGCTCATGACAGCTTTCCAGCTCAATTGTGTTTTTGTTGTTAAAAATTGATTGAGTAAATAAAAGATACGTTTTTGGGACTTGAGTTGCAGAGCTCGTATCAGGAGCTTGCAACACCATCACGGTGTCTTTATCAACTGGCGGAGGGTACGAATTGGCCCACGTGTACGACTGCATCCTGTTGTGTAACAAAGCTTGGTCACGTGACGGGTCACGTGAGGGCCTCAACAATGCCAGTTGATAAAGACACCGTGATGGTGTCGCAAGCTCCTGATACGAGCTTTGTTACTCAAGTTCCAAAAGGGTATCTTTTATTTAAGTTAATTGATATAATAATGGGACAGGAAACAAACTTTAATGCTCGAAAGATTAATTGGTTTTGTGGTTTTTTTTTTTTAACCCTGTAGGTTAAACCTACAGACAGTACATTTAGACTGAGGCTCTGTAAACTTGGGCCAAGTTTTGCAGAGAAAATCGTACTTTGAGTGAGGCTTTGTGAACTTTCCAAGCTTCGACACCTGTTCACTAGTCGGGATAATTGTCATGGACACTGCGGATATTTTTGTCCACAATACACCAATTACACAAAGGTCAAGGAGCGCTCAACATTTACAAGGTTGGATGGAATATGACAGTGGCTTGGAGGATTAGAGGGTTAAGAGGAAGGGTCTTAATCCTGAACAAGGTCTACAGGGGAAGAGCGACAGTAATTTAAGACACAGACAAGCAATTGGGCCAGTCGTAAATTATGTACTGGACAGTCACTGGGGATGCATACAATGAACACCCATCCAGTGGACAATGCTAATTCATAGTGGGTGAAATTTGTAGCCTCATGAAAATGACATTATCTTAACCATCAATCATTTGATGGTATACATGCTCAACATGTGTGTCCACATGTTTGTCCTGTATGTACTAGTACTAGTCTGCACAATATGAAAACATACATTGTATGTGATGTATGCGAATGAGTGCAAACTTTTGACCAATTACAATCACAGCTTCAACTGCATGTTGTAAAAAGCTGACTCTGTGCCTTCCTTACCGGGTAGATGCTCTGCTTTACTTAACCCAGGTGAAAATTCCAGTGTAAACTAGTTCAACTGGATTCAACTGGTTTCAACTGGTACCAGTTGAAGTGGAAATTGGTGACTGGCTATGAACTGGTTTTAACTGATTTTAAACTGGTACAAACTGGTACAACTTGTTTTGAACCAGTTAAACAAGTCAAAAAAAAAATTCAAAATGAGTTAAACCAGTTCAAACCAGTCACCAATTTCCAGTTGAACTGGTTTTAACTGGAATTTTCACCTGGGAAAGTAAATGTCATGCATTTTATGAAATTGTGAGGCGTTCTGACAAAATGAGACGGATCTGGCAACAGGACGTACTAAGTGAAGGAAAATGCAAAATACCGAATGGGGGTGATTCTCTAAATAGACCCTTTCATAAAATTGGTCACTGCTCAGTCAACCATGAATGAAATAACATGACCAAACAGGACTTCAAAGAGGAGATTCAACCCTAGCAGAAGATATCTCCCTTTGATTCACATGTGCCCTACTTCTGTTCCAATTAGCAATAATATCTCGGTTTCGTTTTTTTTTAATCCACCCTGTATAAGCACATTATTATTATTATTAATGGATTACAAACGTTGAGATCAGGCTTACCCAGAGCTGGTTCTGATCTCGTCACAGACAGCAACAGGCCCGACGCTTTACCCTTCCGATTGCTGAAGGTGGTGTACAGCCTGCTCCCCATGAGGGCGGTGTGGCGACGCTCATTGCGCAAGTCCGACCGCGTCCTCTTGTAAATCTTCCGACTCGCCATGACTCCTCAGCTTATTCCCTCGGTTTTAGACTTGTGGTATATCCATGGTAATCTGTGTGGAGAAAAACAGAAAGGTGAAATTTCTTGCATGGCACATAATTGTGTCACGTACATGTACCTTACCACATCCTGTATGTTGTACAGGTAGATGGCGTTTCCTGACCATTCACGTCAAGCTCCTTGTGCAGGACAAACATCGTGCACACAATGCTTCAAGTGCGTATGGCAAGAAATGCTCACAAGAAAATTTGAACTGAATGTGCGAACCAATTGTGGTGTTTTGAGGGCCAGGGATTGGGGGGCAATGTTTTCAAAGGTCTCACCTCTCTCTTTGTCAACTGTTCAGTGAGGGGGTAGTTCGCACAGAGTCTATAATATAAAGCTACACAGCCATTGAACAATCCAGCAAACAATATCACATGTAATTAGATGCCATCACTTAGATGGTGCCATGCCAATGCGCATGCGGTACACATTCCTAAAGTTGGTATCCAAGCGTTTTGCTGACCGCATTGCCAAGCCTGTTACTAAATCAGTAAAGGCCAAATGAGGTCGCTGGATAAGTCAAACCTATGAAGTTACACTGTAAGTCCACACTGTAAGGTCCGTACTCAGCAAGAACTTAGAACGTTCAGTAAAACAAGAGGTACCTGAGCTCAACTCTACCAGTAGCTTGATTGCAGGAATAGTCCACAAGTTTCCAGTACGTGATCCTCACGAATGTGTTGGTGACGTCAAGGAACAAAACAAGTAAGAACACATCGCCAGATTTCCACAAGGAACTCCCAAAGCAGCTCACTGCCTATACGTGTAACTGGAAGTGCTTATAAAACCAAGCCACAAGTGTGCATCAAAATCTTGGCCTGGAATCGGCTTGTACCAAGTTGAACCACGCTAAGTGATCGTGTCCCCGTGCATGTCACAAGAAGTTACGTGTCCTCCCACCAAGCAAGAAGACCGTCCGCCCGACTCTATAGAGAATTCTCTTAAGTATCCTAAGAAATTTATCTGAAGTTCAGGATCAAGAATGGTTTTGGGAGTTTCCGTTCAGTTTATGAGCCGAGTGCTAGGTAGCTGTCGGGTACTATCGTGCGGTCTAGTTTTTTCTGCCTGTTCGGTAAAGCCGTACCACTGTAGTTCATGTCAGCCCGGAAGCGTAGTCGTACATGATTCAGGTTTTGATTCCCTGGGCTGACTCACAGCTGGTTGCTATCGGCAACGACAGGCTGCCCGGGCCGTCAGAGCTTAAGTCTCACTCAGTGGCTTGAGAAAAGACATGCAAAAGTGCTGAAATTAATACAGACAGATATGGCCACTCCAGAGCTATAGTCGAGTCTGTTACAAGTCAAATTTCGAGTCAAGTCACAAGTCGATTATAAGGCACTGGTAACAATTAAGTAACAGAGCCAAAGAAATACCTGTATCAGAGAAAGTTTATTTGAATAGCTTTTGACTTTGATGTGACTGAAGGATCTCTGATTGACCTGTAGCTGACTTGTGATGACCTGACAACACTATTAGGTGTTATCTGCTTTACTTCGATGCTTACCATTTTGAAGTAATTGTGGATAGATTGGCTCACTTATGAATAAATTTTTGGAATTGAAATTTTTGGAATTAGAAACTTTGAAATTAAAAATTGTATCCATTGACTGTTTTTTCCCCCTTCTCTTTATTCATTTAAAAGACTAAAATAATCAAATCCATATATTGCATATTGCATCTTGGCTGTTTTCTGTTAAACAATCTATGTCCTACTTCCCAGGAAAAGACCTTCCCACACCTTTGCTAATGTTTCCATCAGTTTTTTAAAAGTTTAATACGCACAGGTCGGATTAATAAAACTCTACAAACTGCAAGAATAAGCATTATTTGCAGCTCCCGGTATCCAAAAAGTAACTGACAATATTATTTTTGAAAAGCATACTTGGTTAGTAAGATAGTTATAGCACTAAACTCCCTGTGAAATTCTTCTTTCTGGCATGCTGTCATTTTGAAGAAAGCAATAAAAGAAGGTTCCAAAGATGCGTCTAAAGACGCATCTTTGGAAATTTCCGTTAGTAGTTTGCTGTATACGGAATATACAGCATTCGCCGAGCTAAAACTTCATCAGGTTAGTTGTTAAGCAACCCTTCTTTAGATTTTGAGCACTTTTGTTGCTTCAAACGAAAAAAAATGCACAAATGATATACTCTACCGGTACCTTTAAGTACTAGCTTGATCACATATATGATAATCCCAACATTTGGGCCCCGAAACAACTGCACCGGATGCTTTCTCCCCAGATTAACAAATATACAACTTCCAGAAGAGCTTCCCCAGGACAAAAATTGACTGTGACACGCTGGGGAAATCTCCCCTTCCTTCCTGCTCAATTCTTGCATAGCGTGAGCGCGAGCTCCTCTTCTCTAAAAAAAGGGAAAAAATCAGTCGGTGATTTCCGCTGGATCTGCCGTGGCACCTTGACCTTAAGAATGAGGACTGTGAATGTCACTTCGTGTTTCTCTAACAATGTGATGTTAACGTTGGAACGCTTGCACAGAATGTTGAAATGTCCTTCATTGAACTGGATGGCTTAATCCAAGTGTCTTAATGCTAGGAAGGCAGGGTACATCAAGAATAATTAAGCCGTCAGTTCCTCCTCCTCTTTTTTGGGGGGGAGGGAGGGGCCTCTAATGAAATTATTCATGCTTAGTTGAAAGGTCTAGTACAGACATTTTTTTTTTTCATACTTGAACAGAGTGACCCAGTTTAGTTGCCCTTTCTTGCTTGTCATTCACATAGCGGCGATGCGCACGGACCAATTACATCACGACTTTTGGTCAGGTGACCAAAGGTTGGCGGGGCTTATGGCCAAATTTGGAAAGGTTCACTACAGTTGATAAGACATTCAACCCTGTGTAAGAAACATGGACATGTATACATGTAGCTTCTTTGGAAGTTAAACTTTTATTAATACATGTAATATACAGCAGTATCGATTCCATTCCTTTGCATTAAAACTAAAGGGGCATTTTGGCCGGAAATCTCCAAAGTTTTATGTTATGGATTGTTTATTTAAATCCTACATTATTTCAAAGGTTGGTTGAAAGAAACTAACCTAATGTCTTACCATTCCCCAAAAAAGACGGGAAAAAACTGTTGTTTACATCGGATGTGGCAGAAATTTGGTGGCATTACGCGCAAATGATCTACATACCACTGTGTCTATTCAATGTACGCTTCACGTTGCGTGTGTCACATAATACATACAGCAATAATACTACGTAAATTTTATCCGCACAATGCGGTGCACTGTGTCGCAGGATTCACAACTAGCACCCGACAGCTCGATTTTTGAGAGACAAAATTTTGACCCCCGAAATTTGTTCTTGCATGGTTTTCACAAAAATAACACAAAAACACCCAGTTTTTAAAGGATGGTTTTGTGGACATTCACAAAGTTTTACCCCCTTTTACGCCCAATTGGGCGCATTTCAGGACGTAATGTCCCTTTAAAATGCCCATTTGAGGAATTACGTACACTTTAACCATGTACCAACTGGTACGTGTCACCACATGTTAATCAATTTTAATGAAATTTCCTGCGTGTAAGTTGCCTGGGAATGTCGTCTAGACGTAACATTATGTTCATGAACAGCTTAATGCTTCCCACACAAACATTGAAGCATACTTGATGCACACGATGAAGAGATCTATAAAACAAAAGTGCACCTGTTGTTCACAACATACGTGTTAACTAAATTTAAGGCTTTATAACCACACATCTGTCACCAGATAATCTGGACTGAAGACAGAAATTTGGCAAATTTTTGAAAAAGTTCAAGAGGGATAAGTGTACACTTGAGATGAATTTTAACAGCACAGTTTCTTTTGCAGGCTTTGGAAAGAGTTAAATAAAAATTGTGTGAAACAATACAGAACATTACCCCTTACAGACAAGAAATTGTAATATGATTTTAATACACACACCTTAGGGATAGGGTTAACAAGACACCGTAAGTATTTTTAAGTTCTGGTACAATACAAGAAACTTAGGCAAGCATTGTTTCAGAAAAATACCGGTAAATACGATTTGACGACTATGCTCTGAATTAAGAAACTGAAATGAACGCTTCCTTTGTTCTCAACTTGTCAATCAATTTGACAGAGCGGATACGTTTCACTGCATGCCAATAGTAATTTATTCCACTTGAAAGATGTACTGTACAAAAAAGTCATTCAACGATTTGATTCACCGTATCCTTTTTCAATTTACAAATTACAATATAGTTGCTTTCCTTTGTAAAGCGTGACTTCTTTCCAGCTAACAGATCAAAGATGTAATACATGTATGTACTGGTACCGGTATGTTACTACATAGAATGGACCACATTCTACATGTATGCATAAGCCTACTGCTAAAGTCTAGTACCGTAGAGTACCGGTAGATCATTTGTCATAGATCTGTGCATTTTGTTCGTTTGAAGCAACAAAAGTGCTCACAATCTATAGACCGGTGCTTAACAACCAACCTGATGAAGTTTTAGCTTTGTGAATGTTGTACCGTACATTCCGAGAATTTAAGGATCTCATTTTCAATTCAAAATTTGCTATAGTCATGTTTGAATTGCATCCGAAATCAGCATCTGTGACACTTTCTCATTTAGCCGATTGAACCGATGAATAATAGCAACCATTCACGGATGCACCGAATTACAAAACCAACTATAAACGGAAAAGTCCAACATATCATGGGGAATGGCCTTCTTCCAATTCCATTGTTTTCTTCAAAATGACAGCATGCCAGAAAGAATAATTTCACAGAGAGTTTAGTGCCATTACTACCGGTATCTTTAAACCAAGTAAGCTTTTCATCAATAATTTCGTCAGTTACTTGTTCCATAGCTGCAAATGATATACTCTACCTTTAAAATGTGAATCATCGCCCACACGCCTGTTTCTCGTCACATTTTGTGATGAAAGCTTTCCTTCTCACACCAGAAAGTGGATGCAGTTTGTGCTTGCGTATTTGATTTCCTTTTTAAGTGGCACAGGCACAGCTGGAAGACTAGAACACCAAAGCCCAATGAAAACAGTAACCCGAACTTGATCAGGGAATCCAATATTCCAACTTCAGCTCGTAATGATCTGAGACATCTTTTACTTACAATACAAAAATGACTGAAAGTGAAAGGCACTTACATAAGGGATAAGGCATATTCCATTATGCAGTCTGGATTCTGGAATATTTGGATTCGTTTAAAGCTGACTTTCACTGAATTCAGGATGTGGCATTACACCGGTATTTGTCATCACGGAGATTAATAAACTATTCATTTTTCAATTTCACAGTAGTACAGGGGAAAATTGTACATACGCCTGCCTGGTGACACCAAACTATTTGTGGTAATCACCAAATAAAGGCAATTAAAGTTGAAGTTAGGTGCAGGAAAATATCTTATTACAATATCTTTTTGTGTTGTGGGCGCAAAACCAACCGAAAAATTAAAGCGTATTTTCAGGGCGTTGAATGGTCCAAAATAGAACAAGTAGCTTTTTCTATTTAAATAAAACATAGGCCTTCAAATTGAAAATCTGTTAGAAGAAAAACATTGAACAAGTTGAAAAGCAGGGCTAGAGCAACTTCACTGTAGATTTTGAATAAAAAATGTAATATTTGTTTCAAATTAGATCAGTTTAATGAAGAATTTGCATTAAAAAAAGCAAGCTGCAAATTACCTTATGACTTGGTGGTCTTGACATCCTGTTACTGTACATGTAAGTCGACAAGGTTTTTTTCAAAATGGCAAAAATATCCTAGGGGATCACTTCAAGTGTATATTTAGGAGTAAGTAATAATAAGTGTGGTCAATTCCAAGTCTATGACTCAGACTTGGTTGACAATGCTCGTGATTGTGTATGGATTTGTGGTGGTGAAACCGTGGGGTCGCCCCCATGTGACCTCCCCAAACAATGCCATAAATAAACTTTAACTAGGATAAAAAAAAATTGGTGACAGAAGTAACCATGGACACTGGTAACCACAGAAACTGGATTTTTTCTGCAAAGTTGTACAATCTTGAATTGACTTCAGTTGATAAGATTTAGAAACAATGAATGAACAGAATTTATTATTAGTTGGCCGTGTCATTTTAATCATTTAGAGTTATCTATTTCAATTTTTTTTTTTACAAACAACTGAAATCTATTTTTAGACTGCCTTGCTGTTTCTGAAGAAGGAATGAGGGTATTGTTTTGTTAATAATCTTTTGTCATGTAAATAATATTTTGTGAAAAAAATTGATCAAAAAAAGAGAAAAAAATGAAGATGTGTCAAAAAAAACCACAATAAGAAAACGGTGGGGGTGGGGGGGGGGGGGGTGGAGGCAGGGGAGAGTCATGTGCCCTCCAAGTGGAAGTCCCTACCCTGTGTGCCCCCCCCCCCCTTTAAAATCTTGAATGGCACAAAAACAATAATCTGTTGCCTTCAGCTCCCCCTTAAAAATATTGGTGCAACCCCAGATGCCCTCTATAGAAGTTCAACCCTAGAAGTTGCAGCGAACTTCTTTATTCACTTTTTATGTTTTTACTTCAAGCAGTACATTTATAATTCAATCCTAGGCTTAGTGTATCTCAAATTCAATTTCAAAATTGATCCATGGTAAACCATATGTCGGGAATGGTAGCTCAAAATATTATGGTCATGGAACTCAAAGAATAATCTTGCTTGCAGCTTGTACACATAAATTCTGCCGCAAAGTACATGTTAAAGGCTTAATTTCCAAGATCCTGAAATCATTGGTGCAGTTTCGCAGCAACTGGTGTTTCACAGGAAGTGCTCTTAAAATAGGCATGACTCAGTACATATGAACACTGCAGGGACCAGGCAACATCGCCAAATGGAACTCCCTTCGCATGTTGAAAGCATGTCCATGCACAGTTCAAATATTTATGTTGGATTATCTAATGAGTGAAGATTGAGGTCTAGTTTTCCCAACAGACCCTGTGACCTGATTGCTAGTAATCCAATGAGGAGTGATCAGTGGGACCAATCTTAATAATGTTGCACATTTTAATGGATAGAATGAGATTTAGTTACCTCATGTTTAACTGCAGATACCTGATTTACCAAGTGTATAATGTAATGTACAGCTGTCAGTCAGTCGAAGAAATGTTCATGTCTAAGACTTTACATTTTGCTGTCATAAAAAATGCAATACAAATAGTGAAATATTAAAGATATTTATATTTGTGTTGACAGGTTTAATTTTGGGGGGTGTCAGAGCAGGGGGGAAAGTTCGCAATTTAGTTTCAATGAATTTCTATGAAAAAAGGGAAAAAATGTTGCAACCTGACGCCATCTCAGTGAAGGTCTTTGTACACAACCGCTGAAGTGGCGTCAGGTTGCAAATTTTTTTTCAAAAAGAAAAAAAAAATGGAAGAACTGAAACTAGTTGTTGAACGAGCGTCGAAAGTTTAGGCATTCTCGCCTCCACGCCACCACAACATTTTTGTTGCCTTTCACAGTTTCTGTTCATTTGTCGCCGCTCAAAAAAACACGTTTTTTTCACATAAATGGCAGTTTCAGATTACTGACAATGATATACATATAGATGAAAGATTATGTACTTACATTAGTTACGGCTAGAATAAGGGCTCTGGACGGACATTTCGTGTCTTACAAAGCTTTGTCGCAAGCATGCAGAAGCAGGCAAACTGAAATTTAGTTGTCTGATTTTCTTCGAGCTTCTTGTGGACTTTAATTTTGTGGCAACTGCGCATGACTGAAAACTTTCGCAAAATGCTTCATGAATAATTCATATAAAACTTTTTGACCTCTTAGCTCATGGGTCAATGACTTTAGGAAGGGAATTGTTAAAAAATAAATAATCAAATGGTATTCAATATTAAATGTTTTTGTTTTAGTTAACATTTACGTTAACTGAACGCCAGCAGACTTTTTAAATAATGTGGCATTATTAGTTGGGGCAAGGTCATGCACGTCGCGGATAAATGGGAGGGGCTAGGCAATGGAAAGTGCAAAACATAAAGAGGGGAAACTAATTTGCGTAATGCAGAATGCGTGATAAAATCAACCAAGGAGCTATACTCATATCCATTGGATACATCAGGAAATTACAGTATTAAGCACACAACACAAGTGTAAACATAAGTAGACCTTTAAATGAAAACCAATTGAAATTACTTGAAAGTTTCACCCCTGTAAGTCATGGTATAGCCTTGAGCTTTGATTGCATAAGCACACGTGATCGGCGTGTACGCGTACACGTGATCGATGGTGCACGTTTGTTTACACAAGCGAGCATACTTTGGCTATGGCTTCGAATCAGCTCATGTGTATGCAACAGTCGCATATCCGTAGCCGGCTACGGATATGCGACTGTTGCATACACATGAGCTGATTCGAAGCCATAGCCAAAGTATGCTCGCTTGTGTAAACAACCGATTACGTGACCCCGGCCGATTACGTGACCCCGGCCGGCCCCGGATGATCGCAGCCGACTGTCAACTTTGCGGTTCGTTTTTCAGCTGGTAATTACGTTCAGAACTTCTGTTTCGCTGGCGAAGTACGCATCCATAATCGCGTCAAGAAAGCGGAATCATCCGTACATGTATATGCAAGCTTCAAACTATTCCTGTCAAAACTGAGTTAGTTTACTAAAAGACAAATTGATCATGTTCGATTTTGCCGGCTTTATGATCAAGAGAGTTTAACCTATTTCGTGAATTTTCGAGAGAATCTTAAATTTCAGTTTTCAATTTCAGGCATGCCAGCAAGGCCTATACTTTCCATCTCAGTCATGAAAACATTTTTCCTTGACTTTGTTCTTTGATTCTGTTAGCAAAATATTCAAACTGGGATATTTTCATGGCAATCGTGTTTTGCGAGTAGGCCTAACTTACTTGGACATAGGCCTATTCCTAGGCCAAGTCGCCAAATGGATTTTGTTTCCTTACAGGAACCGGGCCCATAGATACACACTCGCCTAAATGAGTAACCTCCATTTCGTTTATTAAATATAATTTAAGATGAGTAGTGCTCTCGTGTGTCGTTTTACAATCTCCACCAGCTTTAGAGCAGCACATCTCTCCAAGAATCTCCGCAGCGCACTTCGTAAATGCGTCTCGACCTCTCTTCGTTCAACATCACTCCACAGTAGGTTTTATTCCTTGTTTTCGGAAGAAGACGACAACATGTCCGGGATCATCAGTAGTACCAATGGGATTGATGTGGCCGCGATGCGCAAGCCGTACAAGGAGGGCCACGAATCCTTTGAAGAGGGCGACCTGGTTGCCAAGAAGCCCATGGCGCAGTTTGCCGCGTGGTTCAAGGATGCTACAGAGCTGAAAAGCGTCGGCGAGCCAAATGCTATGACAGTGGCTACAGCTAGCAAGTAAGCAGACTTAAAGTCAAGCTCATGCATAAAACATAGTCCTGGGCCCGATTTCACAAAACGCTACGACGCATCGCAACCGAGTTACGATGTGTCAATGTTGCAACAAGCATGTTAGTATCCAGACACTACTTCTTTAGTTGTGTACAAAGTCTGTGGAGAGTCAAAACAATTTTCTAAAGTATTTCCTAGCAAAATTTGAAATGTTATTGTTAGTCATCCCAAGATTCATATCTTTGTAACATTTTTGCAATGACTGACCATTTATTGAGATGATAATTATATGAAGAAAACATGACGTCAGGTTGCAACATTCTTTCTGCCGCTGCTGCGGTAGAGGTCATTATCAACAACAAGAATCAAATTCATCTTGGGAACTTCGGCAACGCTACCCAGAAAATTCTGAGCATAGCTCACTCGTGCTGTATTCATGCAGTCATGCACATGAGGTATGCTTTGAATTTCTTCTTCTACTGACAGTGATACCCCAACAGCACACTATGCAAAGCAAAATCAGGCCAACATAATTCTCTTCTTAGCTCACACAAATTTTTCCCAATTTTTTTCAACGCAAAGTTGAGGTCTTGAGTGTTTCATCAAGAAGAATTAGCGATGTTTAATGTTTTTCTCTTTTTGTAGGGAAGGGAGGCCCTCTGCTCGCATACTTCTCATGAAAGGCTACGACGAAAAAGGATTCAAATTTTTCACAAACTACGAAAGCCGAAAGGGGCAAGAGTTGGTAAGATGAAATTTTAAGATGAATGCTTTGTAAAACAGAAAAATAGACCTTATGCATTGCAGGTATCAAAGAGGGTGTTCTCTGTTATTTTAATTTAGTAACAATGAATACACACAGGGGTTACTCATGCGTACCCCCAGTGATGCAAAACCATTGCCCTCAGACTCCACCTCAAAGCATGGGGTCTATAGGATTCACATACCCCAATTCCTGTGTAGTAGCTGTTTTCATTCAATTATAATAAGGCAGTTGAAAGAGTATTGAATGCAGACAGAGATCGTAAGCAAACATGCAGTACAAACAAAAACATGGACAGTGTTAACTTGGAAAATGTTGAGGTGTCTTCGACGATCCGGTTGTGCAAGGGTATATGAAACTGTCTTGTTAATTTGGTACCCTGAAATGATCGCTATTTCATTTTTGTCACCAGAGAGAGAATCCGTATGTAGCACTGTGTTGGTACTGGGAGCCATTGAGTAGATCGGTAAGTGGTTGTACAAATTTTGAAATGTATTTTCAAAATTCTGAAGAATTTTGCAAAAAGATGTGCTCATTATTGGCCTTATGGATTTCAAGTTCTGCTTCAAAGCATCTGAAGCCAATTTCATGCAACTGATGAGCATAGAAAATATTAGCTTAGCAAAAAAACAAAACGGTTTACCAGTCAAAATGCCATGTGATTTATATTGGTTGCAACTGGTTTCCAGCTACATTTGCGAAATCATTTTCTGCTTAGCGCCTCTGTGAAATTGAACCCTGGCTTATTTGTTTGAAAGGAGTATTCTAATGGCTACAGCTAGGTTACTGCCATTGAAAGTAGCTAAGTAGCCTTAAGTTTAGAATTTCCTACAGCTACTTTAAATGCAAAAATGAGAGTCCCGTGAATAAAACGTGAATCAAATTGCCATTCAGGTGCGCGTGGAGGGGCGTGTGGAGCGACTCTCAGAGGATGAGTCGACGGAGTACTTCCACTCTCGACCGCCAGCCAGTCAGATCGGCGCTGTGGTCAGCAACCAGAGCAGAGTCATTGAAAACAGGGCGGTAAGTAGAATCTGTAGAGCGTGCCATGGCGTCCACAGGTCACTAGTACAAATCACGCTCCCTTCACTTTCTTTGTTGAACTTTATATTGACTTCAGACAACATATAATTTCCCCGTGTAGTTTACTTCAGCCTAACCCCCATCAAAAATGCAACAGTATCCAACACAACTGAAATGAGAACCCTGCTACTGCCTACTGCTAAATGCAACAAATTGCAACAGTGGATTCTGTTGTATATCGCCTTGGCACTATGAGCAGTTACCCTGCTAAATGCAACAAGATGCAACAAAGCACGGGGACTTGAGTTGGCTCCTAAATAAAACAGTATACAACATCATTTGACCTTTGCATTTAGCAAGGTCAAGTGTAGTATAATTTAGTAAGTGAAAAAATTGTGATATATTTGGAGATATCAAAGGCTTTTGGCCATGGAGCACTCAATCTGGCTGTGCTGTTTACATTTTCTTTGTAAGCGAACAAACTGTTCCTGGTAATTAATTAATTCTGAGTATGTGGTGAGCATCGTGTGGTATTCTCTGATTTTGATGTCGGAAATCCATTTCATTTTCCATTTGTAAATCAGGTTTTGACATCTAAAGACGAGGCGCTGAAGGAGAAATACCTCAATACAGGCGTGACGATCCCCAAGCCTAACTACTGGTAAGGTGTCTCCCTTCTCTTCAAATCTAATCTCTGGTTATAATAACTTGACCGGGTTCTGTAGTAACTAAACTTGGATTTGCACTCTTACCAATTTACTGAAAGAGTCTGTCTCAAACTCTTAACCAACGTTTACCATAACTACTACGAAACAACAACCAACGTACATAAGATGTACATCAAAATGCAGCCATTGACAGAAAACTGCCGCACAGTTTGCCCCTAAACTCCGTCTGGTAATTCTTGACATCCTCATGATTATGTCGCAAACAAACACGGGCTGATTCGGTCCCGATCTTTGCAAAAATGATGAAAAAAATCTGCGTTCTGTACCGAGCAACATGGAGAAGTTAGTGCAGGCATGCAACTTATCCTCGGATCAGCTGATTTCCTCTTTTTTTACTTCCAATGTGTGCCATTGAAAATAGAAAAACCCTGTACAAAGTCTGGGAAAAATTTGAATTTCCTCTTTTTTTGTGATTTCCCAGTTGCATGCCTGTTAGTGGGAGATTATGAGTAAGACTCACAATTTGTGAATGGAGACTCAGTTTCACACCAAGAGACTCAATAAGACTCGGACTCAGATTGGCAGCTAATAAATTGAAAATTGGACTCAAACTTGACGAGTTTCGATTCAGACTCACCGAGCAAGTATAGACCTTCCATTAAGACTCCGACTCGTACTGTCAGCCACAGCTGGTCTGGACTCACAAGTCCAATCACAGTAAGTGACGGGATGAACAATAACAAAGGAATGCTTTTATCACGGGTCATTCAAACAGCTCTTGACTGGACCCGAGACTGGACGGCTCGTAAATAGACTTGTGATGGACTTGCGATGTCTTGCGATGGACTGATCTACAACACTTGTAACCATACAGTGTGTCTGTTATTAGTTTTCATGCAAGCATGCATAGGCTTCAAAGTTTCATCTTCAGTTCCTTAAACCACCACTGTTTATCGTTCCTCTTGATCTGTTCCAGGGGCGGGTTCAGGGTCATCCCGGAAGTGGTCGAGTTCTGGCAGGGGCAGAGCAACCGTCTCCACGACCGCATCGTCTTCCGTCGTCCAAAACAGGATGAGGTCATCGACAATAAGCTAGTCTACCAAGGCGAAGACGGATGGGTGTATGAGAGATTGTCTCCATGATGACAGAGCCAGTTAAAGACAAACCCCATATCTAGTAAAGCTTTGTATTTGTTACCCAACCCATCAAAATGAGTATTTAAATACTAAAGCATTATAGGGTACTGAGCAAGTCTTTCAAAAACTTTGTGTAATGACTCATATACGATCGTGTTTTTTTTTGGTGTGTGCTGTCACAAATTCCTTCTTGAGATAAAGTATCTTGCTCAGGGACAACAGTGCCATCTTGATTCTCCATGCCTGGATGAACTGCCACCACACTAACGTTTGCACTAACTTGTATTCAAACTCTGCCGTGACTGTATAACTGCGTTTACAGTTGCCCATCCAAGTACCGTCGCTAGTCAGCTTTGCTAAACTTTGATAATGAACAATGCAGCCACATTAACTAAGGGGCAATACGCAGTACAGTTATTTAGATGAAGTATGATTGTTTCATACTGTGAAGTCTGTTGGCTTTAAACCATTGCTATGACGTCACACTATTGTTAAAAGTGTGGATTCGGAACTACGAATCTGTTACACTGGTCACAAAGTGTAGATTCAGAACGACGAATCTTTAGTAAAGTACACTTTGAACATGTCGGACAACTGTTCTCCATAATGAGCATTAATAGGACCGTCTGCATGAAAACTTTCCTTCCAAAAATTACCAGTGCATTTTCACTGTCAGATTCTCCGCCGTCACTGCAAAAACTACTTTAAGTCGGAAAGAAATCGTGGTGTGAACTATATCCCTGTTGACGCAAGGAGCCTACACAAAATGACTTGGTTGTATGGGTATGGCGATACACATGCTAAACACGCCACAATGCTTGATTACGTTAAAGCCTCGAAAAACTCCCTCGCAAATTACCATAATGGCCACGACTCGACACGAGATATGCAAGTCTTTTCATCTCCACCCATTGGACTGTTAATGACAATACTTCTTTTGGTTTAAGCTTCGCGCCTCGTGAATTCTTAAATTATGAATCCACACTTTCTCGTGTATTCTCCTTAACGTAATCTGTTGGTAATTGGTTTATGTATTACGGTGTATTTGTGATTGTTTCAAACCTTTTAAATGAGTGTCTGTAAAAGAGTATCTGTAAGGTTTGCTGTGATTTTAGGCTTCGTATCTTCCTCAAATGAAGTCCTTAGGTAGTTTTGGTCACATTCAGTGTATGCTTGACAGCTTTTGTAAACATAAGGAACAGGGTATGTGCTCTGTTTAAATATTTGTTCAGCATTATATAAAAAAAAATGTTTTATGGTCATGCAACTCAGGAACATGAAACTAGGAACATTTTCTAGGCTTGTACGCCTTACATGGAGCATGCTTGTTCAATAAGCCAGCTCGGTATTTCAACTGCGCATGCGCACACAATGATATGGGTCACGGGCCATTCGGGATAATCGAACGCTCATCAAAGGCGCATCAACGCGTAAGGAAATGGTCGCACAACGCTCTACGTCAATTACGAGCAAAATGGGCATTTGCGTAACATCGCATAACATTGCGTCAGCGATTTTTCCCCAAATGACCTTTGACTTGGACTTCCAGATACCGAACTGGCTTATTGTAAAACTTCTCTGGGTTGACAAATTAGCTACATTGTACTGGTGTGATTTCAAAGTCGCAATGGATTAGGTACATGTATTCGGTGTGTGATTTGTTAAAACCTGTATATCCAAAACAGAACAATTTAAAAGGATTGTGTGTAAAATAATTGCTTTGAATTTAGGCTTAAAATCTGGAACAAATATGAGCTATATGATGCTTAACTGTGGATTGTGTTTAACGTCCAAAATCTAAGCAGTATTTTTAAAAATAAATGGTACTTGTATTGAGTAGCTATTTATTTAGGAAAAAAAAATTGTATATAAAATGGAATTTTTGTAGTAATGCATTTTATGCAATGCCACCTTTTTCGAGGTAGCTGATGAAATAATTACACACACTAGAATTTTTGATTTGGAATTTCTAATGTAGCTTTATTATATATACAGTTAAAAAAAAAATCATGTCGGTGGAAAATAAAGTTATCTCTGTGAAGTACTATGCAAAGAACTGTGTAATTTTTCAAAGCTGTCTGTTCAGAGAAAATATGGTAAAATCTAAAAAAAAAAAAAAAAAAAATTATTTAGGCCTGTCACTCTTGCAGTGTGTCAAACATTGTTAACTTCCAAAGCACTTACAGTTCAAAATTAAACTGGAAACATCTGTTTTCGTTAAGCACCATGGATGAATAAGGTAACAGAAAATTTCCAATTGTGACCGTTATTTCATCTTTTGCAAATATTTTAAATTTGCATCATCAACATCACACTTATTTCCTCTTAATGGCAAAAATGAAGAATACAAGCATTAGTTGAGATACAAAGGCAAAATCTTAAAATTGCATCTGAAGGTTTTGGGTTCATAACCCACCAGCAGAGATTTCTTGTAGAAATAAGATGGAAGAGAAAATGCCTCACGGAAGAAACACCTCACGAAGATCATTTTGTTCAAGGCTTCAACAACACTTTCTAATATACTCGGTGTCACTGTCGACGCACCTCCAAGTTTCAAGAAGCCTCCAAAAACGCCATCTTCAAAATCTCTCTTTTCACCCCTACAAAAGAAAGAAAATGATGGACCAATATTAGAACTTACTATAAAATTCATGAAATCAACTATAATATGCGCATGTGTATCGTCATCATGAGGGTGTGGTCATCCATTGTTGGATGAAGCCCTTCTCAAGCAGTTTCCATTCTCTTCTGTTTGTCATTCTACTCCATGTTGCCGTGTTCATGTATGTGGTGATTTCATCTCTCCATCTCCTTTGTCTACCTCTTCTTCTTCTGCCTGGCCTTGGTTGCCATTCAGTGAGTCTCTTGGTCCATCTTGTCTTCTTGCTAAGTGCCCTGCCCATCTCCATTTCATTTCCTTGATCTTCTCTATAATATCTTTGACCTTTGTTTTTTGTCTTAGGAAGGTATGTCTGATTTTGTCCTGTATTGATAGATTGAGCATTCTCCTTTCCATAGTTCTCTGTGTGATCAATCTCTTTGGTTGTTGCCCATGTCTCTGTCCCATAAGTCATTGTCGTCAGGACACACTGATTATAGATCCTTCTTCGCATATCATTTAGAAGCATATGTAAAGACACTTTCTATTCCGAGGCCATCTGTCAGGTGTCATTTGATTCAGAAGCAATGAATGCACAAAGAGGTGGTCAGACTGGTCTGTGTTTTAAGGAAACCTTACCCTCGGTGAAAGTCTTGCAGACCTCGATGTTGAATTCTTTACGCTGCCTCACCAAGTCTTCGAAAATCCTCGTCCCTCCGCCAACGCCAAAGTAGTGCGTCTTTGCGGCAATATATCTGGTTATTTATCTTTGATCAAGGTCACTTATTGAAATTTGAAGGAAAAAAAAAAGTATCTAACTGGGTGCTCAAGTCCTTGACTTTGAAAGGGTGGGGGTTGGGGGTGGGGGTTGGGGGTGGATTGGGGGGGGGAGGGGAGGGCTGTTTGAATTTGTTAATTCCATACTGCACCGCCGAAAAACCGCCTTTGGCACCGTTACTCTGTACTGCCCCAAACTGCCCAAACGCTGCATGGTTAATGAATTTATAAATAAATACAATGAAATACAATGTATAGTACAAGTGCAAATTGGTTCAAATTACCTATGCTCCTAAATTAGACTGGTTACCTGACCACATACATATTACATGAGGTCAGGCATTGCCCTAACAGCTTCTGAATCTGTATTGGTTGCTATGCACTGTTACAGTTCTAACTATCTGAAGTCTAATTGGCTACTGTCTAATCTACATAGACATGCATAATGCAATGCCTGTTTTTTGCATTTATAAATGTTTAATTTAGTTGACCCCACTTAGGTCAAAATGACATGCTGAGTGTTCTCAGACTCTATATCCGAATGAGAGACACTGCAGCTGTGTTTGGACTAGCCGTGTAATTACATTAAGAGTGTACACCCTTAATTTGCATTTCAGTTTTGGTTTACGGAAGGTTTCAACAAGCAAAATTCACGGTTGGAAGGATACATTACTCCGTTTGGTCTCAGCAATGCTCGTAGAATCTGATACAGCTTGTCATGTGAGTCTACGCTGTAAATGGTCTCTGATGTCAGGATGATGTCATACCTACAACATCAAAGAAAAAACGACAGTTCATACTTCATGCGAATGCGTTGCGAATTTTAGTGTCACGAAGCGTTTCCTGCGAAATTCGTGGGAGTTGAAATGTGCTCAATATTTGCGAATTTGCAGTGCGAAAACTTGCCCTAACGTCACAAGTTCGCTTTCGCGTCGAGTATGAACCTGCCTTAATACTGCTGAAATATTTGCACATCTGTAACTTAAAAAATAATTTTTTACAAATGTTGATGATCTGCAAAAGTCTGTTACATGTAAATGAATCGGCAACACAGACGACTTTTAATGGACTATTTGTGACTGAATTGATGACGAATTTTGTTGCAAACTTTCAGGGTTTGTTTTGTAAAATTCTGTTGTAATTAATGATTAACTTGTCAAAAATGCTCACTTTGTATCTGGATTTGAAGAGATCAACTTCTGCTGCACCAGGCTCCAGTCCCCGGCAAAGAACCGAAGGTCCTGATTGGTCGGTCCGTCCTGAGATCGGTTCAACACGACGCTGGGGATTGTCATGTGCTCAATCACCTCTTCATTCTATGAGAAAATTAAAACAACAAAATGCATGTTCTCAATGCACTCTGTGGAGACCTATGCCCTGCGCTGTGTTTCCACACTCTGGTACAATCCTCTTACAGTAAGACCCTTCAAGTTTTTTAATGTTTAGTGGGTCCAAAAATTTTCCGCCCCAAAATTAAATATGAAAAGCAAGGGGGGGGGGGACTATGTATTGCTGTTGTCGGTGGTGTACGCCATGGCTGCATTGGTCCCCCCCCCCCCCCCCGGATCTGCCGTTGGAGGGGGTAGGGGTAACGTGTTCTAAGTCAGACGTAAGTAGGAGAACAGACTTGATTCTTATGCGTGCCAAAATTCGCCATTTTTGTCTAGGGCTACCAGATATTCATTGCAGCCAAAATTTGATATGTAGCCCCAAGACAGCCCCACAACATCAATTTTGCACCATACCCTAACAAATAAATGAACCGAGCAAGAACTACTCAACAAAACTACTGACTCACATAGTCTTGGAAATGCACGCCGGCAGCTCCTTTCTTGCTGGCATAGATGCCCGGCAGGCCCGCCCCGCAGCCAAGCTCCAGGACATGCTTGTTCTCCAGTGGTACCTCCGCTTCGTGGAGGTAGTGGACCAGATCGATGGAACACTCCCAAACTTTCAGTCCACCTCAAGAGAAACATAGAAACTATAGTATGAAAATTATGCATAAGATGGATACTGTGTCCGGGTGATGTCAGCCACCCCGAATCACGAATCCTTTGGTTGCAGTACCGCTGCTACGTCACATTCAAACCAGCCAGCCGACCCTGGTAAGCTCGGTGGACAAGTGGTAAGACGTCCGCCCTAGTCAAGGGCTTCAATCACTTCTCACAAGTGGGGGTGGGGACTGGGGACATACCTTGATCAGCAGTAAAGCGACTGTGACGCAAAAAACCCTAACGGCGTGTGGTTCGGATGATTCTAGATGCTCTGTGGTGTGATCTGAGGCAATTTCTGATCACATTTTCCAATTTTTTTTTTCAAGCAAAAGATCATCATTTATAAACATCATGTTTGAGTTTGGAGTCATTGAATCAGCTATTCTGAGCAATAGAATCAAATATAGGCTACAATTTTGTTCGGGTACGAAAAAAGCGGGGGGGGGGGGGGGGGGGGGGGGAGATGAAGGGCAACACCCAAGTAAACATGAACAGTTTTAAATATCATCAGACATGGGTGGAAGTCGGAAGGGGGGTTTGGAAGTGCGAGGGGGGGGGATAATTTAGCATGGAGGGTGGGTGGGGGGAGGGGCTTGAAGGTAAGGTGGTGGTTGAAGATGAAGGAGGTGGAGCAAGCTTGCCCTGGGGGTGGGGGGCAATGACCTACCTTCATAGACATTTGGTATCAGGTCGGAGTGACTTTCTGTGGCTGTGGAAACGTCGCTGTCATTTTCTAAGCTTTCCAGAAGCCTGTCAAATTCTACGTCCTCTGGATTTAGAAAGAGCAACTCCAGATCACTGACTCTCAGGGCTTCCACTGCACATGACTAGTAAAGAAATAAAAATACTTAACAAAACTACCTCTTAGAGGGATTATGGTAAACAAAATGTATGTCAAGGCACATATGACCACTTCTGGTAACAGTCGTGCTTAGTCAGACTATGCATAAATTTACATATGATTGGTCATTCATTGAAGACCTGTTAGTAGAAAAACCTCTCACGATTTAGTTTTGTTTCGACTTTTCCGGATTTTGTTTATTTTCCAGATTTAATCTGGCATATAAATTGATGAGTAAAAGTGACATAAAGTTCAGCATTTTCGATTGCTCAGTAGACTTCCAGTGAGCATTTTCAGAAAAAACTTGCTACATGTTCCTTTTTTTCTACAAACTGGCCAAATGGATCGAACCTGATGAAAAGAACATCAACATAGAGCGACTACCAAAGCATTTAAATTTATTTTTTGTCAATTTTATGGCAATTCAAGAATTTCTGAACTCTCAGCACAAATGGTAGATGGACAGTGGTTGTAGATAGGGCTCAGTTGATAGAGAGCCAGAACAGCAATCCAGGTTTCAAATGTCTTTGTTCAACTAAGAAAAATTTCCATAGAATATGGCTTAGAATTTTGTTGAAGCAATTATTACATCTTTATTGCATTGTAAATGATTGCATCTTTACTCTGTAAAAGTTGAATCATTGTAACTTTTCATCGTACTAGCTCTGAGAAACCACTTAAACACCTTGACTTTTCCCCACCAAATTTTTACAAAATATCTGAGGGAACAAGATCATCTACTGGCCCAGAAAAACCTTTTAACGACGCCAAGTTGTCACCAAAGATTACCTGAGTTTCTGGCAGAGATTGAGGGGCGTATAATTCCTTGGCGGGTCTTAAAATGTCGCAGGCCTTTCGTGAGTCAACAACCGCTTTGTCACACTTGTTGGCACCTAACATCAGGAAACAAGATAAAACACATACATAGATGGGACGCAGATAAGAACACGTGGGTGATTAGGTTTCTTAACTTGAGTCAAAGAGGAAATTGATGGAGGAAGGGGCCGTTAAGGAGAGGGATGATGCTGATGATGATTAAGACTTTGAAAGTACAGCAAAGTAACACTGCTAAACCCAAATTACAGAAGTCATCCTCCTGCAAATATGTTTGCAAATGACGAGAAGTAAGCTTTAATTTTGCAATATTTGTTATTTTTTCAATAAACTCAATATCTCGTGATCATTCAATTCAATTCAATCCAATTTAATGTTAAAACATTTAATGAAAAGGCAATAAATTAAACAATAAAAGTGTTTCTTAAAATAATTTTGCACTAACTGTGGTGCTACCAACATTTTTTCATTTGAGATAATTGACTTTTTATTTTTCAGTTTGTTTTGGAAGGCTACGAGGGGGGGGGGGGGGAGAGGGGAGGGCTGCATTTCTTCATTAAAGATGACCCATAAATCTTTATTATGAGAAATTATGATGTATATTATAAATCAACTGGAGCGGGATCGATTATGGGCCAAGTAAAAAAAAAAACCAGTTTCCCGTCCCCACTCGCTTCCTCATTCCCGCCCGCCTCCTTTTTTTTTACATAATTTGTAATCTATTTTGCAAATATTGTCAATATATTGTATTCCTTCGAGGCAATTAAAATAATGCAAATTAGGCCCACCTGAAATTGAAGTTAAACCGGTAGAATCTTCGCCAACATCATTTTGTTCTTGTCCAATATCGAAGTTGAACTGAAAAGCCATTTTTGATGAACTCACATTTCTGATTCATAGGACTGATGAACAATCATCAAAATAAAACTAAATGTGCGAATGTTTCCAACGTGCACAACAGACGTGCGATTTGGCCCACACCATATAACACGTGTGTTGTTAGTATAAATTTGAAATTGTAAATATTAAACTATTGTGTGAAAGGGGGGATTTAATTTTGTAATGTTAGATCAACGTTTAGATAACAGAACAGTTAATCAAAAATTGATTGATTTGTTTTATATTTAGCAGAAATTGTATTAATTGAGAAACTCTATCCATTTACCGGTAATTTCACTAAGTTTATGTTCACGTTTTACCATGACCTCACTTTGACACCCAAGACCTCACCTTTTTATCTATAATGGAACAGTCTGAAACAAAGATGGCTGCGCCCATCATACTTGTGCACTCTCCAGTCAGCAGTGATGCGATTTCGTGGTCGGAGGACAACAGAATCGCTATCGCTACCCCAAAATGTGTCATTATTTTCGTGAGTTTATGTGGAATTCAGTGGGTTTAAGTACATATTTGGCCTTCGGGTCGGTGATGATATTTTACCACGAATTGCCTCGGCACGCGCGCGGGCGCTTGTGGCTGTGCACGCTAGCTGTTTCTGCCCAGTGGATTTGCATTGTATTTGTACACAGTACATACACTGCGCGTAGCACCGTCAGAGTTGAAGTCGTCTGTGGCTAAAATAAACTCAACCATGGAGCTATGAATTATAGCTCAGTATGACTCAACTGTACTGTCACTGACTTTAGGACCCCTATTTCTCCAGCTATATTAAAACGGCTCTTAGAGCTCCAAAATAATAAATAATATTATACTATAGATCATAAATCAAACTTAGTGCAAAATACAACACTTTTTGCTAACAATAATTGTACTAACATTAACAGAACGAAATCTGGTTGCCCTTTACAAATCAACAACAGTGACACTTTTCTTTCTACTTTTCTGTAACAGTCTCTACAGTGTGATCCCACTGAACAGAACAGCAACTTCGTATTCCACAAGTCAATCATCAAACCACATGCTGAAATCTTAGAGCTTGATGTGGGCATTGCCATTGATTTCGAGGCATTGAACGATGAAGAAAGACGGAACTGTAAGTCTGATGGGTGAAAAAGATTGCAATGATTGACTTTCTCATTTTCTTTCATTTATAGGGAATATCATCATTTGCTTTTGCTGTGATTTTCAGAAATGGATGGATTTGGGTGGGGGGTAGTATTTTATAGCAAATATTGACATTTTGGGTTTGTGAATGCTGAAAAAAACCAAGAAAAAACAATCGTATTCTTGCAGTGCGGTTCCCTCACCCACTTAAGATGAAACAGAGCAATTGTTAAATGTCAGGGAATTGTAAGGTCAGGGAATCAGTCTAGCTGGCTTGTAACCATGCACAGGTGTGTAATTGATTGCAAAGAAAATGTGGACTAACCAAATGAGGAATTATGTTCTTTCCAATGCTGGTCTGCCGACCAGTGTTGGAAATTGATACAAAAATATCACTTTTGTGAAAATGACGGCACACCAGGTGCCATGATTTTACATGATGCTTTAGACTTTTTTACTAACCGGCATTTCGTGATAATTTGGTAGTTTTGTTTTTGATGTTTGCAAATTTATGTTATACCTTTAAAATCATCATATGTCATATGTCATGTTCAATATGTCACGTGTCATTGTCAATGTGTCCCATCTTATTGTTTATGTCATATGTCACTGTCATATGTCACATGTCATTGATTAGTAAGTTTTGTTGATGAAGTCACCAATCTGTAACAGCTTTTTAATCGTCTTCTGTGCAGGTCTGGTGAGGTCCCTTCTGATAGACAGGACCCTTTCCCCGCCAGCCAGCACCAACTCTAATGAAAATTACGACAGAATCAGCAGAAATAGTTTCAAGCTAGTCAGGTGGTCGCCGGCCGGTACCCGGGAGTTTGACAGGTACCCTTTTGACTGAGTACCACTTCGCTGGTACCCACTACCGAGATATATAAGCATATATTGAGCCAAACCACAGTCCACAACCAAGCACGTTCAATGATAATTGCCCCTGGTTCCCTGTAGCTGTTGGAACCAGTGAATGGGGATGGTCTGATATAAAAAAAAATTGAGGTCAATCACACTCAAGAGGACAAATCACTCTTTGCTTACTTGATAACTTTGTAATTTTGCTCCTAAATATTTCGTCACGGAATGCAGCTAGGTTAACATTTCAAAATGAAAAATGCCGACCCTTGGCTTGGTAATTAGGCCTACTGTCGTCAGACCATTTCCAACAACATATTAAACCAGTAATTCGAAACATGAAATTTTTTTCTGTTTTATTAAACTAGTGTGTTATTAGCATGTCTCGCACTGGACCACAGACTCACTGTCAACAAACGGACATCCAAGACAGGCAACATGACCATGGTAAGTAAAGGGCAACGAAATGATTGCAGTAATATAGCTTGCTCAGGGACACACTAATGAGACTGACCAATCAGATTATTGGGATGGCATATGGCATCCAATGAGATTGCAGAAGTTGGTTTGCCAGTGCCTGTCCTTGTTTATCAAGGTCTCTTTTCTACAGAATGTCCCAAAAAAGTGGCGGTCTAAATATTTTGAAATAACAACAAAACCACAAAGTAAATTTTTCAATTTTTTTAAATTGTGCAGATACTCCTAATCCTTGGCCCAACCCTTATGAGTATTATTTAATTTCACCTCACTGCACAATGGTCAATTGATCTCAACAACATTTTCAGACACTGTGACCAAGTTCCTTGCCTTAGTAAATTTCAGTGCTGTGCTGTGTAAGCCGTGTAATATTCTTCATGTTGTGAAAAATATTTCAAAATATTTAGACGAACACTTTTAGGGCGGTTCAGGGCGGTACTGAGTCTTTTGGGTTAAAGTCGTTCAGTCTTGTTCATCTCATATTTTGTTATAGGTTGTGGACCTCTCCCTCCTCCTTAGTAAGCTCCTCCCCCAAAGAGGATTTGCTCACATCAATGAGGAGCCACGCCCAGATCTGCCAGCCGAACCCTCACTGGAGACTAAGTGTGTGGAATTCAAGCGTCGTGTCTACATGTTAGCTGCCGTCGGTAAGTATAGACTCGACGCAGAGTTCCCCCTTCATTGCCAACTTACACTGAAGCACGGTAACGGAAGACAAGAAGCCTATCATGAGGTACACTTGTGCAAAACTGCGTGGAATTATGTAAATTTATGCAAATTAGTGAGAGGTTTTACAGGGCAGTGTCTTGGTCAGGCTACATAGTGCAGATTTATGGCATGGTATTTTGTTAAAATTCCAAGGGTTTCTTAGCCGATTTCAGGCATGCAACTTTTTTCTCGGATCCTTTGATTTCCTCTTTTTTTTTACTTCTCATGAATGACAGTACAAATTGAAAAATACTGTACAAAATCTTATGTGGTTTGGAGTTTCCTTGTTTTTTTTTCTTCTAAATTCCCAGTTGTATGCCTGCCATGGTACTTCTGAGTGGAGGGAGGCTATTGTAGTAAAGTGTCTTGCCCAAGAACACAAGCACCATATTCCCCATCAAGGTTCGAATCCATGTACACTCACACATGAGCTGATTGGTCACAATGCAGATTTATGGCATGGTATCTAGCTCAAATTTCTTAGCACCGATGCCATTTGTACTCCTGGGTGACAAGAGCTAGGCTATTGTAGTAAAGTGTCTTGCCCAAGAACACAAGCACCATGTTCCCCATCAAAGTTGAAACCCACGTACCATCTCACAATGAGTTGATTGGTCATGATGCAGACTTATGGCGTGGTGTCTAGCTCAAATTTCTTAGCACCGATGCCATTTGTACTCCTGGGTGACGAGAGCTAGGCTATTGTAGTAAAGTGTCTTGCCCAAGAACACAAGCACGATATTCCCCATCAAGGTTCGAACCTATGTACCCTCACTTATGAGTTGATTGGTCATAATGCAGATTTATGGCGCGGTATCTAGCTCAGGTTTCTCAGCACAGATGCCCATTGGTACTCCGGCCGGGGTGAAGAGAGCTAGGCTATTGTAGTAAAGTGTCTTGCCCAAGAACACAAGCACGATATTCCCCATCAAGGTTCGAACCTATGTACCCTCACTTATGAGTTGATTGGTCATAATGCAGATTTATGGCGCGGTATCTAGCTCAGGTTTCTCAGCACAGATGCCCATTGGTACTCCGGCCGGGGTGAAGAGAGCTAGGCTATTGTAGTAAAGTGTCTTGCCCAAGAACACAACCACCATGTTCCCCATCAAGGTTCGAACCCGCGGAGCATCGCACACGAGTCCGCCACTGCAACCATTGCATCATGACATCCAGTGTGAATCTAATTCATAGTTATAAAGTTGCGTCAACTTTGCATTACTTAAGTTTCAAATTTTTTTTCAGCTATGGATTGGTCCGGTACTTTCAGACCTGCACCAGGTTTAGACCGGGCATGTGGTCTTTCACAGGATGAAACGTGGGAACTTGAGAAAGAGTCATTCAGGTTGCTGGCTGTCGCGATGAAAAGCGGACATGTTGCGATATGGAAGTTCAGATTACATCTGGGGAGTGAGTAAGTACATGTACATTCAACACAGTTTGTTGGGCAGGGTGTCGGTTTGATTTTGAGTGCAAGCTTTTTTGGAGAATGCGTATGTGGAGCGCCGTGGCCTCGTGGCCTGGAGCATTGAATTCGTGGTCTGCGGGTAATTCTGCAGGTTGTGGGTTCGAGTCCAGCCTGGGGTTATGGTGCGTGTGCCCTTGGGCAACGCACCTTGTCACTCATTGCTTCTCTCCTTTTTTGGACACCCTGTATTTCTTGCTTGTGTGCAGGGCTGACATCAGTTTATACAATGCCTTTGACAGTGGCTACCAGTGGCCAGTGTCTCTCGCATGGTGTAGGGAACCACCTCTGCAGACTACCAGCCAATCTACAAAAGGTAAGAAGGTTTTTGTTATTCCGACAAATGAAACTTTGCAGTGTGCTTACTCCTCGTGGTCTGAACAGGACTCAAGAATTAGTCTCAAGAAGTCTAGCATGCGGGGTTGCTTGTGTTCTTGGGCAAGACACTTTATCACAATTTGGTGTTCTTGAAATGGACTGGCATGGCCTAATGATCTGGAGCAAGAAAGTCAAGATTTGTGGTATATTCTTAGGTTATGGTTCATGTCCAGCCTAGGATTGTGCCGCATGTGCCCTTAGGCAAGAGACTTTATCACAACTGCTACATTTGTATATCGGGTCCTGCAGAGCCAAACTATATAGTTGCCAGGATGTCAATACGGCCTGAGAAATATGGCATGATGAGCGGGGGTAATAATGGGGTCTAAAGTATGTTCATTATATTGGTACGTTTTTTTTGACATTTGTTGTTGCAGCATGGCTAGCAGTTGGAGATATACAGGGCTGTATCTCAGTATGGAGCATACAGGAAGAAAACGAAACGACTTCACCGACGTTTACTAAATGTCTGGATGTCTGGGTTGATCAGGACTTGATATCTGTTTCCCACATGGCGTGGACTAACATCGCTCATAAAGAGGTAACTATCGAATCCGTGCGTGAATGGTAGGTGGCATGTGACGTGAAGTACGCAACTTTTCTAGATCACATAGGTGTGGAATGCATGCCTAATTTGGCATATATGTAAATATTGGAATTAGTTGACTCGACCTAAAGCTGCCCTCAGTTTGACCTTGCGACGACACAGATCAGTCGGCGACTGACTTTTCAGAATCAAGCTGCGCATGAGCTACGACTGTCGGGAACATATAAGTCGCCAATTTGTTGCGACCTGAGTGTAACTTGTACGATGATATTAAGACGATCGGCTAAAATAATTAACAGTTGAAAAAGAAGAAAAAATCTAACTTGTGCACAGCAACAGGCGGGAATCAATCGCAGTGGACCCATGTGAAGTTACGATGTCGTACGTGCATCAAGATCATTATATTTCATTGTGTAACCAATCAGCGTTGGCAAAAACGGCCGAATGAGCAGACATGGCCGTGGAAGATCGTTTGATTGTTATCAACACGCGCACCACCATTTTGAAGACCTTACATGATCATGTTTGTGCCGAGGAATCATTGTCGCATCTTTGGTGATGCGAGCACGGTTGAAATTATTTTGCGTCGAAATGCCACTTGTTCCACGAGAATCACACGATTGCTCAGTTCTGTGTCCTAAAGCATTACTTTTCTGCTTGATGCTGACAGTTGCGTCGCGGCGCATGCAAATCGCCGGTCAGCTGAAGGCTGCTCTAGATGTCATAAGGATGGTTTTCTCAAGGGACCGTTTCAAGTGTTCTGAGTTGTAAGACTTGTTGAATAATATTTTTTTTCATGCAGGAATCGTCGAGTATCGCCACACTTGTCGTGACCAAAGGGCCGTATCTCATGGTGTTCCTTGTCGATCTTGGTAGCGGGACCGTGGTTCGTTCTGCCCACAACTCTGGCAAGAACCCGATACTCTCGACAAGTAAGTGATTGTTGGCTCTTCATCTAATATGTAAACTGTCAAAAAACTTTCCAAAAATGCGTCTTTGGACGCCCTTGGGAAATTACCTTCTTTTATTGTTTCTTCAAAATGACAGCATGCCAGAAAGAATAATTTCTTAGGGCCATTACTGTCCTTAAACCAAGTATGCTTTTCAACAATAAGTTGTCAGTTACTTTTTGGATAGCTGCCAATGACATACTCTACCTCTATAGTTAACCAAAACTGGCTTGTTTTCATGTTTTTGTCTGCTATATTTCATTGTAGGTTTGTGTGTTTTTGGGAGCATGGTTCTGACAAACAGTTCATTCGGCGAAACTCATCGGACCGTCATCGATTGGACAAAGTCGGGTGAGGTCATAGGTCATGTAAGGTCATACCAGGTCATTTACCTCATATTGACCTCAAGTTCATGAGGATAATAGATGCTGAATAAATATAAATTCAAATTAAGATTTTGCTAAAATTCAACAAAATAATTCACAGTCATGGTGTTAAAAAGGCCTTGGAATATTTAGAATGCAGGAACCAATTTCAAGATAGTGCATATAGAACAAAATGTTGCTTAGCACAGAATACGTTACCAGGCAAAGTGGCATATGCTGTAATTGCTTGTGATTGGTTTGACTAAGCAGTTTTTTGATGCTTAGTGCCTCAGTGAAATTTGACTGGCAGCATAGAGATTGGTTGGCTGCGCCGAGTTTCTTCGGCGGTCGTACTAATTGTTTCAAATTATGACGTGCAGATGGAGTTTTGGAGACTGATGTCATGGAGAGCTCCGATGCGAACTGCAAGAGTTCTGGAATTACGATATCGCCTCATGGTGTCTACATAGCAAAACCAGTCATGTAAGTACTGTTCTTCAACCCTTGAACCCCTTCCCCACCCCTTCCTCACCCCAATTCTCCCCTTCCCTACCCCATTCTTGCCCCTCCCCCTCCCCCTTCCATTGGTCTTGGCCTCATTGCTTGGAGCATTGAACTTGTGAACTTCAGATAATTCTGCAGGTTGTGGGTTCGAACCCAGCCTGGGGTTGTGGTGCGTGTGCCCTTGGGCAAGGCACTTTGTCACTCATTGCTTCTCCCCACCCAGGAGTAAATTGGGCACCTGTGATGGCAAGGTGGTTATTGTGGTTGATTTTTCACCGAAATGGCCGCATCGAGCTGTTTACTTCCCAGAGAGCTGAGATTATCTTTGGAATGTTTCAATGGTCTATGAGCAGGGTAATAATGATGTAGCGCCTTAAGCGCCAATTGACTTATCGCCGTTTGCGAGTCAGCCACACCTTAGAAAACCCTATGAAATTTTGAACGTTAAGTTTCGTTTGTCTCAGATTTTGCACGTTCCGTTTCCACTTGTATATCATGTAATTGGACAATTTTTCACAAGCTGCGTTGACACGATTCTACAGCGATAAGTTAATACTGATAGATATATGCACTATATAAATATGCACTATTATTTATTAAGATTTTTAAAACAAGCAATTCGCAGTGCAATGCCAAACTAATCGTTTTCCGTAAATGGTATTGTTCAACTTCACAGTCGATATACTTAACACATTTTGGTTGACTTATTATTCATCTTATCTTCCAATTTTTAGGCATCGAATTTCCAGGAGGAGTCCTTACCCTCGGACCCTCAATATCAGCACAGTGGGCAACATGGAAACCGCCGTGGCTGAATTACTGGATTGCCAAGGTATTGAATAAGCCAGTTCAGTATCGCGATGAAGTATATCAGGTCAAAGGTCATTCGGGATCAAATCCCTAACGTGATGATACGCGATGCTACGCGAATGCCCTTTCTGCTTGAAATTAATGCGCGAGCGTCGTGCGCCCGTCTCCTTTCGTGTGCATGCGCCTTGGATGAGCGTTCACTTATCCCAAATGACCCAGAACCCATATCATTGTGCGCATGCGCAGTTGAAATACCAAACTGGGTGATTGCAAAGGATTCCAGGTTTTTATAGGTTTGAGGGTTTATAACATGGTTTGAGAGTACGCAGTCGGTATTACCTCCCTGAGGGATTGGAAGTTCACTAACTAGTTCCCTCAGCTTTGCCTTCCCTTGGGAACTTGTTTTGTGAACATTTTTTGTGTTTAATTTTTAAGGATTCAGCATGCTTCCGAGTTGAACAAGCCCAGAAAGTTAGCAGTTTCTTTCTTGATTGTCACTCTTTCCAGAAGACCTGAGCGAAAAGACCGACCTGCTCGAATTCCTCCGCCAAAACTTTGTCAACACCGGCGACGGCCTCCCACAGGAGTTAGAGTCCGTCGCGGACGGGGAGTCGGCCGTCGAGGCCAGCTCGGGCAAGGGTGGGGCCCACAGCTACACCCTGAGGCTGAGGAGGTATCTACTGCTGATGAAGATGAACAAGGTCGGGGGTGGGACTGACAAGGACGCGGAGGGGGAAAAGGTATGGGACAGGCAGTGATTAGAGCACGGAAATAGAGTACATTATACAATTATTGCCTGCTGTGACAGGGTCCATGTCGTTTTGTACACCCAAGGGGGCAAATGGCATCGGGCGAAGCTGAGGGTGCCATTAGCCCCTGAAGGTATACATATCCCTCGGACCCATCACAGCAGGCAACAATTGTTGTGTTCTACCACGGTTAAAGACTACAGCAGTCCAATTCTGTCACTGGTAACGTCTGAAACTGTGGCTCTCAACACGCGACACACTGCTGACCAATAGGAATGGGGAACTGTCTTATACATTCATGAATTTTAATTTGAAAGGAGTCTGACATACAACGGATCGAAGGGGAGTTGAGGGAATTGCACGTACTTACCGCCCTTCAGTTTTGGCAACAGATGTCTGCAAAAAAAGTTGGCGATAATGGTAGGTTCACCATTTTTACTATCTTTCAAGAAATTATTTTAGTTATTTTCTGTACTACAGTATGTCCTAAAAAGTGTCCGTCTGACTATTTTTGAAATAACTACTAAGCCACGAAGTCAATTTTGAAAATGTTTGGTTGTGCAGATACTCCTTATGCTTGGCCTAAACCCCTATTAGTTTCATTCAATTTCAGTGACGCATCACTACATAATTGTTAATTTATTACAACAACATTTTTGGACACTGACCAAATTCCTTGCCTTAATCAATTTCAGTACTGTGTTATGTAAGCTGTGTAAAATCCTTCCTGCCATGAAAAGGGCTGCAGTTGGGATTGGAGTCATTTGCCTGGCTATCAGTCATCATGGCAAGACCTCAGTTGAATGCTCAAGGGCAAATGATTCCAATCCCAAACCACATCAGCCTTTTTTTCACAACATGCAGGATTTTACACAGCTTACATAACACAGCACTGAAGTTGATTAAGACAAAGAACTTGGTCACAGTGTCCAAAAATGTTGTTGTGCTCAATTGACAATGTGTAGTGATGCGTGACTGAAATTAAATGAAACTCATAGGGGTTTAGGCCAATGATTAAGAGTATCTGCACAATCAAAAATTTTCAAAATTGACTTCATGGTTTTGTAGTTATTTCAAAAACAGTCAGACGGACATTTTTTTGGGGGGACATACTGTAGAGTTTTACAAGATACAACCCTGTAGCTCAGCCTTAATATATCAGGTCTGAACATTCGTTTTTCTTTCATTTATGTGTTTAACATGTTTTGTTTATGAAAATGTATTGCTATTTAGAATTTATACACTTTATTCTTTTGTGCATAGCAACCGCCCACACCACTACATTGTTGCTGATGGCTGATTGGCTGTCTACCTCAAGTAAGAGCAGCGATGAGCCAATCAGGAGTCTTGTTACAGAGGTCTACAAGTCCAATCCTCACGAGACAGAAGTTGGGAAGAGAGAGACATGTGACCTGTGTGGAGAAAATATCCTTTCTGTGGCAGCAGTATTAATAATAATAGTGGGTATTTATAAAGCGCACGGGACTGGTGCTCAAGGCGCTACATCATTATTACCCTGCTCATTGGGCCCATGAAACATTCCAAATACCATCTCAGCTCCCTGGGGGAGTATACAGCTCGATGCAGCCTGTTAGGCGCAGGGAAGCTAATTCAATCACAATAACCATCTCTGCCCTCACAGGTACCCATTTACTCCTGGGTGGAGAGAAGCAATGAGTGACAAAGTTCCTTGCCCAAGGGCACATCTACCGTTACCCCAGGCTGGACTCGAACCCACAACCTGCAGAATTACCCGCAGACCACGAATCTAATGCCCTAAACCACGAGGCCACAGCATTTCCCTACGCTGGTGGATGCAAATTTGCATACGTTTAAAATTTCTTCCTAGGCAATTTTTTTTTTCATATTTACAAACGTGTTTTTCCTTGACTGTCATTTGTCCCTACTTGTTGCATTCACCAGTGCGGTTTCTGATGCCTGCCCCAACGGACATGGATGGAGTGAGTTGAAATTTAATTTTCATGTTCCATTATTCACAGTTTCTTCTTTTAAGGAAATCTTTGAAGGCACTGCATTGTCAACACTGTACGGAAAGGACACTACTATAATTAGACCTTATTCATGAGGAAGCCCTATTTTGATCATGTTCCCTGAATCTCTTTTATAAATTGTAAACTGTTGAATGGGATGGTGCCAGACTATTTTATGATTGGCGTGTGCTCCCAGCCTCACTTTCAATTTTTTTTTTGAATGTGGTTTTAAACATTATGGTATGTTTAATCGCAAACTTCACTCTCTGTGAAATTGCTCCTTCTGGCTTGCTGACGAATAAATCAATGACAAGTGATCAACGATCACCAATCAGATGATGGGGATTTATTCAGGAGTTGCTTAAAACAAAACAATTCAGTGTTGACTTCTGTGATGCGGGATAACCCCCGGGTGCAAATTTCATGGAGGTACTTTAGCGCTCGTTTTATGATGACTTTGTCCGTTACCCCGCAGGCCGGTGTCAGCTGAGCCTACAGCTTTGCCAGACAACCGCCAAGAGTCGTGAGTGTCTGTACTGCAGTGCCATGGCCTTGTCAGCACAAAACCAATCAGGTAAGATCAGAATACGGCCAGTTTGATAAGAGCTTCTATCTGCTCCGTTCACAAGTACCCCCTCACCGGCAAAGAATGTACAGTTGGGGGCGCCATCTTGCCTGACTGCAATATTTTGCTGCGAAGCGCGGCATGGGTGTACATAGTACAAATCCCCTGGTGTATGTGCGTCACACACAAGGAACGGTGCGCGCCAACCAGTGAAATGCATGTGTCCTGCCCATGGTACGTCGTTGCTAGGTAAAAGGGCGCCCCCTTTTGTTGGCGCACGGAGCCTTGGATCATTTCTTTGAATCATTACTTAGATATCACAGTAAATTGGCTCCATCATAGACATTACACTTTTTCATAACGTTGAAATTGCCCTAAAGTGAATACAGGTTACTCGCCAAAAATTTAACCCTCACCCCTGGGCCCTTTCGGCTAGGAACCTCCATCCTGCAAAACCCTCCAACTGCCACCCATGTGAAAATTGATTTCAACTGCAAACCTCCAAAATCATCCTGTTATTTCTTGAATTTGTTCAGTGGAGGGGTGACCAATGCCTCCATCCTTCAAAATCTTCCAACAATCGCTGTTGATGGGTTGAGGCAGTGCCGATGACATTCAGAAGCAGCGCGGATGATAGCGAGCATAATGCAGGGCTCAATTATGCACGACTGAACATAAACAATGTTGGGTACAGCCTACGAACTCGACACAATGCATCCTCCAAAATGAACCCACTTTTTTTGGCCAAAATTCTCCAAAAGCGCCTGGAGGTTTTTGGAGGAATGACGGTTAGGATGAGGGGTAAACTCGAGACTGGCCATCGTCTAGTTTTAGTTTAGCACAAAAACTTGCAAAAAACTTGATTGAATAGCAGGAAACAATTTTTTTTCCAAAATTTTTCTGTTTTAGATTCTGCATGGCTGAGGCGAATTCTACGGCAGTGCTGTCTCCTATGTGCATCAATGTTTGTATAACTAGGAATTATATCACTCTTATTTGATGGCAACTATTAAAAAATGAAACACTTAAACCAGTTCGTGTCGGATGACGTGTATACACGCAAATGTTCTGTGGTATTCGGAACGGATGATGAAAACACACGCGGGGAGCGAGGCCGGAAATATCTGTCAGCGACCCGCTCGCAGCAAGCGAGGCCTGAAATATGAGTGTGCTGCCCAAGGGTGATTGCTGCAACCCGCCTGGCTTGAGGTCGAGTGAAAAGTAATCCTGCGCCTCGTTCCATTTTGGCAAAATATTCCCATGGGGTAGGCAGGCGTTCAAAGCCAATATACAGATCCAAGAAAATTGAGTCTTAACTCTCCTTTTACGTCCTGCACAAAGTGAATGAAGCTGTTGGAGTTATGTCAGACACAAAAAGAGGGCATTATTTGAAGTTGCTTACACTTTTGGTATTGTATTTTATTGTGTTCACCTTCTCTCGACAAAGGCTTTGAATATGTTTGTGTATGTTTTGTGCATGCATTAAAAAACCAGCAGTCGATTTCACATTGATTTCACGGCGTAAGTCCACTTGCACCACAATTTATTATGTAAGTTGCGCATACATATGGGTTAAAATTACATTGGCAGATGCTTCGTTTGTGGAGATAGTCAATGTAATTTTGAATATTTATTTCACAAATACATGTATGAAGTAAAAATGTTAAACAGTTTAAACATCTTGATGAAATCAAGCCATGTACATGTCATATATCATGCAAAGGTTTGATAAAATGTACAAAAGTTGTAATTATATGTAAATACATTTGTATGGATCCAATAAAATCTCTATTTTGTTGAAGCAACTAATTTAATGTGATGCATGTTAACAGTTCTGTCCAATTTGAAAAGCAGTCGAGGAGTTTGGCTTGAAATTTTTTTTTTGGTATTCTAGATTTAAAATAAGTCCAGTTGTTTAACTTGTTTTGGGATGCTAACCAACATTACAGTGTAAAAACTCTCCCGAAAAATCTGCTCAACTTCTCATAATATTGGATTGTTCTATAATCCTAACGATCCCCATCCAGCCAAACTCCAACACCAGGGTTTGTTGGAATCTGTTAGGATTAGTACTGCACTAGTAAACTGACTGTGTTTTACGTGGGATTAGACATACCACAAATAAACAGAGTCAAACTGTTTATGTGCACAGTTTACCATATAGTGTTGGGATTTGCAAGGATGAGGAAGGTTCCTAGTAAATCACCCTAGGGAGTTTGGAATAATGGATGTTTTACACCTGATTTGGATACCCCACAAATCATGACCGAGACTGATATAGTTCTGAATTCTGAAAGTACTGAATTCTTTGGATTTTTGCAATTCATCTGATGCTGAATAGTTAAAATTTTGTCACATTTTATGGAAAGACTAGCCAGACATGGATGCTGGTACCACGTTTCACTGGTAAACAACGCCCTTATTTGAAATGGCAAATCTGCAGAGATGATCCGGAGTTGGGAGAGTTCGAAGTGCTGTGTAGTACGATTGAGTTGTAACTAGATTCTTTGCATGAACTACATGTTCGTGTCTCCTCATGACAAACCGATGGGTGATTAGCTTATTCCAGGCACTGCACATGAACTCGTGATGCTCATAATCCGAATGAGATGTATTTGAACGTGTAGTTGGTGTGGTCGGATCTTCATTCCAAAAGTTGTTCCGTCGGTTGCGCTGGATGAGGGCCGGCTTGGTCGCCACTAGCACCAGCTGGTATTCACCAATTAGGCGCTTGATGACGCCCACCACTCTCCTCTGATTGGCCTCCTGGGCTGAGGCCACGCCCCCATTCATCCTATCTATCCAATAGAAAGCCGCGACGTTCTCCAGCATCAAAACACTCACATCAGGCCGGTTGGCAATGAGAGATTCCAGCGAATGCAAAGTAATAATGAGCTGGTCGCTGCTCGCACCGGCTCGAACCAGATAGAACCGGTTCAGGCAAGTTCTGATGAACGCCTCGATCTGGTCAGCCGTTGGCTCCTCAAACAGGGTCTCATCTTCTTTGACAATACTACTATCAAGCTGCTCGTTAGTCCTAGAATTATTACACTCGTCACCATTGCACAAAATGATTTCACCAGTTCTTGTCCTCTTCTTGCCAGTTTGTTTACTCGTTCGGTGATCATCACAGAAACGAGGCTCTTTGCTAGTAGCTTGCTGACCTGCAGCACCATTCGCATTCATCCTGCCATTCAATTTCTTGCACATTTCACATGTGTCTGATCCAGATTGCACATTTTCGGTTTTTGAGTTGGTGCTCAGGCTGGGATTTGATGCATCCTCTGTTAAAAAAAAAGGAAAAACTTGCATTTAGAATTGATGCATGCAACTGGGAGGTCAGAAAAAAGAGAGGAAATTCCAAGGATTTAAAGACTGTACACAGTTTTTATTTTCAATTATTGCCACAAAGCAAGTTTGTATTGCTCAGGGCATGCTCGGACGGGATGGAACTCGTCGGGAAAATACGTGAGGGAAAATTTGATCATGGTTCGCCGGGATAGGGCCAGGAACATGTAGCAATTTACAATGTTCATTTCTCAACGTCAAACTCCAATTATTACAGTATTTTGTTTACACAACAAAAATGAGATTCCTCCTTCAACAACTTTGACTCACTGCGTTTAGCCAGGTGCTCCTTCAAACGCTCACTCCTTTCTTTCGTCCTGTCCACCTCATCCACTATCCTCCTCTCGAGAACCTGAAACAGCCGTAGCATGGAGAACTGGAAATCAGCATCCACCAGGATCACGCCCACCCCCAGGCCGCCAAGCTCCGCCCCTCTCCAGGTCTCGGGGAGGATGCAGTTGCTGATGAGATGGAGGAGCAGCTCCGTCTTCCCGCATCCGCTGGGCCCGTAGAGCTCAACCGCGTCGCCGGGGTGAAGGGCGCGAGAAGGTGGAAACAGCAGGGGGTCAAGGGCCTCCAGAGAGGGTTTGGCACCCAGGCGAGCAAAAAGCTGAAAATGAAAGGAGATTTTATGTTTTTTTCAAGTTTGTTCACAGCAAAGGATGCTCATTCCATTCGTTGTGTGTGATGAGCACATATGGTGCCAACCGAAAACGGCAAGCCAATTTGCTAGCTGAAAAAATAAAGTAAAAAAATGGTAAAAAATAAAGTTTATCTCCGGTTTCAGTAGCATGAAACAACTGAGAATACATATATTTCCATTCCCTTGAGGCAGTTTGGCGCAATGGTATATAATTTTGGTTGAATCAAAGTTTGAGAGAATCAAATTTAGGTCTGGAGATTAATTATACAAGTGCAATATATGTTGTCTTTTTATTTGTGTCCAGCTAAATTTGTAGCAATGCTGTATACAAGAAGTTTAACATCCGGTGGAAAGAGTGACGTTGCCTTTACTTGGACACAAAAGTATCACTATCATGTATCAGCAGAAGAGTCAGGAAAATTGCAGAATTCTTTCAAAATCTTGCAAAATCTGCCAACTTAAGGGGAAAAAAAGGCCCGCCTCCTTTCTTTTTTCAAAAGGTTGGTTGAAATTTTTTTTTACTGGGCCTTAAAAAAAGTTATACCACTGAGAAAGCTTTCTGAGCATTTTTTAACAACTTTTGAATTGTTCATGTTGTTTCTCAGCTAGCAGTAGCAGCCAAAACATGACAAAATTCATTTGATTTTCCTACAGATCTGTACTAAGTGACCATTGTTGAGGAAATATACGGTGCAAAAATTGGTATCAAAACACAGTACTAGTCTATGATTATGAATCAGTGCACATATCAACTTGTCAACACTTTTCAATGAACTGAAAATATTTTGAAAATGTATCATCAAAAACCAACAAGATTGAAGTCTTTAAAGATCTTGGTAAGTCAACCCATCGTATCCGATATTCGATCTGCCTGATCTAAATATATCCCTTTAATTTCAGGTCTCATCCGATGAATTCGGATGGCACGGTGAACTGAAGTATGCACTCATAAAAACACAAACATTCTTTCTCTTCGCATACCTGCGCACCGGTTTCTGAAAAACCCGCGGCCATCCTTGATGATAGATTGCTACCCCTTACCGGATTTTATGCATTGACCAATCATGAAGACAGGAGACAAGACAGTAATGTGCGAAAAGTCAAATAAGTCTCGTTCAATAAGATAATATTATCAAATTAGTTTATACGCATATTATTAGTTATTTGCAAGCAATTTGAGATCAAAATGTACTATAAATATTTAAAATGTAATAAAAAAAATAATTTTTGCACATATTGTTTAAATTGTGTCATACAACTGACGTTGCATATCGATAAAAAAATATTGTTATTAATCAGAATGGCGGCGCCCATCGGTTTGTAACTTGTAATTTCTCGCAGTCTGTTAAAAACCAGATATATCTTTAAATCATTGCGCTGAACGGTTTGAGGTAGCAATTAAGTACAAAGAAAAAAACGGGTTGTTTGTTCAGCGCTACAATGGAACTAGTGTACGTGACAGAATGGCCGAAAACTGATGTAAATTTATGGTAAGTTCCTTTGTCTCTTCACCAGTTCACACTGCATGCAGACTGCTAGTGCTAGCCCAGTTTCCGGACAGAAAGATCCATTTTAATAACGTCTCTACATAGTGCTTTTCACAAACCGAATATAAGTTTATTTCACTTATTTCATTTTTTTGCTACTTGCCTTGGGAAGAGTTATGGGGACAAATCAGTGGGTGGGAATTCGCAACTTGTTTTTGTAGAATACAATATAATAATATGGCATTCATCACAATGTCCAAACTATGGATTAGTTTACGCATATAGCGTTAAATAGTGATATTAATTTAGGAATAAGTTTTGGTCCCTGAGCTGTCACCATAGGGATGCACTTATGCATCAATATTAATGCTTTAACAACAGAAAATGAATTAAACTGCTTCAAACTGCTTACTGAAGGAATGACCTGAAATGTACAACTGTCGATTGCTTTTGTGTGATAAGGTAATTTGTTTTTAAATAGTGAATATATTTTGAAATAATGAAAATTTTAGGCAGTAGCTGCAATGGGATGCGGGTGGTGAATGCAAATTTTATCTAAAAATACATTCTCATGTCCTTACAGTTTCTTTTGACACTTGGTGACTTCCCTGCCCCAATCAGAAAAGGTTTTTTTTTTCTTTTTCTGAAGTTCCAAGAAGCTGATTGGAGATACGGCCTGCAGCTGGTCCTGCCGGAATATCCTGGCCTTCAGTACGGTCAGCAACACGAAGGCCTTGGAGAAAGAGATCTATCGGCCCAAGATACACATTGTGGACCCAGACAGACCGTGGGAACTGCACAGGTATACTGGCTCAAGGGGCATGGTTTAATACAAACCAGAATTAAATTCTGTGACACCTCTTACTACTTTGCCACAAAAAAAAATGAGTTAGAAATACGAACTCGTGTCCTCTCACTCTGTCCTGAAGAAATTTAGCACTAGGGCTGTCCATTTTCAAATAATTTTCACCGCACCTTGTGCTTGCTAATGTCTGCTCAGGCTGGAAGTAGTATTAATATTCTGCCATCTGGATGTACGTGTACATGGCTGTACATGGCACAGGAGAGATGGTCGCATAGACGAGGTAAGCAAAGGAATCCACAAATGTTTGGCTGCAGACTTTTTCGTTAGTTTGTGTGAGTGTGTGTCACTGCGTTTTACGCACTCAAAACTCCAAATTCCTTTGCAGCATAACCGGTGTCCACAAGGATCTGATCCAGGTACTCCAATGGAACGCCAGCGGTACCCAGTTCTTGTCCGGCGACAGTTCGGGGACCTCTGCGCTCTGGCAGATGAAGAACCACCTCCTGAATGACTGGGAGAGTGTCGCTGAAAGCCATGTGGCTGGGGAGCCAATTGTGGCTCTGGGATGGCTGCATAGTGGAGTCAAGGTCAGTAGGCGTGGCTAACAATAGAGTCAAGGTCACTAGGCGTGGCTAATACAGTAGAACTAAGGTCAGTAGGTGTGGCCAACACAATGCAGTTGAGGTCAGTAGTGTTGCTAATACAGTGGAGTTAAGGTCAGTAGGTGTGGCTAACACAGTGGAGTTAAGGTCAGTAGGTGTGGCTAATACAGTGGAGTTAAGGTCAGTAGGTGTGGCTAACACAGTTGAGTTAAGGTCAGTAGGTGTGGCTAACACAGTTGAGTTAAGGTCAGTAGGTGTGGCTAACACAGTGGAGTTAAGGTCAGTAGGTGTGGCTAACACAGTAGAGTTAAGGTCAGTAGGTGTGGCTAACACAGTAGAGTTAAGGTCAGTAGGTGTGGCTAATACAGTGGAGTTAAGGTCAGTAGGTGTGGCTAACACAGTGGAGTTAAGGTCAGTAGGTGTGGCTAATACAGTGGAGTTAAGGTCAGTAGGTGTGGCTAACATAATGGATTCCAGGTCAGTGGGCATGTCAAGCGCAGTAGATTCCGGGTCAGTAGGTGTGGCTAACAGTGAAGTTGAGGTCAGTAGGAGTGGCTAACGCAATGGAGTCAAGGTCAGTAGGTGTGGCTAGCACAACCGAGTCTAGGTCAGGAGGAGTGGCTAACACAACTGAGTCTAGGTCAGGAGGAGTGGCTAACACAACTGAGTCTAGGTCAGGAGGAGTGGCTAACACAACTGAGTCTAAGTCAGGAGGAGTGGCTAACGCAACTGAGTCTAGGTCAGGAGGAGTGGCGCTAACAAAGGAGTCAAGGTCAGTAGGTGTGGCTAACACAAATGAGTCAAGGGCAGTAGGACTGGCTAACACAATCGAGTCAATGTTAGTAGGAGTGGCTAACAAAACCAAGGCAAGGTCAGGAGGAGTGGCTAACACAAAGGAGACAAGGTCGGTAGGTGTGGTTAACACAATGGAGTCGAGGTCAGTAGGTGTGGCTAACACAATAGAGTGAAGGTCAGAAGGTTTGGTTTAAATAACAGATTAAAACAGCTAATGTTGTATGAACAATATCCAGTAAAATCCAACAGCAGGCAAGTGTTATTTAATAACTTCAGCAAATTGTTATGGATTTATCACGCCTGACACATCTTGTGTTTCTTCTTCTTTTTTTTTTTTAGATATCCTACAATGTTGACAACATCGACTCCCCCATTATGCTGGACAAGTTCACCCGGTCTCGCTTCACCCCTTCCCTACCCCAGGTGGGGACCAAGCCAGCCAGTGGGTGGATAACCGTCACCTCTACAGGCCTGGTTAGTAGTACTCAAGTAAAAAAATCTCCACAAAATGTCCAAAAGGTGTAAATTGTACTTGGGTCACTCTCTTCTGGACATGCTAAATCTGGGGTAAGCATTGAATAGGCATTGAAGTTGATGACACCACAACTGAGAGTGGCCCAAGTAAAATTTACACCCTTTCACTTAATTGATTTTATTTCTGGATCAAGGGACCCAAACGGAATGGGGTAAAAAGGAGTGGATTGAGAAATAGTCAGGCTTTAACCCTAGCCGCCCTGAATCCTTCAAAATCCTCTGCCAAAGTGGAGGAATTTGGAGGATTGAAGTTACATGGCAAAAGTGCGTTACTGATTTCATAGGATGCACTTTGTCAAGGTCTTGGGGTAGACCTTGTGTTGTTTTTGCTCAGCTGTCCATAAATATAGGCCCGGATTATGCTTGAAATCCTCGGTACTGCTCCAGGATGTCACTGGCCAAGCCTCAACACATTGACAGTCACTGCCGCAGGATTTTGCAGGATTCAGGCAGTGGTCACCTCTCCATGGACCATATTCAAGAAACATGGGACAAGTTTGCAGGATTGAGGCTATATGCTATTTTTCCATGAGGCCAATGGGAGGAGTGTGTAGGATTGAGGCTACATCCTAGCAAAGGGCCTAGGGACTTTTAATGTAATACTAATAGGCCTATAATTTCATCATGAAAACATGAAACAGTTTTAATTACTTGTTTTTTTAATTTTGCACTTTTTTTGGGCATGCTCTGTCCTTCCAATCTGATTTAAATACTTTCAAAATGTTGAATATTGTCTTCACCCACCTTGTGCGTCAGACTGTGAAGCTGAATGCTTCAAATTTGAAGCCCGGACTAGATGAGACAAATGTGGACCGGATTGATTTTGAAATTGCTGCAGGTATCAGTGACTGTGCTGAAGAATGGCGGAGGCACTATCACAGTGACTGAGTGCCTGGGCAACACACGATGCCATGCCGAGCTGGCCGACATTGCTTACTCCAGCTGTAAGTTGTTTTTGTGTTGCCTAAACAAAATTTTGGGTTACTCTTGGATTACTGAGGTCGAAGGTCATGTAGGGGTCATTAGAGGTCATTGTTCAGATATGCTTCAAATATCTCTGTGTCTACAGAATTTGGTGGACTTTAATGCAACTTGGATGGAGTGATCCTTGGGTGGGGGTTCATCACAACTCTTCCGAAACTGGAGGTCAAAGGTCGTCTAGGGGTCATTTGAGGTTGTTTAAAAATGCACAACATTTGAATTTTTTTTTTTTTTTTAGAACACAAAACATGTAGGGATCGACCCCGAAAAAAGGCGACACGTGTGATCCGCGGATCACCTTGTCTTTGTGCCTGTAACTAGTTGAACCTAATCTTCCTCAATGGTTTAAAATTCCGTTCGACAATGACACAGTCCAGCTTTATTTTGCAGGGACTTTCCATATGTCCGTGGATATTGAGAGAATTTCAGGTTCATGTGGATCTTAAGAGAATGGAAGGTTCCTAGCAAAAATGCCCTAGGAGTTTGAGATTTCAAGGCAATACTTTCAGTAATTCTAGTCTCAACTTACATTCGTGGTTAAGTCTCAAACTTGCGTGTTTAGTCTCAGTTTTTGCACTTAGGTTTAAGTTTTGTTGATAATGACTTGAGTCTTTCTGATCAGTTTGTAAATTTGTGTGGTCAAGTATTTTGCGTTGATTTTACAAGTCTTTCTTGTCAAGTTCTTCTGGTCTTAGCGCAGTCGTTCTTTTCAAGTTTCAAGTCTTTTTCAGTTTTAATTTGATAAAAAATGTACATGATTGTTTTTTTATTTAGCTGGTGACATCCTGATTGCCACATCAGACGGGAGTTGCCGGAGTCCCGTCCAAGTCTACAAAGTCATCCTGAGCTGGAAAGAAGGTATCCTTTTTGTCCTTCAACGAATGATGAATTGTCAAAAGCAGACCTGAAACTCTGTGGGAACAACGGAAGCATTGGCCTTAACCAGTTCTCGCTGGGATTATTTTGACGAGAACTGAACGAGGCGTGGGATTACTTTTCACTGGACCTCATGCCAGGCGGGTTGAAGCCATCAGCCTTGGGCAGCACACTCATATTTCCGGCCTCACTCGCTGCGAGCGGGTCGCTGACAGATATTTCCGGCCTTGCTGGCTGCGTGTTTTTCTGTCATTCGTTCCGGATACCGCAAAACTTTTTACGTGTATGCACAGCCTCCGGCGCGAACTGGTTAATCTACCGTGGATTTTGCCTCAGCGTTCCTTGAAATTTAACATTACTAAAGATGTTGATAAAGATGTGTCTTTCATCAAAACAAAAAGGATCTGACTAATTTTCTTGACTTTGAGCTCTAACAGACAAGGTGTGCATTGAGACTGACTACTTGCCATCGCTCCATGTGCAGTGCTGTGTTGACCTCGGTAACAAGGACAAATGTAAGTGCCAAACAAATCCAACTTGTGCATATTGTTATGTCAACATATGAAATAACTTAGAGGTGATATACAACATTCGCCAACATCATAAAACAAAAATTACCAAATTATTATGAAATACCTCACTTGACTGTAAGTGAATGATAGTCTCAAGCATCCTGTGAAATCATGGCACCTGGTGTGGTGTCATTGTCAAGAAAATGGAATTTTTGATCAATTTTCAACAATGGGCAGCAGACCATCTTTGGGAATTTATAGAATAGAAGTTTTAAGCACTCTGTGAATTCTGCATGACAAAGAAGTTTTAACCCTCAGCAAATATGGGCATAATTTTTTTTTTCTCAATGGGCCAATTAGGCCAAGCTTCCATGTAATCCTCACCCCTACAATGCACCACAAGCCTGTAGACTCCCATTGGCCAGACCCTAGCCACTCCAGAGTAAGGAGTGTTGAAAGACAGAAGCCAAGATGGCGCCCAATGCCTTTGCGCAGTAATTGGAGATCTTAGTGGCCAGCCCTAAGTGCCGCCGATCCCTCTGTGTCAACCCCTCGCGCCACCCGGAGCTCAGACAGGTTGTAAACAATCCCTGGCCATGTGAATGACCTATATCTTGTGCATGTACAGGCATGCCAGGGTTATTAACCTATAAACACATGTGGTGATAAAATTCTCCATGTGGTTCCTGGGTGTGATTTTTGTTGATAAGCTGCTCCGAAGGTTAAACTGCCAATTGTTTTGGTTGTACACATAATTATTTCTTTGTCTCTTGTAGACGTAACCATCACCCATCTGAGATTCATCAACAAAGAGTGTTACGAAGAGGAGAGTACGTCCCTCCCAGCAGAGCAACTCATCATATCTGCAATCGGTAAGCTTCAAAAGACATCTGTAAATTAGAATTGTTGGAAAAAACCTTCGTGGACAATCTATCAAGTTCAGGAAACACACTGTTCTCAGTTTAAACAACCTTTTAGCGCTCACTCTTTTGATATTACAATGTTCTTCTATTTATACGCATGCTAATCTTAAAATGCCCTATTTTAAAACATTTTACTGGAATGATAACCATTCCGAAGTATCAGATTCATAGGAGGAGTATTCCCGTTGGAAAGAAAATCGTTTTGGATTATTTATTAGAATATTACTTATCAAATTGTCTGAAGGAATAATATCAGAAAAAGAAATACAATTTCACTGTTAAAAATGATAAAAAAAAAAAAAAAAAAAAAAAAACGCAACTCATTGGAGATGTTTATATAATAGTATAGGATGCTTGTTTATGGACATATTTTTCTTATTGAACCGTTTTTTTTTATGAAATAATGAATTATTACCCATTGTTCACATCTTCTAAAGGTTCCTCCGGTTCCTGCGTTGAGTTCTGGAGTCTTAGCAAAGAGTTCATCCCATTGAATAAGATCTTCCAGACAAGCCCCCCTCCCTCAAGGGAGTCACAGCCGACTACACAAGTATGTCCGTATACCAGATCAGTCCTGCTCATGTTGTTCTAACCAATCACAGCCATAAAAACCAAATAGCTGACAAAACTTAAGCATGACGCACACAGCTTTATTGTTGTACCAAGTCCTTTTTTCACAAGTCAAGTCAAGTCACAAGTCAAATTTTCACAAGTTAAATCAAGTAGTAAGCCACTTGTTTCCAAGTTTAAGTCAAGTCTCAAGTCAATTTTTTTTAAAGTCCATATGAACATTGCAGCAAAGCTAGAAACCAATCTACATGTATATGTATGCGATGGGGTTAAGCATGCATCATATAGCACACGAGTCTAATAAAGCAAACATTAAATTAAATTAATTAAGTAATATCGTGTCAAAATGGCCCTAGTCTTGCCACATAATAATACCGGAGTCTTATATAGCGCACGTATCTACTAACAATTAGGCACTCAAGGCGCTGGTAAAATCTATTTCTAAAGACAGGTAAATGAGAGAAAATAATATTCAGAATGGAAAGTATTTTTTTTGAGTGGGAAATGGGAAAACGTAAGGAAAATACTCCTGTCCTGAATCACGATCCTTATAGATATTGCAGCCACATAATTATTGTAAAAGTTCTCAAGTCAAGTCACAATCTGTTCAAATGAACTTTGATAAATTCAAGGTTTTTTTATTTCAATTTTCAGAAATGGGTGTTTGGTTCTTGCTACACCAACACTGCGGCAGTGACCGGCCTGTGTCTGCCCAAGCTACCGGTCAAGCTGTCCAGTAAATCCATCTACAACGGGCCCGGTATGGTCATGGCCGTGGCATTCCAAGATGGCAGCGTCAAGCTGCTCCATAGGTAAAAAAAAAATCAACAGCTTCCATGGTAACATATTCATCTAAAGTAATTTTTATAGTCGAGGATCATTAGTTCACTTGTCATTTGGCGATCGGCTTATGCCTGCGCACTAATATATGTACTAGTTTTATTTCAACAGGGCAGCCTTTTCCAGAGTTGTAATGACTCGAGTCAATGACTCGACTCGAGTCGGACTCGAGTCACAATTTTTGGTGACTCGACTCGAGTCCCTAAGGGTAAATGAGTCGACTCGACTTGAGTCACTGTGAGCAAATGACTCGACTCGACTCGAGTCCCTCATCAGAAGACTCGACTCAACTTGAGCGAAGGCTAATAAGACTTAGTCCCAAAAATAAAAGCACAACCACCTCATGGTTCTAGAACGCACAAAATACTATCCAGGAACCAGATTTTTAAACACATTTTCTAATTCGCTGTTTCATCATTAGCTTTAGGCGATTTCTTATAAAGCTCATGGATTCGAACGCTGGCTTAACTTATGGCCTCCGTTTATAAATCTTGGTATATAGTGTTCAAATATTCGTGACTCGAATTGCCTCGAGCTAAATATTTGACTCGACTCGACCTTTGGACCTAATGACTCGGCTCGACTCGAGTCACTTCTTTAAAATGACTCGACTTGACTTGAGTCACTTCTTTAAAATGACTCGACTTGACTCAAGTCACAAAAACCAGTGACTCGTTACAACTCTGGCCTTTTCAGTTATTTAAACTGATGTTCTTAAGAGCCCTGATTCCATTAAAATAAGTTATTGAATAAAGTTAAAAGTGTGCTTACTAACTGACTGTTTAAAAACCGCCAGCGTGCCAGGTGGGATCCCGCAAGTTTAACTTGCAGTAGGCCTATTTTTCATTTTGCGTCCTTAATTGGTTCACACTATCTACCACTGTCCACTCTCAAGTGGAATGTTCCTATTTACAAGCACGTCTGGAAATTGAAAAAAAAATTGCTGAGATTTTTCTTTATATTTGTTTAATTGCCTTGCAGAGTTTCTTTGAAGCCGTGTGCGCCCTTTAAGTACGAAGGGGCCAAAGTGGATACCGGATCACAAGGTATACTTAAAATAAATCTGACATCGTTTTGAAGTTAATGTTCTGTTTTTATGTGAAGTCATTTTTCAGAAATGCCAGCGGAAGCTGAATTTCTGTACATTCGATACATACGATAAGTGTTACTGGGTTCTTTAATGTGCATTACACAACACACGGGACCTACGGCTTTACATCCCATCTGAAGGACTAAGCAATCATGGTAAAGTGCCTTGCTCAAGAGCACAAGCACCATGGTCCCACGGTCAGAATTCGAACTTATCTACCACAGCACACGAGTCGAACACTGTAACCGATGGACCACAGCGCCCTATGTACTGTTACCCAAAATGAAATTAAGAAGTATGTACATTGAGAGAAATCAAAGACCAGTTCATGTTATTGGAACGCCGCTCAGTTCAGTTTGCAGCCAATGGCAGGCAGCGTTTACAGGATTGGTAGCTAGACGTCAGAAGTTCATGGGTCACTCGACGGAAATCTTGGTTTCTGAGATAATAGATGAGCACGTTCAGCCAACTGTTTGTCAGGACGGGCAGGACTACCGTGAACAGGACTGCGATTGGGTGTCCACCGGGTATGAAAAGAAACACACCCAAGATTGGCACGAGGTTGAAAACAGTTGCAGTCAAAACTATAATGAGGACTGTTTTCAGGGCCTTGTTGTCAGGCCTCGCGGCAGGGTTACCCGGTTGAGCGAATTGGTTTTCGACTTGGATGACTCTCGCCTGGCGGCGCGATATCATGAACAGTTGTGCATAGGCCATGATAGTAACCAACAAACTGCTGGCTACCATGCATGAGTAGGCTACTTGTCCAAATAGTTTGGAGGATTCTAACTGCAATAAACACATTGGGATATATTTGGCGTATTCAGTTTTCCAATGTGAAGAAAACCCGTATGCAGTTGCTATTACCGGGAGTGCTGCCCACATACAACAGACAGAAATCCGGGCCCGTTTCACAGTTACGAGAGATGGGTAGCGCAGCGCGTGCGCCACTGAGATGTAGCGATCCACTGTCAGCAACAGGAGTGACACCTGGGGACTGAAGAACAAGGTGCAGTCGACAAACGACAGCACTTTGCAGAACGCCTCGCTGAGATGCTCAGTCTCGGAAATTGCCAGCGCGGTCATCGGGAGAGCTCGGAAGAGTCCCACCCCGAGATCGGCAATCGTCATGGATGTGAGGAAAACCTTGGTTGTCTCTTGGATGCTGCGGACGTGCCTCAGGACCACAAGACACAGCGGGTTGAGGGTCAGAAGTAGGATGGTCGTTATGACGAGCAGGATGCATCGGATGAAGTTGTACTCAATTCTGTCCTCGGTTGTTGGGGTCGTGGATGCATTGATTGTAGACGGGTCTTCATTCACTCCTGTTGAATTCATCGTGATGTTCATTTTGCTTGGTCGGATTCAATCTGTTCGCAGGAACTTTATTTTACTTCCACAGACTTGCACAGACAACAGGAATAAATGTTGACAAAATTTTTATTTTTACTTCAAACCTTTTTTGAACGTTATAGGAGTAGATGTAGTCAGAAAAGTGTAACATATTGCAAATGAGAGGTAAACTGCATGCAGAGGGTTTTGTACGTAGGCTTCATCTCTTGAAAAAGAATTAAATGGGTGCGGCTTGTCCTTGTCAAGCACATGATCAAGTGTGTACATGTATATAATCATAGATCAGTGCTGATTGGCCAGTCTCTGATTGGTTCCTTGATATTCTATATTTTGATTGACATACAATATTGTCATTGTGAGCGGCACGTTGATATTGCATTTAAAGGTAGCGTCCATCATTTGTAATTTGTGCATTATGTTCGTTTGAAGCAACCAAAGTGCTCATAATCTAAAGAAGGGTGCTGAATATCTAACCTGATGAACTTTCAGCTCAGTGAATACTGTATATTCTGAGAAAAAAATATTCTAGGATCTCGATTTCAAATCCAAAGTTGCTGAGTCATGTTTTGAATTGGGCTAGAATTCAGCGTGCAAGACAGGTTCTCAATAAGCCAATTTCAGCTATTGTACTGAACCGACAAATTATTGCAACCGCGTGAGCGTGTGCGTCATGTCAACGCTTGCGCACGCTTTGCCGTATAAGAAAATGAACTACTTATTAAATTTCTGCCTTAAGACTCATCGTTGGAAATGGCCTTCTTTCATTGATTTCTTCAAAATGACAGCTTGCCAGAAAGAATAATTTCACAGGGAGTTTTGTCCCATTACTATCTTTAAACCAAGTATATGCGTTTCAACAATGATTACGTCAGTTACTTTTTGGATTGCAGCAAACGATGGACTGTACCTTTAAAGCAATCGTGGGATGCATTTTCAGCTAATGGCAATTTCCTGCAAAATGCAAATTACCTGTCAATTTCCATTTACAATGCATTCAAGTCAGTTGCCAGCATAATGTGTTTTTAATAACCCTTGTTAAAACAACATGCCAACTGGCCCTCAGCTATTGCTAATGCCTACCTTCAATAAATTGCCTCATGTCAAGAAGTTGATGACTTCATTGTCAGATCAGCATTATCAGCATTATTGGAGACTCCTGACTGAGGAGACATCAAGCTCAATGTCAGGTTTATTGTTTCGTTTTTTTTTTATATTTTAATTCCCCGCCATCGGGTCCCCCGATTGCAGGCAAATACAGACTTGGGTGTTCCTATTGAATTCTCAAACTCCATAGCGTTTCCCTTATGGGGTATATTGATTTCTAAAGACTTCCTTATGGGGTCTACTGTTCTATTGTGATTTCTACCCCATAAGGATGCAAGTACTTTAGGATGTTCAAATGGCAGTGTCATGTCATGGGAACAGTCATGGTTGCGGGGCATTTGTGTTTATCTAACACAACTTTTCTTGTTTCAAAAGTAAGATGATGACACAAATAATTTCTACTAATTCTGATTCAAATTTTTTTTTTGTGGAATGATTGCAGCGAAGAGACAGAAAGTCTACAACGGCAAGCATCTGGTGTGCATGGAGATGTCCAGTACGTGCTGCAGCATCATGGCTATAGACCGCATGGGGGCGCTGTGTCTGATCAAGATCGCGCCGACCCTGGGACAGGCCCTCGACCAAGGTACGCAGAACAGTTGGGTAGGGTATAGACACCATGGGAGTCTGAGACTTGAAGGACAAGTTGTTAGACACTGTCGTGTTTTGTCCAACAAGGCCCCCAATATTTACCAGCATGGCCCTCGCTAGCGCTGTGTATCATGTTTACATAATTTTCCCCCTCAAAAACTGCTTGTTCGCAGGTGCCGCTAGGGCCCACACCATTGCCCAGGTAGTAAACCTGTTGGAGTATAGTCTGGTGACTGGCTATGAGTGGTGGGATCTGCTGCACACAATCACACCAGGTTAGTTTGATTTGCTTTGTTAGTACATCTCCATGGCACTTTTAAGTCCAGTTGTTAAACTTTCCTTTTTATTGAGTTTTTCGTAAGGATTAAAAACATGTCTGCATTCATGAGCCATGTTTTCAGATTCACTGAACCAATCTCTTGTGACAATTTGATGACACTGCTTAACACTTAGAAGAAGAGTTGCATCAACTGTAGTAGGAAAATTGTGCTAGTGTATTTCATATAGCAAGGATAAATGTTGTGTGCATTGAAGCTTTCTGTTGTGCCACTATTTGAAGGACGTTTTGCCTCTGGAGTTTTGCACCGCTTGCTTCGTTTGGTTTCCTTGAATTTGATGAAGGTTTCAGTGGTAGAACATTGTGTGCTTTGCAGTGTGTATGTAATGTTGCCCTTTTACTTGGTAGGAGAATAAGCTAAAGTCTTGTGTCTGTTACAGCTTATTGCATTTTCCTCTGTCTGGCCTTATTTGTACAAGATGTAAGTTTCTCACTCCATGACCGTTTTTGTTATTAGTTCATCGTGATTTGTTAAACTTCTTAGGTATGGTTGACACAGTGATAGACCGGCTGACAGAGGCCTTCAACAGACAAGCCAAGTCCACCCAGGAACTGCTCTTCTCTCGTCTGGTGGCCGTTAAAGGATCTCTCCACAGGTATTCATCTCAGCCTATCACAAGTCTGTCACATGTCAATCACATGTCCATCACAAGTCCATAACATGTCCATCACATGTCCATCACATGTCCATCACGAGTCCATCACAGTCCATCACGAGTCCATCACAAGTCCATCACATGTCCATCACAAGTCCATCACAAGTCCATCACAAGTCCATCACAAGTTCGTCACATGTCCATCACAAGTTCGTCACATGTCCGTCACATGTCCATCACATGTCCATCACATGTCCATCACTAGTCCATCACATCTCCATCACAAGTCCATCACAAGTCCGTCACATGTCCATCACATGTCCATCACAAGTCCATCACAAGTCCATCACAATTCTTCACATGTCCATCACAAGTCAATCACATGGCCATCACATGTCCATCACATATCCATCACAAGTCCGTCACAAGTCCGTCACAAGTCCATCACAATTCCTTCACAAGTCTGTCACAAGTCCATCACAAGTCCATCACATGTCCATCACAAGTCCATCACATGTCCATCACAAGTCCATCACAAGTCCATCACAAGTCCATCACAAGTCCAACACAAGTCATCACATGTCCATCACAAGTCCATCACAAGTCCAGTAAGCAGGAAGTCGTGGGTTCAAGTCCCGCCTGAGTAAACTTGTGAATTGTTCTCGCAAGCCCTCGGAAAACACTGAGTATACAGTGTTTATAAAATTATTTAAAAATATAATAATAATAGTCGGCGAAGGGTAAAACCTTTTATAGCAATTTCACATCTCCTCGATGCAAATTCCATCTGATAAGCAGCACCATCTACCTTTCATACATTTACAGTTTCCTTTTTTAAAAATGCAGAATGACTTCTAGCGGAGCAGGCAAGTCCGTTGACTGCTACTGTAAGCTGCTTCTCAACGCCATCTCATCAGAGTTCAAGTCGCTCCTCAGACCATCCAGCGTCTCCACTCAAGACAAGTCACCCACTGAAAAACTCGCAGGTATTAGATCTTGTCAGTGTTGTATCACGAGTTAAAGCTATAGTCCATCATTTGCAGCCATCCGAAAAGTAACTGGCGTAATTATTGTCGAAAAACATACTTGGTTGAAAGATAGTAAGGGGACTAAACTCCCTGTGAAATTATTCTTTCTGGCAAGCTGTCATTTTGAAGTGATCAACGAAAGAAGGCCTTTCCAACGGTGCTTTTTAAGATGTACCGTAGGAAATTTGAATTAGTAGTTCGTTTTGTTATTCGGCGAAGTGCGCGCAAGCATTGGCACGACGCACAAGCACGCGCGGTTGCTATAATTCGTCGGATCAGTGCACGACATCGCGTAGCTGCAATCGGCTCAGTGAGAACGTGTCTCGGACGCTGAATTCAGGCCCAATTCAAAACATGATTCAGCAACTTTTGATTTGAAATTGAGATCCTAGAATGCTGTTTTTCGCGGAATATACAGCTGAAGCAGAGCTGAAACTTCATCAGGTTAGTTGCTCAGCACCCTTCTTTAGATTTTGAGCACTTTTGTTGCTTTAAACAAACAAAATGCACAAATTACAAATGATGGACTATATCTTTAAATGGTAAGTTATTCACGAGTCAGTCACAGAGCAGTCCATAAGTTCATTGCAAGTCAATCAAACATTGAATAATCAGGGTCCGATCAAGCTTGTTATGTTAATTCACTGTTTCGTCTTCAAGGACTGTTTCCCAATTCTTTACTTTCTTTGGCAGCTATCTGTGCCCACAGCAGTGAGCTGGATCTCAACAAGGTCCTCCTGAACCTAGACGCCAAGGAGTTCGCTTTGGATCCTAGTAAGTCACACAAATACAATCAGTAACATTCAAAATATAAGTGCAGTTTTTTCATTCAGAAAAATACCCACTATTTTTATTATTATGATATGACCTATTCATTAAAGTATCCAACAACTTTTATTTTGAAAAAGAAAATAATTTTATGACTCTCATTTCTTGATTAAAAAATTTAAAAAATTACCATTTTTAATTTGAATAAATCATGGCAGTAAAGACACGTTGGAGCTTAACTCTAAAATCAGAAAACTTGAATATTGTTTTGTTTTTCAATTTTGGCCATGTCTAGTTTCGGTCTCCCCTTTTTCTCGCTGCAGATACTCTGCAGTCCTTACAGCAGTTGATCCAGTGGATTGCAGACTATTGTCTCCACACGCTGAGCACCGTACCTCAGCAAGCGTCCAACCCGACCAAACCAGGGGTTGGTAACATTTGCAGGAATTTTGTAAAAAATAATTGTAAACAAATGTCATTTTTGAGCTGTAGCAACGTATAAAACTGTTGCCAATAACTGTAGATTCACATCAGTACCCCAAAATGTTATGTCACCCTCTTTCGCTCAAGAATATGACCTATTGATGTTTTGATGTGACCTTTGACCTCTGTAGATAAGTATATTGAGAGACACGTCAACGCTGTGCTTACTGCGCGAGATGCTGGTACTCGTCAAGGTGTGGGGAATGCACAAGAAGACTTGTTTACCGGTCTTCTCAACCACACCAGGTAATTGCATCTTTGTCGCCTAATTTTGATTATTTTTTTTGGAATAAAGATGTTTTTTAGAGATCTCTCCCAAAGGACGCAATCTTCGTAGGAATATCACAACTGTGTGTTGAACGCCATCAAGTGTGTGTGCGCGCAGTTTGCAATATGTTCTAAACATGCGCACATGTTACCGCGCAGCCGATGCGCGTCACCACAATTTGACGCACAAATTGCCGATGCACGTGGCAATCTGCAGGAAGTGACGTCATTTGAGAGAGACCTATTAAGGCCTCCCCAGGCCTTGGTATTCATCTGGTACAGTGGCGTATCAAGCAGGAGAGAACAATTTTTTATTTTAAATATAAAACAATTTTATAAACTTGTCTTTAGGAAATGAAAACACAAGTGTTGGGCGCGATTGGTGGATCACGCTGCGCTGTCAGTCAACCGTGACAACATCGATCGATCGCGCCGCCATCAGTCGATCACCTTTTCTTTCTGATGCACGGCTCTGGAGGATTCTTTTGAAACAGGAGAAGAAAAGTCTGAGATTGCCTACAGGATTGACTGATCGCGCAAGTGCATTTGGGCACGATCGACCAATAGCGCAGACCCACTGATCGTGCCCAACACTAGCACTTCAACAGCTACTTGTTGCAATAACCTTCCTCGCCTGAACGTTTTATACGATTGAGCAAAAATCGGGGCCACTTGTTCAGAAAAAAAATCATTTGCCCTACCTGGACTGAAAATCTGGATACACTTCAGGTGTGACACTGAGTTTAAACATCGGAGGTAGCTGACTTTGTTTGATAGAACATTGTTTGCATGTTGTGATAATCTTTGGTACAAAATACTGGGATGTACATGTATTTTGGTTTTGTGTTTTTAATTTCTGGTATAGAATCTTTCGATACTGTGTCCCATCTGTACAAGCTCATAACCCAAGTCTGGTTGGCCAGCAAGGAGATCCCACCTGCAGAGCTCGATGACAACACGGTGGGTAAGTAACCAAGAGAATTTGTTTGGTAAGCACAAATCAGCATGGAGATGCCGGTAAATAGCTAAGTAAGTTCATTTGGTAAGAACTTATCAGTTTCAAGATCCCTCCGGGAAGATTAGCCAGTTTATTGTACTAAGCACAAATTAGTAAGCAAATTTATTCTGTCGCGCACAAATCATTAAGGAGAGCCCTCTAAGTAGCTAATGGAATTCATTTGGTAAGCACTTATCAGAAACGAGATCCCTCCGGGAAGATAAGCCAATTTATTGTGCTAAGCACAAATTAGTAAGCAAATTTATTTTGTCGAGCACAAATCATTGAGGAGAGCCCGCTAAGTAGCTATTGGAATTTATTTTCCGAATTGGGCGATCTTGGTATCATTTTTCTTAAAAAAGATTCTCCATACATTGGTATGTGTGGTTTGAGTCTCGGGGCAGTGGAAGTATGAGGTTTCGGTTTTTTTTTTTTACCACCCTGTAAAATCTTAATTCTCGAACCACTGAACATGAGCTTTATCTGTTAATTTCAATTGAATTCATTTTTTTCAGATGAGTGCTGTCTCTTGCCCAGCCAAATCATCATGCAACCACTGGATGTGACACCTGTTACAGAAGGTACCAAAATACAACTTGTAGATTTGGGAGTGGGGAGATTTTATTAAAAAAAAAACGGTTCATAGTTTACGTGAACGTGAAGCAAATTAGACTTCAGTAAAATCCTCGGCAAAATTAGCCGAACATGCAAAACTTGTACAAGTTGCAAATTAGTGGCATGAACATGTGATTTGACATTGCTAGTTTGCATTCGCTTCAACATTTTGGACACAATCTGGTCTCCAAAAGATTTTTCGGTACAGCAGTCGTTCATTAGATTTTAAGCCGGCAATGCTGGTTATAAACGTTCTTATAATTTGGAAGCCAAAAAGAGTGTTCATTATAGCCACGTACATTAAGAGTGCTGTACTCATGTTAGCTTGTTAATATTTTAGTTAATTTGATCCTACTTCGGTGCTTTCTGTTGTCGGACTTGACATCTATGTAAAAATTGGCATCTCAGCTGGTTTCCATTCTTCTTGCATTTGCTCAACACTCAGGAATCACCGGTAAGCTGCTGATCCTGCGCCAGGCCATGAGTTTCCAGTTCCACACCGCGCCGTCCCACATGGTCAACATAGCCACCTTCGGTCACAGCCTGAACATCTTCCCGGGGTCAGAGGTCAACGTCCGGTCGCTGACCGACAGGATCCACCAGAAGACGGACGTGGTCCGCCGGCTCTACCTTGGGGTGTCACCGCCAGAGGAAATCCGAAGTTGCACCAGGTGCGCAGGGGTGGATCCAAGCCTAGTGTTCAGAGTTTCTGCCTCATGATCAGAGGTCAGGGGTTCGAATCAAGCTGCTTGCTATTATGTTGTGTCCTTGGGCAAGCCACTCTACCCCAACCTGCCTCTCTCCACTCAGAAGTATAAATGATTTACTGTCATCCCATCCAGGGGGAATAAAAATATTCTAGGTTGTTGCTGGCCACAGAAACCGAAGATAAATACTGATGACCCATTTTGGCTCGGAAGCAACATCTTGAGTTGTTTGCTCTGTGTTATATGAAGAGCGTCATGAAAGTGAATGATGGCTTTGAGTTGAACTGATTGATGCTCAAGCCTTGGCAAGCTGTTATTACTCATGTCCTTGAGCAGGATACTTTACCACAACTTCCTGGTTGTTTGTTCTGTGCTATGATAGCACCATTATGGAAACGAATGTAGGTTTGACTTGAATTGGTTGAGAATACATAGATATGGTTTAAAGTGTCCACGAAATGAATTGTTCTTAGGAATATATGAAAAATCTTTGACATCCCTTTTTGTTTAATTTTATTCAAAACTGCACTTCTTTAAACATTTAAAATATCCATGGTTTTCCGGACAACTGAGGGCGCTGTTGCTGTGATGTCATTTCAGGAAGACACTGTTCAGTTTAGGGGGTTTTCTGTTCAAATGTAAACCCAAAAATCTGCTCATTGAAAACATTTGCGAGAAAATTTGCTCATTGGCTTAACGTCTCCCATTGTACTGACACAAAGAATCACCAAAGAAAAGAAAATTTACAACAGCAAAATATCCAAAATTCTGGTTACTTTTTGTGCTGAAATGGTATCACACTTTGCTCATGCATATGGAAAGTTGCAAAAGCATAAAAACCAAAAGGCACCAAAATACCCTTGAAAAATGGCAAAACGAAAATTGAAAATACGGTTAAATGGGACACAAAGGTGCATTTTCAAAGATTGTATTAAACAAAATTACATTGCATGGGACCTTGAAGGTATTTGAATTGGACAATTTTTCCCTTCACTTTTAGATGTTCTTCCATCTCAATGTTGAACTCGCCGAGTCGTTCGTCGGCCATGAAGTCGTGGGAGCAGCGCTGGGCAAAATCTTGCCTCTGCGGTGGTCTTTGGAGAAAGGTGATCGTGGAGTGAGACAGTGGAATTTCGGGTAAGTCCAGTGCCATTCTTACTCTCGTATTTATTGTAACCATTGACAAAAATAGCCTTTTTGAAGTAAGATTTGAGGCTTTGCATGGTGGAGATACTTAATAATGAAAGGTTTGCAAAAACACCATGATAGCGCTTTTTGTTTTGGGTACGCTCTTTTGTATTAACTCAAATTTACCCAACCAAAAGAGCGCCCTCTTGTGTCTGCTATATGTCAAAAGGCTAATGGACAGAGCTGCTAAAAGAATAGAATTTTTCTGCTTTAGCAGGTAGGGCTGTCATTTTCAAATAATTTAGTAATCAATTATTCAAAACTGCGTTTCACCGAGTATTCGAATATTCAAAACGCTCCGATCAAGTTTTACACACCCTAGCTGCAACTGCATGCTGCCCTGGTCAAAAGTTGCACGCAAAGCGCGCCGATTACAATTTGCGTGCGGCGATCGATATTATGGACTGTTTTACAGTATTTTGTTGGTACCTGAAAAGGTTGGGAACAATGAACCGCCGTTGTCAAAAAAAAAATGGCATCTGACAATGAAGCGCTGCAAATTAACGATTAAAATAGCATCACAGTCATGTACATGTGCGTATTTATATTTTTGAATATTCAAACTGGAAAAAAGCTATTCGACTATGTTGATGATTGAATATTCAGTATATTCGGAATGGCCCTATGAGCAGGTTTATTTAAATTTTGGTTTAGAAACGGTGACAAATAAATTTCTTCAGATTTGTCTCAAGGGTTAGTGTGAGAAGTTTTCCGCTTACACCATAAAAATTACAAAATAAATCATAAAATTGACATTGACAAAAATGGGAAACCACGGACATAGAACTGGATAGCCCAGTTGGTAGAGCACCGGAACGGCAATCCGGAGGTCGCAGTCAATTTCTTTGTTCAATTTTCAAATTATCATAAAAATTACGCAAAACTTTTCCAATTACATAGACAGTTCACAATATGAATGAAGTCATTGACACAGTCATGTCTGTTGTATTCAGGTATTTTTTTTAATTATAGTTTCTCATTTTTTTCTTTTGATTTTTTTTTTTTTTCAGTTTGCATTTTAAAAAATTTATTATTTTTTTTAATTAATGGATTTTTTTTAATGCGTTCTTATGAAGATCGAATGAAAGTTCATCATGTAAACATGATTTTCTGTAATTAACAAATTGTTGTCAAATTTAAGCATAATGTTAAAAAAAAATTTGGCTATTCATATTGGATACATTATTTGAAGGACATTGAAATGCAAAATTATTTATTATTATTTTTAAAAATATGCTCTGAATCTGATGAAATGCACGTTTTAAAACTTTAATCTGTTATTCTGTGCACGATCTGAAACAGCCCCCTGCTCCAGCCCCCCTCCCCAGCCCGTCCCTATACCCTAAACACACATTAGAACATTGTTACCTAACCCATTCCCCTAGATGTCTCAAAAGAATTCCTGAGATTCAGGAAAGACAATGACCAACAAAAAAGGGAGGGGGTCCCTCTGTCGCAAAATTTGCTTCAAATGACAAGTTGATTTAAAAAAAAATGTATATATAATAAAGAAAAATGTAATTTCATATTAGGAACTAGATATATTATGAAAATATATATATTTAATATTCTCCAAAAGTGTAATATAAAATCTATTATACAAGTATGCATACCTCACTTTGATATGCATAAACCTCATGAATAACTTTTTTTTTAATAAAATATATTTGTAAAAAAGTAGATTTTGATATTTGTCCTTTGTTAAATTATGACAAGTCGTCAAATCTTACATTATTGAGTCAAGGTACGAAATGGAACTGTTAAAAAGGCAATTTGTTTTCTTCATTCTACATCTCTGGTTACTTGTGACTTAATTAGTGATTTAACTTATTACCAACTCTAGACTTTTGTAGTTACTATCCGCATCTTATCTTTGTTTTTGTTTTCTTTGTTTGTATTTATTTATTTCTTGTTTTGTTTTTTCTTCGTTCAATATCCAACTCCTGGCAGACTCTTGCCTCTATTCAGCAGTTGGACCCTCACATCTTCGATCTTGGGGAGCTTTATGTATCCGGAGCACCACTGGATTGTCTTCTTGACCTCTGCTCCCCTCTCCTCGAGCAATGGAACGTTCCCGTGCTGGCCAATAAGGCGGAGTGTCTCCCCAACCCCATACATATCACTGCATGTGGTCCAGTGCACCTTGGAAGCCACCATTCCCTCCAGAGGGGTGTTTGTGTCCGACTCCGCCACTTCGAGGGGAAGCACCAGTGGCACCCGCGATTGGCGGCACTCTCCAAAATCTATGATTCGTGCGCTCCAGCGATCAGCGCCCTCAACCAGTAAAATATTGTCGGTCTTGATATCCATGTGGAGCAGGTTGCACCGGTGCATGTACCGAACCCCTTCGACGATGTCCAGTGCAATTTTACACCACTCGTCCTGTGTGAGCTCTAGGGGGCGCCCTCCATATAAAGCATCAGTGAGTGTCAGTGGGCGCGCTGTGAGCTCGTCCCCAAGAAACTCAGAAACCAGGGCCTTTTGGCTGTCGCGGAGCACCACACCGTAGACTTTCGGGAACGAGGTGTGGTTGCTAAGCATCTGCATCGCTTGTCCTTCGAGGATGACGTTGTCGCGATCGTTGTTGCGATCGTCGTCTCTCAGGAGTGACTTGTACGCCACCCAGCGGCCGGTCGAGAGCTGGTACTTCAGGGTGACCTCTCCGAAGGCTCCACGACCCAGGACTGTCTGGCCGTCCGGAGGGTCAATGAAATCCGCTGCATCCAGGACTGCAATAGGCTCAAGTTCAGTCCTTGGTAGAACATTTGGTGGCCTGCTGGAATGAAAGCGAAAAAGCTCCAATTATGTTGGATACCAGTATGTTTTATGTTCATTATAAACTAAGATAAGTTGGATGAAATCCTACTTGTATCATGTTTTTGCAAAGGGTAAAGCACGTAAGGTTGTTTTGGTTTCGTAACTTATGATTGTTTCATTTGGATAAATTAATAAATATTTTTCTCATACAAGGAAGAGGTTTATTTCTCTGTGTCTTGTCTGTTTGCTCATTTATATTAGCATGCTTGTCTGTTGTCATAGTGAACAAAACTTGAGATGCAATATGCTCACTTCTTGTGTACTGTTTAATGAATGAGCCTCTTGAAAATAATTTTTGTTTTAATGAAAAAAAAATCGTCCTTCGAATTCTAGCTCACCTTTGAACACCACCTGGTTGAAAAGGTGGACTGAGGTTGTGAAGATCATCATCATAATCATCCCCATCTTTGTCATCGTCACTGTCATCCTCACTAGAGAGGCCATCTCCAAGCCAACTGTTGCCATGGTGATACAGGTCAGGCAGTTGACCTTTGACCTTGACCTTTTGTTTCCCTTCCTCGACCCCACATTCCTGTTCAGAATCCGTGCTATCTTCGTCGGATTCATCTTGGAAGTAACAGCCTTTCAGTTCACCTCCGTTCTGGAATTTACTCTGGATGGGTTGGAATGGATCATCGGACTCATCGCCAGTTGAATCTTCACTGTCTGAATCATTCAAATCATTGTCATCTCTGGAATCAGTTGATTCCTCGCCGTCTGAATCATCCAAATCATTGTCATCTCTGGAATCAGTTGATTCCTCACCGTCTGAATCATCCAAATCATTGTCGGAATCTCTTGGATCATCTGGATCAGAATCAGTTCCAGGATGATTGAATTCAAGATCCATATCACTTGCATCATCGTCAGTGTCAGTTTCGTCAGAATCACTGCTGTCAAAATCACCATCTTCTGATCTGATAGGCGTGCCATTCTGCCAGAGGTTATCAGTGGATATGTGGCTTTCATCGTGAAGTACCTGTGAAATAAAGTAACATAAACATCATCTACAAGTTAACTGGGAAAACAAACTCTACAAGTAGCTCTGGAAAGCTCAGTACGTGTATATGAATGTATGAATTACATTGGTGAATCCATTTATGGGATACATGTACTTCAATCACCTTTTTGTACGGTTGAGTTGCTTGCCGAGGTAAATTGCATTGAACAGGTATTACTTCAGGTGTCGTTGAAAATTTTGGAATGATAAAATATGTAGAAATAGTGTCAATTCATAAGTTCTCAATAGCAATTGCTATTACAGAAAAATTGCAAACAGGTTTACAAATGTCAGATACATCCTTTCTCATTGTAAGTGTACACATTTTTTTGGGTAGAATTCATAATTCAAATTTTCCATTTTACCTCCGACTGATAGAAATCAAGGTCAGTATCGACCAGGGGTAGTACAGCCTCGATGTGGGTTGGAACAGCCTCGATGTGGCTTTCCACAGCCTCCGCGTGAGTAAGGGCTTTGTACAGCAGGGAAGCCGGGCGTTTATCACCACACCGGTCGTCGCGGAGGAGATCGGGCCGCTGACGACCCGTGCGTGGTCGAGCCGCCTGTGGCCGAAATGCTGGCTCGGTGGGCCGCGTGGCACGGCGGAATCTCTCGCCAGGCCGCCTAAAAGAAAACCAACAAAAAACCCCTGTTGCTGCTCTGTTGTAAAATAACTTTTCTTCACAGCAGCGGATAGTGGTTTAAAAGTGAATGATTGGGAGATGATGCTCACGTTTTTCGGATAATTTTCCTGGCGTATCGTGCAAGAAAGGCGGAAGTGAAGAAACATGCCCGGTATCCGGACCTGAGGCACTTCTTGAAGGATCTAAAGTAGGAGGGACAAATTACAGTTAAACAATGGCTTTTAGTCATTAAATTGGATTACATTTACTCATTTCAATTACATCTATACACACAGTAAAGAGAGTTTCTTTATTTTGTTGCATTTTCGTGTGGAGATATATTAACTTGATACAGTGTCCTTTTAGAAACTTGTAAATGTTAAGAGCAGTTTCAATTGCAAAGCAGAACATTAGATGGAAATTCTTTTAAGAACAAATTAATGAAAATGGTATATTGTATTTGAATAATACATGCAGGCCACGTCAATGACTGATATAATTCAGTTAGCGTCTAAAATGACTTTTTATAATTTAAAAACCGGTACTTTGGAATTGACTCACCCCATTGTCATGCAAAAGAGCTGCGATCGATTGTCTGAGAATTTCTCTCGAGAAATTTCACTTCAAAATCTGGAGAAAACTTGGACAGAGTTAAAACTCGCGTGCTTACTTATCGGTGAAGCAAAAACCACTGATTTGTTGTCATTACTACAACAAAACAGGTTGGCATAGTTCGGCAAAAGTTTTCCGCGCGCAATTGACGTATTCCGATTGTCTAGCGCGTGATTGGAACGTTGGGAGCGCGCGCGCGCACAACGCGCTCGAGCTGGACTTCCCATTGGACGTTTATAGGCTGACGCATATGCAAACGTCACAAGGGAGCAACTTCATTTCTCAAGCCGGATTCTCATTGGCTAATTAACCGGCAAGTGTCAATGTGATTTACATAATTATCAAAGGCTAAAAGTACACTTTGACCTCGTTCGGTAAAAAGTTCGTAGACTCTAATAAGAAAAAGCAGGTTTAGTGCACGACTGCAGGAATTAATTTCAGCCAAAGGGATAGTTGTTGAAATATCGATTCCGTGCAGGGATAGAGGGCGCTTTTTGGATTTTTGAACGTACTACTGCTCATGCGCGCAGTTGAATGAAATCTTCGGCTGACCTGTCCGAAAAGATTGCAGACCAGTCTTAATTTAGACCGCACTTAATTCTTTAATTTGAACAGATGTATTTTTGGCTCCGGAAATTCGGATTTTCATAGATGATATTTTTTTCTATATACATTGTATAGGAGCTGTAGTAGCACTTCATCCAACGAATTTCTGAATATTTTACAAATTTATTGGATAAAAAAAAAAAAATGACTGTGAAAGCTTATTACCAATTTAGTTTCCGGCTTGCTCTAGCTCTGATTTTGATTAATTCAAGAACAGTTTGGTCTCAATAACCTTCACTGTGATTGTAGGGATAAATCAATCAATCAGAGTTTATTTTATTTAATTGCCTGATAATAACAGCGATAACTAGTTCACGGCGACATGGGGCGAAAATGGCCTTGAACGATTAAACCGATCAATTCATTGCGAATTAATGACGATACACTTGCTAATGCATCCGTTCATGAACATATTGCACAATGTATGTTGGCAGGCTACTTCATAATGGAAATCTCGGCGTCGTTTGAGGAGACTGGTGCATATCTTCTTTTTGGCCACTAGATTTGGAGATTCCGGCTCAATGTTCAACTTCAAATGCGTTGAATCTTGTAATTCGAGCCGGAGTTGTATAAGGTTTTGTTTTAGTATTTAACGTTTCTTGATTTTTGTTGAGCCAGTGGATGAAGCCGGCGTCCAGAACGAAGTCGATGTTTCGTAAACGGCCAGTTAATCACACATACATCGGTGACTACAATAATAAACGCTTGTCGGACAGTATAATAACGCGACAATCACCGGGTGACACGCGCACACGATTCTCGATCTCGCGTTCGTCCCATTGCGACTCGCCCGAGTGCCACGCGAGTGCCACGCGAGTATCTCGCGTCCCAAGATGCTACGGCGGCGATCGCTTCTCCGTTGGCTCGTCCCGGCGTTCTTGGTCGTTCTCCTGGCGCTGTACGCCCTCGCTACCGGCGTGAGCCTGATGCTGTCCCCGTCCGAGACGGGCAGCAAATCCCTGGTGGAGGGGTATCGGCTCGCCTGGCGAAACTTCAACTTGAACGAAAGGACCGACTCGCCCAACGTGAACCCTAAAAATGGCAGTCTGCTGAACAAACTCAAAGCTGAAAGAAGTCTTGCGAGCAGTAAACCTACAAGTTCTATTCTAGGTGAGTAAAATTACCCGAAGAGTAAAAACATACCAGTGTGTATCTTTAAAGGGAATATACATCATTTGCTTTTGCTGTAATTTTCAGAAATGGATGGAATTTGGGGGTTGGAAATATATAGCAAATATAGTTACACTGACTTTTTTTAGGTTTTGGGTTCGAAAATGCTATAAAACCAAGAAAAACAATCATTTTCCTGTAGTCTGGTTCCCTGACTCCATATAAGAAGAAACAGCAGTTTACATACATTGGGGAATTGTAAGGTCGGGGAACCAGTCTAGCTGGCTCGTACCCGTTCATAGGTTTGTAATCGATTGCAAACAAGTGCGATTGTCAATTGGGGCCACTATTTGAAAAAAGCCAGTTTTTTTCCAACGCTGATCGGCCGATCAGCGTTGGAAATTGATACAAAAATACCACTTTTCTTGAAAATGACAGTTTACCAGGTGCCATGATTTTACAGGATGCTTTACTCTGTCATTCACTAACAGTCCAGCAAGGTATTTCAAAATGATTTGGTAGTTTTATTTTTTGATGTTTGCAAATGTTGTATTTACCCTTTAACATGTTGGATATACTAGTAAAGTAGTATTTCTTATATTTGATATATCCTTGATTTTTTTGTTGCTATTGCAAGGCAAGTTGTAGTACAAAGTCAACATGTATAGAACCAAAAATAGCTTTGGTAGAACCAAACAAATATCAATTGTGGATCCAAGTGATATCAATTGTGGAACCAAATTACTTATTCACGTGTAGAATGTATACTTTGGACAAGTAAGGCCATAGGGGAAGGAAAACACCAAACAAAACCAAGGAAATATCCATAAAATAATTTGCCTTCGGCCCTGCCTTCTATGTAGCTACCATGGGATTATTCTGATATCATTTTTAGGATATGACATGGTTTCATTTTTCACTGAAATACCCCCTACTTATAACTGTGATCCGTGGACAAGGTTAAAAAACATTGTTTGTTTTCAAAATTCCATAACGGGACAAGTACACGAGCGATCTGAATGATGCTTTCACTAAAAGAAAGCTTATTATTATTAAATTGGGCTATCATATTCTAGGGGCACCATTTGGGTGTTTTTTTTTTTTAAACTTATCCTTTACTCTCATGGAAAAGGGGCAGAACGCTTTGGTATGAACATTAGATATAAACATTCAGAAACAATTGGTGTGGTCCTTTGGAAAAAAATCCCAATGAATCCATCGATATGATTTTGTTCTCCACGTACAGTCTTATAAATGAAACAGCTGGCATGTATTTGTCCTTCAGAATAGGCGTTGAGCTAGTAGGTCCCACTCACATTATTAGCACCTGGCCATAACAATGGGTGAACAAACAAAGTATACAATATTGATTGCTATTTACTAGCATCGAGATTTTAGGATGATCATCTGTGCATAGTTTACTTGCATGCATGTCTACTAGGCTTAGACAGTAAAAACAAAACTGCACACGTTTTTTCTTTGATTTTAGACAATAGCCAAAACCCCATATCTAAATGAAATGTATTACATGTAACGTTTACAACCGAACAGGTGTATACCAGGAATGCACCATTGTATTGGAATACAACTGCCAATTATTATAGGCCTACACAATCTATCGCATTTGTTTATGGTGTAAATCGAGGACACCCACGTGCAACATCATCGATGAATTGAGGACATGAACCAAATCGAGGACGACCTCGATTAGAAGGTATGCACAAAGCGAATGAGAGCTGTTGCCAAAAAAGTTAGAGAGTATAAACAAAGGAAAAAGGAAGAGGAACAATAGAAAATCCTCGATTTACACCATCATTTTTCAAAATGGCGATGGGCTACAGCACTACAAATTTAGGGGTGATCATCGTTGGAGTGAATGTTCTCCCAAAAGTCATTGGTTAAACCCCCACCCCCTCCCCCCCCCCTCCAAAAAAAACCCATTGAACAGAAAATGAAAGACGTGAAATAAGCTTTAATTATATGTGTGTCTCGGACACCTTGGAGAGCTGTGAGATTTTTTCCTGAATTCCGGAAGTGGGGGTATTAATCACGGGGGCCTATGACAGTTGAGCTACTAACATTAAATGTAAGACAGTAAATGGGTCATTGGGTTAGTAGTGTTAACCTTTTTCAAGGACGAAGTAATGTGACGGAGTTTCTCCGGCAAAATATTGCAATTCCCCGCTCTACTGGGTGACGCCAAAAACATGCAATCCTGAAACATTTTCCTGTTTTCAAAAACATGATCGGTGAATTTCATGTTTTGGACATCAGATTGAAGCTGCGAGCTTTTCTTTCCCATACCGAAAGAAAAATCATGGAAACAGCATAGGGCCTATGGGTTGCTGAGAAAATGCCAGTGATTAAGATGTGATGTTGGTGCTTCAAACATTGAAACATGTTACTGTAAGCCCACTGTCCAATAATGTCTTCCATTTGTGCAATTTCTTAAATATTTTTACATATATGCTGAAAAGGTTTATAATAGAGCTGAAAAGGATGTTAAAGATAGCCTACCAGTCCAGGTGCCTGAAATTGAAAACTTGGTCCCATGGTCAATTTGACCTCTCTTGGAAAATTACTCATAAGTCTGTCAATTTTTTTTTTTAGATTTGGAGGTTTGGTGTCTTTCAAACTATATGTTGTCTATGTTGGTTACACACTCTACATCTGGCATTCCGTTATATTTTGTTCGATACACACTTGTATAACACGTCAGGGAGGGTAAACGTTGCCTCGTTAATATACTCCGTTCATCTTATCATTAGTTCCAGTCACGTCTCGCTAGGCATCACAGACGTCGGGTGTGAAAACCAATTATAACGGCTATTAAATTTTCAGAGAATGTTTCTTCAAGGGAACTCGATCCCCTCATTCAAAACAGTTTCGATGTATGCTTATTATGTAAGCGTCACGCGTATACGAGTCTAGAAAGTCTTCCAAACGTCGACTTCGTCTGCAATTCGTATCTCCCGACTCCAGTCTCATGATCTTTATGTCTCTCACGTTGGAGATATGTATAGGCTCAGTATATAAGGGTGTTTGTGTTTCTACTACACAGAAAACACAAAGTGAGTAATTAGACTCATTATCGTAAAAAAAATGAGTAATAGTGTCTCACTACACGGACAAAATGACTCAATTATTACGATATTGGGTCAAATTACCCACTTTGTGTTTTCTGTGTACATGTATTTGGTTTGCCTCCGAAGTCGGTCGGTCGGTCGGGACAAAAAAAAATCTGAAGAAAAACCAATTGTATTTGCTCCCTTGCACTGAAAAATTACCTGGGTTAATTTTACCAAAGCAGGGGTGAAAACTGCAACTATACAAAATTGGGTTACGCTTTACTACCTTATTGTGTGGGTTATAATTTTTGTTAAATTCAACCAAAACTTGTGGTTGAATTGGGAGCCTGAATTTTGGATTCATTACTTTTTGTTTATACATTTGTTTTAGTTTTTTTGTTGATGGGGTTCCAGGTAGGGTCCGACTTGGCAGTAATTACAAAAACATCGGACATTTTTCCGAAAATGTCCGAAGTTTGCCGAGTTCGTTTCGTCGGCAAATCGGATACCGCCCGAGTATTTCCGAGTATAATATAGGTTTAATTAACTGCTAATTGCTTATTAAAAACTTTTAAAATGAGTATTTTGGAGGAAATTAAAAAAAGTATCAAGTAGCAAGAATTTGTTTCGCTAACACAAGAAATTTGGCCGTGGTGGACACAACGTTGACGCGTAGAATATATACAAAGTTATAGAACTGTTTATTGTGTACGATTTAGTGATTGCAGATTTAAGGCCCTATAGGAGTCCGGGGTCACCTACAAAATTTATTATGGCTTTTAAAGCATTTGCCACCATACACTCCAAACGTTTCTTTCTTGTCTTTCGAAAGGGTCTTTGACGTTAGCACCATCAACTGATTCCAAGGAGGTCCGAGTGCTCTGTTGGATCATGACGTCACCCTCCTCATTACGCCCCAAGGCGACTCACGTCAAACAAACGTGGGGTCCGCGCTGTGACGTCACCCTGTACATGAGCACCCAGGCCGACCCGGAGTTCCCGGCTATCGGCCTGGACGTGTCAGAGGGCCGCGACAACCTGTGGAACAAGACCCGGACGGCATTCAGATACGTCTACCGCCACCACTTCCAGGATGCGGATTGGTTCATGAAGGCTGACGACGACACTTACGTCGTCGTGGATAACCTCCGCTATTTCCTGCGGGACAAGAACAGTAGTGCGCCGCTATACTACGGGCACAACTTCACCCCGTACGTCAAGCAAGGCTACATGAGCGGCGGGGCGGGCTACGTGCTGAGCAGGGAAGCCCTGAAGCGGTTCGCTGAGGCTGACAACTACCGGTGCAGCAAACAGGACTACAAGGCGGAGGATGTAGGGATGGGATTCTGCATGCAATCCTTGGACGTGATCGCAGGCGATTCCAGGGACTCACTCAACAGGTCTCGCTTCCTACCTCTGTCCCTTGTAGACTTCGTAAACAATCACTTACCGGACTGGTATCACAAGTACAGGAAGTACGAAATACCCCAGGTAAATAATATACACGCTTTGTTGCCTTCTGTTTAAATAAGCCCATGTAGCAACAGAAGTATTCTGAGAATTTGAGCTTCCAACAGTAATTCCTATTCTCGGGCAATGAATCGATACCTCAAATATCTCAAAAAGAAAACTATAGAAAGAATCCTGTTGGCTTCCAGACTATCGAGCGATTCAAACTGAAGAACAGGTTGTATAGCAGCAGCAGCAGCAGCAGCAGCAGTAGCAACGGCAGGATCGACAGCAACTCAGTTGTTGCATAACAACAGCTGCATTGGCAACAGCAGCATCAATAACTTCACGCCTGCGGCAGCAAGAACACTAAGCACAACCAGTAACAGTAGCAACTGCAGCAACAGATACAGTAGCGGCAGCAGGTCAGCAGCTGCAACAGCAGCGGCAATAATAGCGGTCTCGACAACAATAGCAACAGCAACAGGAGCAACAGCATTGTGGCACCAGCGGCAGCGCTAAATCAGCAGCAGCAATAATAGCAGCATCAGCAACAACGGCGCCAGAAACAGTAGCAGCATAGTACGATCCGCGGCAATAATTAGCAAGATGAACAACAGCAACTGTAGCAGCAACAACAGTATAGTAACAGTAGTTGCAAACATGGATATCAGTTGTAAGAACAGTAATATCAGCAGCCAAACAAAATGGCAATAGCAGAAAGTATAGGCCTAGCATTGGCAATATAGCAGTAGTTGTGTTACAAAATAGTAACAGCAGCAATTGCAGCAGCGACAGCAGCAGTAATAACAGTAGTACTAGCAGCAGCAGCGGAGCAGCAGCAGCCACCAGAGAAGCAGGTTAGCAGCAACAGCTACAGGAGCGACAATACATGCAACAGCAGCATCACTGAGCAGTAATAGCATCAGCAGTAATAACATTACAATAGAAATAGTAGCAACAATAGCAGCAGCAAGCAGCACAAGCAACAGCAGAAGCAGCATGGGCAGCACCAGCAAAAACTGCATCTAACTGTTCTGCTTTCTTTTTCAGGGCCCGAGCTGTTGCTCCGACTACCTCATCTCCTGCCACTACATGACGTCTTACGATATGCATCTCTTGGACTTTGTCGTCTACCATCTACGCTCGGCCAACGACAACAAGCGACACGTCTACAAGATCGGCAACAACCGAACGCTGCCCATATGACAAACACACCGACAACATTTCTTTGAAATCAGCAACGCTAGAAACAACTTCAGTTGGTGAAGTGGTTTTTCCAAGTCAGAGGCCAGGGGGACGTAATAGCTTGGCACGTGCACGTGGTCAAATCAGTCTGAAGGAAAATGGATTCTTTGCTCGTGTCTCGAGTGAAAGAGAGTCTGATATCGAACTGAAGCTTCGGCTACATGGATGGTCGGCCGACCAGCGTCGGAGAAAACTGGCTTTTTTTCCCAACAACTGTTCCTAATTTTTCATATTTAGTTATTTTGACTTTTCTTTGCAATTGATTACACACCAATGAAGGGGTACAAGCCTGCTAGACTGATTCTCTGACCTTACGATTCCCCAAAGTGAATTAATTGCTTCGTTTCATCTTAAGTGGGGTCAGGGAACCAGACTACAAGAACATGATAGGTTTTCTTGGTTTTTCCAGCATCTACAAGCCCAAAACGTGAAACAAGTCAGTTTAACAATATTTTTTCTAACATACTAAATCCTCCAAATCTACTTGTTTCTGAAAATTCCAGCAAAAGCAAATGTTGTACATTCCCTTTAATACAAAGAAGATCTTGTTGGTGGCTGTTCTGTATATCAGCCCAGTGCATGGGTGTCGCCTGAATTTTTGTTTAGAGCGGGGAAAGCCCACCTCCTCCCCAATAAAAAATCCCTGTACTTTTCCATCATATACTCGATTCATCATTTTTCGAGGGTGGGCAGGGACATTTGCCTTCTCTTAACCCATTTAATTATAGCAATACGACTTCACGCCTCTTTTTCTTTGTTTTCTCTTTTTTCCCCCTCTTTTTTTCTTTTGCTTTTTCGGGGGGGGGGGGGGGGTTGTGGGGCAAGCGCTCCAAACAAACTATAGATGCTAAGGTGTGGCCTTTACAAAATGAAGCAGTTTGTACAAGAAACTTATTTGTACAAGAAACTCGGACCTGCTTGATTTTAATATCAAATGTTTCTTTAATAGAGCATTGAATATTCATAAACCACGTACTTGACTAAGAACTTATATTTTGTCAAAGTGGATGTCGTTTAATGTGTACTTTGCCAAAGCTATTCCAAATTTAAATTAGATTTGATATCTGAGCTTGTCTATGCCGTAAAAATCCAAATACAAGCTTTCGACGACAAAACGCATGTTTAACTAAAATAATTCTAATAATGCTGTTCTATGCTTATAAACAAAAATTAAGCATATTTTGATTGATTGGCAGCTACCTCTGGGTATAATGGGAAATATTAAAACGGTTTCTTATGGGTACTAGAATTAAACATTGATGTCTTGACTCTTGACAACCACATTCAAATGAAATATCAGTGTTTAGTGTACTTTTCATATATATGGGATATGAATTATTGTTGGCTTAGTGTATATTTGAATTTCAAGGCAAACATAACTTCATTTAAAATAGCTTATCGCTCTAAAAACCAAATTGGTTAACATAACCAATCATTGGTTAACATAACCAATCATTGGTTGAAATAACCAACAATTGTTTAATATGTGTTTAACCAACCGATTGGTTGGACACATAATTATTAAATAGTTAGTATTGCTTATTTCAACCTATGATTGGTTATGTTAACCAATCTGTTTTGTATTTACCAGGTTTGGCAAGAATGTCTTTCTATGATTTAAACGAGTTGAACGCCCTTTAAATTCTCACGTCGAATAAATGGCCCTGGCATTGGTCATCATTTTTCGGTGCGGAATAAAATGGGTGACCATCATAGTACAGAAAACATAACTGGAAAAAAGCGCCTGCAATCGCTCAAAATAATCAAGTTATGTTTGGTTTGAGGTGATGCGCTCTTGCGATCGCGAACGTGCCAGTAAGCAACAACTCCGTTACCTGGTTACTTGCCTAGTTACACTTGCGTTATTCATTTTGATGTACCGTAATTAGAAGGCTACACTTCTTCTAGACTATTAATACAGACAAGCTAAAACAACCATCAATCATATTAAAAAGGACTTGCCGTCATTAGAGTGGCATTATTATTTTTGCATAAGGCCTGAGTGCACATTATAGCTTCTTATTACAAGACGCTAACAGAGCAATACTTACATTCAGTACATTGATTTCATTGACCTTACAGTATTTAAGGCCGGTCTATCGTCTCAAAATATAGGTCTAATTTGCTGATTCACTTTCCGGTGTTTAATTGTCCAAATTGTCAGATCTTTTTCGCAGATCAAAAAATACAATATCAATTTCATTTTAGGGTGTACGGCAGTGCCTTGATCTGCAGGTCCGTCGCCGTGGACTTCTTCGTCAAATACGCAGAGTTGTCTTTCGGATCTCTGCTCAAGTACCACCCTAATATCAAACACAAGAAATTAGAAATGGATAATTAAAGTCGATTGGAGGAATTTCACACTGCGATTTTGTATAGGCAAGTGTCAAATGTTATTGTTATACCTCTGTTTTGGATACTGTATTTTCATTGGCCTAGAACGATCACGTGTTGAGTTTATAAAAAGTCATGGCACACTCCCTGTGCGATATCAGGTATGTGATGTCCTACAGGGAGTGTGCTATGACTTTGTACGTACGGTGTGAAACGCTTGTATCGTTGGTACCCACGCTACTTTCACCATGTTTTTGTACATGTGCAAAATACGTCCAACATCATGGACAAAGCTGCCTCCTGTTAGGGACCAACGCCCAAGGGAACTTATCGGCTAGAAATGAAATACGTAGGGTTTCCTTCAAAATGTCTGCTCCGTCGGAAGGAAACAGCCAGGGTGTTTTCGTTTTCTCTCAGGAAAAGTTCGACACTAATAGTTTCTTTTCAACCAGACCCTCGATACTATAGTAGGTGAGGCATTGTTTAGATTTGGGCTCCCGTTGACATTTCATCTTTTAATTTGTGGCAACCGAGTAAACAATCTCAATCGTCAACATTCCGGTGATTTCCAGACTGGGCAGTGCAACGGATCTATGCAATAATGAATCCAATGCCACATGCACACTACACAATGTTCCAGCTTTCGGACATTTTTTGTGCACGCATCTCGTACACAATTCAAAGCTGTGTGATAGGTCAAAAGCCGGGTGGGCGGGGCTTAATGGATCGGTCCGTTGGAACGCAGAGTTAGGTAAGATCTACAACATTGAATTTAACATGAGGGGAAATAATTACCTTTATGTGTCGCACTCTCTAAATTAAATGCTGGTGCTGATCCCGTGCTCAATGTTTGAAACCAGAGACGGTCATTCGATGGAAATTTTGTCTGCGTTACCATGGAACTGGGAAAATCCTGCCCAAAAATCGAGAATTTTTTTTTTAACAAACTGTTTCATGAACTGATTTACAGTAGTAAACAATGCAGTTTTATGCTCGAATATTATTGGTAGGAATTGTAGTTATTTTCGTTTCAAAGAGGAAAAACAATCGCAATAAAAACTTTTTTTTATATCCAACGGCTGCGTTCAGCTTCCCCGTGTTTACACGGAGTTTATACTTGAGGCATCCACGAAATGAAGTAAATTGAAAGCTGCGGTGTATTTGCCTGGCTTTCTGGGAAAATTAAGGTCAAAAGTCGTTTTATAGTGAGGGGACTTTGAAATGTTGGTGCTACGTTATCCGTTTGTTACTACATGATCACTAATTGTTAATATAGGCAGAGTATCAATAGCGGCTGTGAGGTCTGGCACTTTCTTTTTCTTAACCCATAAAGGAGCCAAGATATTTTGATTCCGCCCCCCCCCCCCTCAGATCTTGAGCAATGAGTGACTAAACATTATGACAATCGGTATATGCATAGAACTACTTAATATGAACGTACAAAAGAAATGTCATGGTTAAAGGGTTAGGGAATTGTCGGCTTATGAATTATTCACATGCGCTGACGTAATTCCGCATTGTGTACACTACATTATGGGGAAAATAGTTTTCTGAAAAGTTTTTGCATGACCCGAGGCTAAAAAGTCAGGAAAGCTCGGGTCGGGAAAATTTTTTTTGCAAGGGTATCGCGGAAAAAACTCAAAGGGGCGGATTCCACCCGGACCTTTTAGTTTTAGGGTTAAACATGTTAAAACTTAAGGCGAAACGTAGACACATGAAGGGGCAATACACCCCCTCTCATACCCCACCCTTACCGCTAGATGTACAACTGTTATTATTCTCTTGCTATTTATCATTTTCCCAAAACGTTAGGCTATACTTACCAATAAGTCAAGCTGGGGTTTGTCTTTTTTCCCGGTCGCCGCTGGCGTGTTTTTATCCGAGGGCTTGCTGGGATCGAAGTTTTCTTGAGAGTATGCCACTATGTTGCCCTGGGAGGGTGGAATGCTGCTGATATATCTGTATCCATAAAACGTACCTATGACAGAGTAATGACATACAGTGTGTATAAAAAAAAATGCAAACAAAATATAACGGAATACCAGACGTAGAATGTGCAACCAACATGAATAATATAGGTATGGTTTGAAAGATACGCCTTTCCACTATAAAATGAGACATCAAACTTCCAAATCCGATAATCTTTGACAGAGTTATGAGTAATGTTCCAAGAGAGGTCAAGTTGACCACGGGACCAAGTTTTCAATTTTAGGTATTAATTGCCTATGTGTGGATATAATTGCCTGGCCGACCAAAAAATGTGTTTATTGAGTAAACGCAGTTCTAAACACTCACTTTCTTCTACCTCATGCGTGCTGAAAATATTTAGCATAGGCTATAAACATGTTTACAAACTGACATTGACTTAGGCAGCCGAGACGCGTCATTTTTTGTAACGGAAATTTGACGCCCAAATACCGATGCACGTGGCAATCTGTATTTTGAGAGAGACCTATGAATACCACTCACACTTGTTTTTGTCGTATGTCATAAACTGTAGCTTTCCTTTGTCGATGCCGAGGTAAAGAGTCTGGTCCTTCGATTCCACGTAGATCTCGCAGCCTGGTATAGGAGCACCGCCCCAATAGATGGCATCTTTCAACATCGAATCGGGTATCACGTCATTGTCAGTTTCAACTATTTGGACATCAATGATTGCTGGGACACCCTCTGTAACAAATAATATACGTGCAATTGATGTTAAAAAAGGGGGTTATTGGCTCACTGGCTTGAAACCCTGCTTAACTCGAACTTTAATTGAGCCCATTCCCCTGAGGTCAGACTATCGAGTTTTCACTGTAGTTGACTAGAGCAGTCCAACCATACTTTAGTCAAGCGAAGTGAGGGTTGACCGTAGTCCTTGCCGAACTTGCTCTGGGCTGTTTCTGTACAAAAAGTACTTAAACTATTTTGAATGCCAACTTGTATTTTGTTGTTGGCAGAAGTTTTCTTTTCCTTCAAATTTGTATTTAACCAATCTAATTCATCCTGATTTGTGACAATTATTCGTAGCAGTAGCCGCCGCCAGCGGTTTCTTCTACACCGATAAATATTATTATGATGTCACTTTAAAGATATAAAATGCATGACATTCAAAAGCGGCCTCTTGATGGCGCCCTGTATTATTGCACTCTGTTTAACTAGTATTTTATTCAAAAGGCCTACCTTGAAAGGTGAGTTCGAAGCGTGACCATATGTACTTGGTACACCCGCCATGGCTGCGCTTAAATTCCTGTTAGAAAAAAACCCAACAAAGTCAAGCTGTTAGCAACTCGTTATCAAAACTATTTAGGGGAAAATTGATCCGTATACCGGCCGTGTGTGAAGGCACCGGTAACCGATTTCTTTTATTTGATCATGAGTTTTTGCCATGGACGAACACCGTTTTGAAAGCCCAGGCGTAGTACGCATGCGCAAATTCAGTTCTGGATCAGCTCAACGAATGGTCGGAACCAGTGGTACGATGTTGCTGCGCTATGTTGGTTCCCATCACGCCTTGTGCGATAGGCATGGGTTAAACTAAACAGGCTCCGCACCGGAGTCGGGCGTTTCAATGCTGACATGTGGAGGTGGGGCCTATCCCAGAGCCCAGCTTGCGAATGTGGAGCGGAGCAGCAGACTGCTGACCACATCATCTCCGAGTGCCCCCTCTATCGCCCCCCAAATGAGTACCATGGCCTGATCGATGTTGATGCAAATGCAGCAACCCGAGAGTGGCTTCTCAGCAAGCACCCAGAGATCTAACTACCTCTTTGTTTTGGTTTCACACGCAAGAAGAAGAAGAACCCCTGAAATTGCGTAATTTAAATGTACCAAATAGCGCACTATATAGTATACAAATATTGAATGCTTCGAGTGGTGTAGTAAAACTAGCCTCCCGAGGTGATCCATGGACATTCTATTTTCCCGAGGCGAAGCCGAGGGAAAATAGAATGATCCATGGATCACCGAGGGAGGCTAGTTTTACTTCACCACGAGATAAAGCATTCAATATTTGTTTTATAACACTTCACCCACAGATTCTGCTTGATTTTAATATTTCAAATTATTTAAATCTGAACACAGCCGAAATAAACTTCAATTTCAATACAAAATTGGTGGAAAATGTATTTCTCTCTTAAAAACTACCCCTTCACGAACTGTTTGAACCCACGTCTGCGGCGCGCTCTCTTTGGAATAATACGCGCTACGCGCAACGCGCAACGCGCACACCAGCATGCATTTGCACACAAATACCGCGCCGTGGAAATAGACCGCTTGCAGACGCGTTCGATAATAAACGCGCGAAGGCGCGCGACGCCATGTTGTGGGACAAGCGTATATCTATCCATGCACATTTTGTCCCACAACATGGCGTTTGCACCTTCGCGCGTCAATTATCGATCGCGTCTGCAAGCGGTCTATAGTACTTTGGTTGCTAATGGTATAGTACTTTGGTTGCTATGCGCATAGTACTTTTGGCCGTGCACAGAACGATAGCAAAATTAGAAAGTAACATGTGACTCGCTCTCGGCCAATCAAGACACAGAATCTGTGGGTGAGGTGTTATAATGGCGCATAAGGACTGCATACAGTCGATGTATATATAACGCGCGACGCAGTGCTCACAAACTTTTTTTTGTAGAAACCATCCTTTCAAACGTTACATGTTGACGTCGTGTTATTAAGTAAGGACATTTATTCATTTGGTGTCGAGTCCTTACTTTATTTCCCAGTGAATAGTTTTGCTGTAGGCCCAATCACAACTCACAAGCAGGAGTATTTTCTCCACTTCCTCTCGCAGATACTGCAGGATGTATCGGAGGCTGTACTTCTCGATGTTCTTGGCGTAAATTCCGATGAGCTGGTCGCCATCCCTGGAAAGGGAGAACAGACAGTGATGAGACGTGTTAAAGACTCGGGCACGCGGACAGTACGCACACGATCTAAATGGTAAGATCAGAAATGGTAGGCACTGTTCTTTTGATGAAAGTGACTCATCACCATACTCTTATGCTTTTCAGAGGGTCCTGCAAAGCGTGGGAGCCCTCCTTATTGAAACTGCACTGACTCACAATTATTAGACATCATGCAATGTCTTCCAAACCTGCAGCTTGTTTATATCACAAAAATAATGTGCTGCTGTTTTATTATTGTCATATAAAGAACTTTGTGCACATTGACATACATGTGTATATCGCTGTAGAATCACGTTAGAATTGCGTCAACACAGCTTGTGAAATATTGTCCAGTTACATGATGTACAAATGGACGCGGAACGCACAAAATCTGAGACAAAAGTTAGTGTACAAAAACTCAATAGGGTTGTCTAAGGGACGTGGCTAACTCGCAAACGGCGATAGGTCAATTAAGTTACACCCCTTCACGCGCGCGTGCCACGACTGTTCCCATAGTGGTCATACACAGTCATCGCACAGGGAATGGGCACGTGTGCACCCCGTACCCAGCTAGCTACAGATCTATTTTTATTCCATGTCTATCCGGTTCGTTAGTGTGACGTCATCTCAACTTTACCATGCGTACTTAAAGCGGTGTCTGGTTCGTTAGTGTGACGTCACCTGCATCACTTTCTGCACGATTGGAACTAGCCTTTCGCTCAGGCCTTCGTGGCTTAGAGCAGCGGAGTTGCGAAGACCCGAAGCGACTGGAGCAAAGATTAAGTCAGCACGCACGAGTGTCAAAGCCACGAGGCCTTTTACAACTTGATTTTGTTGAATTATTCATAGTTTTTATGCAAATAAGAAGCGTGCTGAAGGTTAACCAATCACAACGCGGATTTTGCCTAGTCGCTTCCATTTTTAAAAGAAGGGTGAGTAAGGAAAACGTAAGAGCAAATAACTGTAAGTTCAGATGAAAAATAAGTTCATACCCTCAAATAAATTCTTGAAATACCTTTTTAAGTAAAGTTAAAATAAGATAATGTAAGAACAATTACGCAGTCACAATCTCGTGGAAAACTAGACTCGCATTTTGTGCAAGCATCCGACGCGTCGACGCGTCCGGGTAGTAGCCACGCACGCACGAAAAGGCTGATGATTGGTTGGAATTTCGCAACCCTGTTGAGGTAGAAAAATCGAAATTTTAAAGAAAAACATAAGAATTTCTCGACAAGTTACAAAAGGCCCTCGTGGCTTCGCCACTCGCATGTGTGGTCTCCATCTCCAGTCGCTTCGCGTTTTCGCCGCTTTGAATGCGGGCAAGTTAAGCCATGATGGCATTGGTGAAAGGCTAGATTGGAACCGGAAGTTAACGCAGCTCGAGCGTTTGTAGCCAATAGGCACTAGTAATCAATGGTGGGCGCGCGTGAATGACGTTTTTACTGACGAACCGGGTAGCAGAGCATGAATGGAACCGGAAACGCAACTCGAGCGTTTATCAAATGCCGCTGCGCGCGCGTGTATGACGTTTTCACTGACGAACCGGATGTTGGAAAAAAATCGTGGCACGTGCGCGTGGGGCGTGTCACGCGCGCGTGAACACGAACACGCACGCGGCTTATCGAGGGAGAGCACGCATTTATAGCCAGAATAATTTCGTCCTATTTTGTTTACCTCAATCCCGCTTGGTAGGCCAGGCCGCCTGTAGTAACATCCGTCAAGATATAGCTGCCCTCCGAATACATAAGCTTGGCATCGAAGTATACCGCATCACCAAATCCACGCGGGTTAGCAAGAAATATCTTTTCTTTCCCAGTCTTCAATAGATAACAAAAATAGCCAAAAATAAAACACCATTTTGTCAGCGCGCATGATAAACGTTTGCACGGTTGATAAAGACCGGCTGGCTGGTCTTAAACACTTTTCAAGTGTCACATGAAATGTGAACTCCTATAAAATCCGGTGCCAGTACCGCTTTATTGGTTGAACGTTCACAATCCTCACGTAGACATGTGCAATATTACCAGTGAGTCCGTATTTCATAGTCCTAAAATAAATGCACACTATGACGGCACAGCTGCGTTCTGCGCCACATAACGCAGTAGGCGCGACGCGCATGCCAATCTCCATATTAGGAGTTGTTAATACCAGAGACCATCTCATGTTAGATAGAGGGGTGTTTGTTGGAAATTTACAATTTGTGTCTTGTTTTGACTTTTGGACCAAACTGTTTTGATTTTGTTTGACTGAAAGGTAATTATGAATGTGAATTATATGTGCTTGGCCGGTATTTAACACTATGTTTAAGATGGTCGGAGCATGGATGCTGATAATTACTCAAGCCGAAGGCGAGGGTAATAATCAGCATCCAGACTCCAACCGGTCTTAAACATATAGTGTTTAATACCGGACAAGCACAATTTATTTCTTTATTTAAATCATTAATTTTATTTCGCTCACCTTTCCATGATTTTTGTCATCTTGCTGTTGCATATCAACGTCGCTGTGGCCTGGAGAGAAGACAAGGCAACAAGCGAAGCACCAAAATAAAATAGGACGTAGTATAATGGGTCATTCTATAACTTCTGGGTCCATTTTCGTCCTGTCCTAGATCCTTGTTACATCCGACACCTATGATTTTATAATTCTGATGCACTATTTCGTGCAATCATCTCCATGAGTGATTATGAATAGTAAACTACCAACCCAACAAATAATCTTTTGAAGTCATTCTTACTTCTTAATGACAAAATACATAGTATACCAAGGTAACAAGGACAGGAAAATTGCCGCACTCTGGACCCAAAATTTATAAAAACGACCCATACGCATGTATTTTGTTTTATGTACCACCGAAATCAGAATGGCAGTCCCACGCCAAAGTCATTGTACATGTAGCCTTTCGCCAAGGCCATCGTGGCTATAGAGTTGCGCATGTCGTCTCCGCTTCAGTCGCTTTACAGCTTCGCGGCTTTGCTCATTCTGATGCCGGTAAATTCAGCCACGGTAGCCTTGGCGAAAGGCTATAATACATGTTATTTTGGGCATCAACTTCCTTGTTTGAAACTAAGCACCAGAGTTCTCTCATTCTGTTTCTGTCGACTGATACAGGCATGATGCAGCACTAATTCGCTCATTAATAAAGACCTGACGAAAATAGCGGATATCAGACAATTTGAGGCTCTCGACCCATGTCTGTCTCGACCCCATGTCCCATCATGCCAGCGTTTCGGTTTCATTGGTATGAAAGCGATTGAGAACTGTGTCATTCTTTCGGCAGTTTACCCCCAGCTTTACACCAGTATAAAGAAAAGAAAAGAATTTTGTTGTTGTTGTTGGGCGGACTATTTTGACAGTGATGGCGCCACTTACACCCCTATTATATTACTCGAAAATAGGCCACATACAAAATCATTATCACCAAGGTCAAATCGTGGGACTAAAAAAAAATAACAAGCTCTTGGGGGGGGGGGGGGGGGGGGCTCAAGCCCCCGAGCACCCCCCTGCACAACTGAGACGTAGCCTGCGCAAGGGCACAACATAGGCCTAATTATTGCCAAAACATATTTTGCATGAAATGCGACCATTATCTCAGCAGAACAGGGCACGTTCTGCAAAAACTGCGATTTTAAAATGAGTGGCCTCATAATACAGTGTACCATTGATATACAATTTTGACAGCACAGTTTTTCAGTGGGTTAGAGGAGGATTTATCTCTGAAAACTTACCATCGTCTTGGCTATGTTGTCCTGCGGCACAGCCCATGGCGTTACGTTACGAGAGACGTTTAATTTTGTTGCTAAAAGATAAAAACCCAAATCAAAACAACATTAACTGCGCATGCGGATGTATCTAGGCGAATAATGTATATTCAAGTAACGTCAAACTGCTCACTCGAACTACATGTATTTTGATAGGGAATACATGTTATTTCCGGTTTGTGAGGAGAATCACGTGTGTTCGTAGACTCGAAAACAAGTCGTTAATAGGCTTTACCAATGTTCCCCGAAATCCTTAGGATTAGGGATAATGGTTAGGGTTAGGGTTATAAGGTAAGGCTGGGTGAGGTTTAAGGGTTGGGGAACATTAGGTATCATGGGCGTCGCCAAGATTTTTTCTAGAGGGGGGCAAAACATATTTTCCCAAAAAATTCTTGTATTTCTCAACATATTCTCGATTTATCAGTTTTAGAGGGGGCAGGGACATTTTGGCCCCCCCCCACCCATTGAATTAATGAATTTACACCATTATGACTTCGAGCCTCTTTTTCTTTTCTTTTGTCTCTCTCTTTTTTTTTTCCTTCTTTCCTTTTTGTTTTTGTTTTTTGGGGTGCTTTTCCGGGGGGGGGGGAAGCGCCCCCCCTTGCCCTGGATCCGGTGAAAATATAATGCCAAACAAATCAAACAAGTTTGATTATCTCAGTCGCCCGGTATGCGGTCAGATCGGTCCCATCGCCCTCAGTTGTACGGAAAAGCATGGACAATTTAAAATGTTTACAGCAGTGCACTTTTCTATAAAATTAATCCCCCCCCCCGGAAAAGGGATGTCAAACAGTTTTCATATGCCTACATTTCAAGAGGAGTAATAAGTTGCACAAAATGTGTTCCTTAGACAAATTCATTTCACGCCTTTTGACACTTTAAGGTGAACTGAGCTAGCATACTAGTTTAAAGAAGTGCACTTTTGAATACAAATTAACAAAAAAGGGATGTCAAACAGTTTTTGTACATTTAAGAGGAGTAGAAAGTCGCACAAAATGCGTTCCTAAGAAAAATTCATTTCATGGACGCTTTAAGGTGAACTCAATGAGCTAGCGTACTTAAACCATGTTCCTTCCTCCATGCTTAAACGTATACCTTACCTATTGGAAGCACTGGGGATTTTTTGTTGGCCAAATCAGTTCAGTTTAGCAAGCAGTCCGTAGTAGGTCCGCAGTCGGGGAAGTAACAAATGTTTATGAACAGTGTTGTGTCGCAAGATGTAGTCACCCATGAAAATGGTTATGTCCCGCTTCGCTGAGTTAATAGTTGCATTATGCACCGTTTATACATGGTCCTGTTGCATGGTCCTTTTGTGTCAACATACTTCATACTATTATGAAGTATGTCGACATATAATGATTGGGTTATCTTTCATGCACGGTAGTTGTTGTATTTGCAAGATAAGAACTGTTTTTCCGTGCCACTTAACACGAGAAAATCCGTTGGACCTTTAAGTTTTATATTGAATAATTGCCCCGCAGTAGGTGCATTGAAAAATAGAAAAACTTTGACCGACAGGATGACGACAAATTGTCACGTGACCGTTGTAACTTGGGAACCGTTGTTATGGTCTGCCGTTACCAAAATAAATAATTGATCACCTCCTTCCGTTTTGAATGTACATTGATGATGCCCCTCTTCATTGCATACGACAGTTGTATGTTATACGAAAGTTTATGCAAACTTTGATTCTATAGAGGGTGTATCAAAAAGGAGTAAACACTCAGAAAAATGGCCCAAAAATGAAAAGTTAAATTTATTTTGAACTTTGCTCCATACATTATAGGTAGATAAACCTGTCAGGTTTTAAATGACACCAAAACGGCTCGCGCACACAAATGCGGTGTTTTGAACTGGACATTTTTCTCAGACACTTCTTTTATTTGATAGTCAGTCATTTTAAGTGCTACCTCGTTTCTCCATTTGATTCTACGTGACTAAAACGGCTGCCCACACCTTTTATTTCAAAATAAATATGTTGATCTTAATTGATATGGTTAGCAGATCTACAGCTGTCTTGAGGCCATAAATACAGCACATAGGCCGCTTTTTGATGAGTTTCCGAAAGTGAAAAATCCCTAGATCTCGACTTCCGAGAATATTTCAAGAGGCCAATGAATTTTGATTGGAAAAAAAAACGGATCAAGTTAACCCTAAAAGGGCCGGGGGGGGGGGCGGAATCCGCCCCCCCCTCAACATTTTCCGCGATAGCTTCTAAAAAAATTTTTTTCGCGACCCGAGCTTTTATGACTTTTTAGCCTCGAGCTTTGCGCATCTTTTGATACCAAAAACATAAAAATCGGACCACGGGTTTGCACGTAGCGAAAAATTTTCCGGCGCTACGCGCCGTGAAAACTGAATTTTCGCATATACGTCGTGTACACCGAGCAGAATTGGCATTCATACATATGAATAATTAATTAGTCATAATTCCGAAACCCTTAGGCCTATAGTCATGAAATTTTTTGGGCATGTTGAGGAAGAGTTGCTCTATGCATGTAGTGAGTTTCAAAAATTTTCGTCACTCGATGGCCGAGATCTTAGGGGGGGGCGGAATCCGCCCCCCCCCGGCTGAGAGATGGTCAAAATAACCCGGCCCCTTTAGGGTTAAGTCGTTTACCTACCGACAGAAATACAGGTAGCAGTGCAGGATCGGCTTTTGAATTAGACCATGGAGCTACGACTAGGTAAACAAACAAGTCGCGGTATCTATAAACACAGTTATCGGTTGCTATGATATTGTGAATAATTCTGGTGAATGGGAATGTATATCATTGGCTTTTGCTGTAATTTTATGAAATGAACTATTTGAGGGGTTAGTATAATAGATCAAATTTTGTTACATTGTCATGTCTAAAGTTTTGTGTTCGAAAATGCTGGAAAAACCAAGAGAAACAAAAATGTTCAAGTAGTCTGGTTCTCTGACTCAATTAAAGTTGAAATGGATCAATTTATAGATGCCGAAAAATTGTGAGGTAAGGGAACCAGTCTAGCTGGCCTGCACTCGTTCAGTGAACATGTAACCAATAGCAAACACAATTTGGACTGAAACAAATGGTTAATTTGGAGCAGTTGAAAAAATAGTTAGGTTTTTCCAACGGTGGTCGGCCGACCACCGTTGGAAATGAATACAAAAATACCTTTTTCTTGAAAATGACTTCACACCAGGTGCCATAATTTTACAGGATGCTTTAGAGTGTCATTTACCAACATCCTAGTTAGGTATTTCGTAAAAACTTGGTAGTTTTATTTTTCGATGTTTGCAAATGTTGTATTTTCCCTTTAAGTGGTGACATGGTTGGGAATGCATTTTAGATTGTTCAATTGAGGCCAGGGATCAAAGTCAAGGATCAAAACCTACTGGCGAAATAGTGGCTGAAGATTGACCCCTGGTGGCGCGCTTCCGGAATAGTGCGCCTCCAAGAGTTTGCAACGCGTTGGCCAATCACAATGCGCGAAATCAGTCGACCTTTTCCAAACGCGCATGGGTCGACCGATTTTGCGCATTGTAATTGGCCAACGCGTTGCAAACTCTTGGAGGCGCACTATTGTGAAACGAGTCCAAGTAGTACCCGAACACAAAGTCCATCTTGCTCCGGAGAATATTAACAGATTTAGTTTCCCCGCACTGTAACTCAATGGATGGAACGAGCTTCCCGAATCTATTGTAGAGGCTTGCAATTAACCCTTCAAAGTTTAAGCAGATACTAACCAATGGGTCTCCAATGTCAAAACTAAAGTAGGCTATATCCCACTCTATCCACAAGTTGCGCACCTAATGTGCCTTTTTATAAGTCAACAACATGAAGTTGGCGCAGAACTTGGAAGAAGAAAAAGAAGAACGGCAGCGGCGTGGTCCATTGATTTTTTAAGCAAGTCACCGTTGGAAAAGGCCTTTTGAAAAATTGTCACCAGATATCTCATGTTATGAATTTACTGACAAATCACATGACGTGAAAGAGAAATATCGATTCAGGAGTACGATACAAGTGCATCATTGTAAATGAAGTGCGCCCTCTCGTGGTATGTTTGTACACATTGTAATGAGGTACATGTACATGTACTGTCATTTTGCACAGTGTTGTCCCGCAGAACCTCTAACGTATTGTAACATTTTTTTGGCTTTCATCTGAAATAATGGCATCCACAAGTCAGCCGGATCAACAGGGGTCATCATCGGGTTCAAGTATGCTGGAAGAAGTGGTGCGTTTAACCTGGGGATCGCAGCTTAAAGAGGATGTTTTTGCAAGATGGTGTCCAGGTAAAATTTTCTTCTGCATAAGTGTCACAACGCTTACAATAGAGTGAGCCATTGGGCGTGTATTTCCGACAGCATAGGCCTGTGTCATGATCGGGTCACCTTTTTAGTCCTTTAAGTAAAGTGTGTTCGTCATTCCAAATAAATAATGCATTTGGTACAACTATAGAATGCAGGGCCACTTTACTCTACATCCGCGCCTCCGTACGGCTGCGTGGAGGCGTGGAACCGCAGTCGACCTACCTCCGAAAATCGATCGTGGAGTCGTGGAGCCGCAGAGAATTGCGCCCTCTATCGGTGCGTGTCTCTGCGACTCCGCGACTCCGCGCCTCCACCACTCCAGTGTATAGTGCCCCGCGTCACGCAGAGAATTGCGCCCTCTATCGGTGCGTGTCTCTGCGACTCCGCGACTCCGCGCCTCCGCCGCTCCAGACAGTGCCCCGTCGCCCTCCTCCCTTCCTAATTGGCCCGCCCATTTAAAGCGATTCTGCGACTCCAAGACTCCACGCCTCCGCCGCTCCAGACAGTGCCCCGTCGCCCTCCTCCCTTCCTAATTGGCCCGCCCATTTAAAATGGATATGGATGCTTCGTTCTCAAAAAAATTCCGCCGAGAATTGCGCCCTCTATCGGCGCGAGTCTCTGCGACTCCGCGACTCCGCGCCTCCGCCACTAGACTGCGGCCACTCCAGTGCCCCGCGTCTCCGCGATTCTGCGACTCCAAGACTCCGCGCCTCCGCCGCTCCAGACAGTGCCCCCAACACATTTACAAGCACGCCCTCCCTTCCGATCCTTCATGAGAAGCTTAGAAGACAAGTGCAGTGCATTCCTTCGCTGTACTTAGCACTTTTTGGCAGGTTTGCATATCTATTACTCCTTTTCCATCCACGCCTCCAGGCAAAATAAAAAACCTTGCTTTGGCGTGGCCCTGCATTCTATAGTTGCTCCATGCATTTATATGCACTCTTCGTTTTATACCAATGTCATGTGCGTTCTTTCAGCAAAGCAAAAACAATTTACACACATCCCTATGTCATGTGATTTGTTTTCGTTTTGCTGAAAGAAAACTTAAGCCCCTAGGGGGCCTACCTTTTTTGTGATCCGTGGACAGAACCTTAAAATGGTGGTTGTGTTTAAAATTCCGTAACTTGAAAACTATATGACTGATTTGAAATGATTCTTGTGCTAAAAGAAAGCTTATGGTGTGGGCTTTCATATCCTAGATTTTGATAATGCTACATGCATAATTTCCTTAAAACAATGGTCCCAACATTTGGGTTTCGTTTTTTTTTTTACTTGCCCTGTACTATAGTGTGAAACTTAAGCCCAAAACAGTTCTGCATATTCATGTAAAAATTGGGTAATCCTTACTTTTAGGACACCTCTATTTTTTTACAAGTTCTGTTCAAAACTGACTTTTGCAGATGACTGTCCAGTACCAAAGTGACTTTTGCAGGCTAAAGCAGTCTTTTTTCTTCATATAAACTTATGTTAGTTGTAGTTTTGAAAGCACTTTCGAAGAAAATGTGACTTTCTTACCTTTTTTCGCAGTCAGACGTGCATGTTGTAGTTCTCACACGCGTGAAAGCCCTACATAATGAAAGCCCGATGCTGATTGGCTGCTAAAAATATTAATTAGTCTGGTTCCCAGACCAAAAGATTCTGACTATCCCTGAATCTTTTGGTCTGGGAACCAGACTAAAAATAAATAAGATGTTTATTTTTTATCAGCCAATCAGCATCGAGCTTTCATCGCATCGAGCTTTCACGTTTGCCATCTTGGTTTTTGAGTCTGTTTTTTGGTTGTCATCGTCGTCTTTTACCCCTGAATTTCCCTCATAAATCAAAGCCGTGCCCTCTTTCCACAAAATTAAACCTGCTGATATTCAAGAAGGTGTCATTGCCAATTGTTCAGATGTGCCAAGAAGTATCAGAATGTCAATTTTGAGTGTCATTTAGTCAACTGTTTTGGTGAGTCTTTCCCTTCCTATATAGGAACGGGGTCCTAAAAGTAAGGATTACCAAAAATTGGTTTGCATGTCCTTGTTTGGCAGGTTTTTCCTTCAGCGAGCATGAGCCCACCGCTCTTATCCAGCACGAGGGCGGGCCGTGTGCCGTCATTGCCCCTCTGCAGGCATTCATCCTGAAGGCGTTGCTCTTCCAAGGAGAACCCCCTGTGGAATGGAGACAGCTCGACGGTGAGTTCGGTTTTTGTCACTGAGCGATTATTGGAACGTGGATTTGATCGAATATTCGAAGATTCAAACATTTGACATTGAGGTAGGACATTCTTATGAATCAGAATGTCAGGCATGTATGGAGATATTTTTGTCAAGAGGGTGGACTAGGTGGTATTTGACAGATGTTAAAGATGGAAATTAGGCAACCTCGTCCCCAGAGTGTCGAGCAGTACGCGCCCACCACTACCTGCTCTCTCACCCTGGTATTGGATCATTTGCATGTGCAAGATTTTTGCACACGTATGCAAATGAGGAACAGTCTGGTGCCTGGATATGCGTTACACATTAGCGTTTGTTTTTGTATGCGGTGTCTGGGGTAAAAGCGAGTCAATTTGTAGCAGCGCGAGCACGGCGTGAGTTACTAAAACACGATTTTTGAAATCAAACTGTTAAGATCTTATCGAGACAACATGCAGTATCATATTTCATATTAATATGAGCAAATTGGAAAGGAAATTAGTATTTTCGAGAAGGCGTGGACGAATGATCGCGAAAACAACGTACTGCACGTTGTGAATAATAGCACCAAGTACACGATAAAAATCCATTACTAGCCAATTGCGGTATCCAATCAGGATAAAGGAAGAAAGTTTCCTATCCAGGGTTTACTATTGGAAACGCGGTTGGAAATAAAGTAAGCACTGGGGACGAGGTTGGGAAATTAGGTTAAATATTAACCCCTTGAGCATTTTAACCCTCCTATGGAAACATGCATTGTCAGCCTGGTTTGTACACAGTACGCCAGGAGGTGAGGAAGAACATTTTGACCATTGGTGACCTCTGAAGCAAGAGGAGGGTTCATTAGAAAGTATCCTGAATACATCAAAATCCACCAATTTTGTTGTGCAAAAACAATACTGGTGTCCTGAGTCTATCAGAATCCACCAGCGAGTCCATTAGAATCCACCAGTGTAGTACATGTTAAGATCCTGAATCCTTCAAAGCACCCCACTGCTCAGTATGGAGGTATCCTGAATCCATCAAAATCCTGCAGTACCGCTAGGATTACTGTCCTGAATCCATCGAAATCCCCTTTTTTCCAACATGGGGGTGTTCTGAATCTGCTGAAATCCTCCAAAACAGGGGTGTGGATTTTGATGGATTCAGGTACGTTTGGATTGATATTCCTCACAGAAGCTTTTAAATCATAGTCTGAGGACCAGACGTTCACGTGAACAGAGCCATACAACGAATGTCTGATGTATCTTAACATGCAAATTGCATGCGACCCGGCAGTCCAGCAAATCAGGCTGGCAGTTTGGTCAGTTTGGGTGCCATGTTTTTGTCATGCAACGCATTGCGCAAGACCCGATAGAAGGCCCCACTGAATGGTCAGAATCTTGAGGTCAAGACGCAGTCTTGTTTTGCATAATTAATCATTGAATCTGCGAGAATATCATAGATGCTTCTCAGCAGGCGGCTATTCTACAGACTACACAACTTTTCCCACAAACTTTAACATCTCTTTAAATGTGTTGCTAAAAATGTTTACATATGAATCAAATTTTGCTATTTTAATTAGTTTTCTTTCTTCTTAATGTCAGGTGACCAGTGTCGTGCGCTCCTATTGGCCGCCATGACGGAGGTGCTGCAGACGGTCAGTAGCGGGGGCGGGTACTATCTCGTCTTGAAGGCCGACAAACAGGATACCATCTTGGAGGAAGGGGCGGTGATTGAGAACGTCGTGGAGGCGGCGCAGGGTGAAGGGAACAACCACCAAGTATTCCACGCTGGATTGAGGTAGGACTTACACTAGCAACCCCCAGCTCCGGCATGGTCTGGTGTCTTTGTGCCTTTCTCATCCATTGTGAGCAATGCATAGACGCCGAGCGTCTCTTACGTAACTACGCAAGAGCTTGCCCCGCATCATTTTATATAGCAACAATTTCTTTGGTGTGGAGAATTCAAAGTGAAAATGTGCCACGCATTATGAACAAGTCAGTTTACAAGATGTTATTCAAATGTAACTCACGAAGGGTATAGGTTATTCGCAAATGGCTTTATATTGTGTCGCGTATATGTTGCATGATTCTGAAAATTGTACCAGAAATCCTCGCCGAATGAAATCATCAGTTTGTAACGTTCAGCGTTGATTAATTCATTGCAGGACGAGTCAATGGGCCTGTTTTGGATAAACTTTTCTGCAACTTATCTCGCATGTTATATTGAGATGACTTATGACTTTTCAGGCTGTTTGGCCCTAAAATCTGCCCGATACAGCAACATGCAAAACTCGCCAAAATGAAAAACCTGCCCGGTATAACACGATTGCGAGCTACCTCTTGGTATGATCTCTTCAATATTTCCTGTGTAGGTTGCAACCGTTTGACTGCATCGAGGAAGTGAACCGGGGCCTGGAGTCGACCCACGAGATGTTTCTTGCCGACTGCGGCTTGCTTCTCTTTCTGTATTCGGTACTTCTAACAAAGGTGGGCTTCTGAGTTTAGTTTAGTTGCAAAAGAAAGTTTATTCTGAGCATCAAATTGCCCACGAAGCGTTAAAAAGTATAGCAGGGGAAGTGGATGAAAATTCTGACCATCTGTGACTGTTTAAATAGCAGGAGGGTGAATATACCTGCAGACTCGGATTTACAGATTTGCTTATAGGCTAGTTTAATGACGGCCATCTCTGTAGGAGAACTGCAACTGCGTATTTTACGCAATCAAGCATGCATTGCGCAGTGTTGAAAATGTTCCAAAAACGCGCGCTTGTTGCTCGAAATCTGTTCGAAATACGACGCAGCCGATGCGCGTTATGCAAGTTGACGCTCAAAATGCTGATGCACGTGGATGGTCTGTAGGAAATGACGTTATTTGAACGAGACCTATATTGCTGGTTTCATGACTTATGATTTGTTCTGTTAACAAGAAATGTTTTGGGTGTGGTTTATTTTCAGGGTTTAGACAATATCAGGGAAGAAGTCGAAGATACCTCCGAGCCACTTATTGACGGTGTGTACGGACATGGAAGGTAAGGCTACAGTCGTGAGTGGATCATTGCTGGATTGGTAATGTGCTCGATTTAGTCTTCTTAAAATAAGGGGTAGGGAATTCCAATTTGTTTTGAATGATGAAATTTGGCTTTAACCCTGCCAGATGGCTCGTTGGCAAAAGTATCGGTTACAAGTCCAGCTCAACAATGTTCATGTTATCTAGATGTTACCCAAATGAATTTCAACGATTGTCCATATTTTGCAGATCTAGCCTTTTTCTGTGAACATTGCGTTTTAAAATTCCTTACTGAGTTTTTGCAGTATTCTAGCAACATGATGCGGTACTGTTTGTTATCAGAAAATTGTTGTCCCTACACAGTATTACCAAAGTATTGTCTATGACTAATTAAATGCTCCGCATTAACGTTGTTGGAATTTTGTTCTATCTGTTTCAGCCAAAGTCTAATCAATCTTATGCTTACGGGTAGCGCAGTCTCAAACGTCTTTGACAACGAGAAAGAAGTCGCCGGTCTGAGTAAGCCTAGCCACGTCATTTCTTTGGAGATCACTTCGAAAATTGCCCAGAATGCAGTTCATTTTATTGTGATGAGCCTGTGCATTATGCAAAAAAAACCAAAGTTTAGCGTCCGTGTTTTTGAAAAAAAGGGTGGAGGTGGGCCTTTTATTTTTTCATATTCTTTTTCAAGATGGCTGCCATTCTTTTTTAAATTTCCGATAAGACACGCTGATAAGACACAAAAATGATAAGACACGCTGATAAGACACAAAAATGAAACAGGCATGCTAAAAAAGAGAATTAAATATATATTTACTGTGATTTTTAGTAGTTTTGTTTAGTTAGTTTGTAGCACGGTTTTACAAGAATTAAAAATAAAGTGCCATGGATTTCTCTATTTTTAAGTGAATGGTAAAGGCGTTGGAGGAATGCAAATTCAACAAACCTTTGATGACCCAGATTGATACTATGTCATGAATGTTGATTAAAGATTCATCCGGGTTTGCTGAGATTAAGAGCTTGTCTTTGGGCATATTGATATCTTAACCTTGACCACAAAAAAAGTTGACCCTTTGAAAAAAAAGAAACAATAAAATAAAAGAAAGTTCCTGGCGGTCTAAAAAGGAAGCGGGCGGGGATGCTAAAAGTGTTTTTTTTTTTTTTTTTTTACTGCACCTTGTGCTAATTGAGTCATTCTAAAGCAGTGACTCGAGTGAAGTCGAGTTTTGTTCAGACAGTGATCCGAGTTGAGCAATGCCTTTGAAATGATTTGGGCCAAGTCTAATCACTGAAAATTGCAAATCTTTAATGCATTTGTTTTGTTCGTTTTTTTTGGAGGGGGGGGGGGGGTTGGCAGCAAATGCTGACGGAAGTCACTGAATTCAAGCCACAAAAAAACATGTCAATTTGTATACTCCTATTCAACAAAATCATTACTGTTTTATTTTCAGAAATGAAAGGTATTTGTCAACAGACCAACGTAGGATTCTTGACTCTTCTAGAAAACCTCAGATACTGTGAGGTAAGTCTCTGCTTCATTCCGACAAACAGGTGAAGTTTAGATACGTTTTCTTCTCCATGAATTTCTTTGCAATTCAATCCATGATCTTATTGTTTGTATCTCTCTCTCCATCATCTTAGGTCGGTGCGTTCCTGAAGAATCCCCGCAAGCCCATCTGGGTGATAGGAAGTGAGACGCATCTGACTGTATTATTCTCTCAGGTAAGTCTCACAATTTAAGAAAAATATTGCCGATATGCTAATTCTTCAGAACCATTGTGGGTTGATAGAGGGTTTTACTCGCATCAGATCTGATAGGTTCTTGGACATTAAGGGTGCTTGCGGTTGGTGCAGGATTGCAACTTGTATTTATATAACAGTCACCATTATCATTAGTTTCAGTTGCGAACATTAGCCCTCACCCCTTGAGCTTTTTTACTAGAAAGTATCCTCAAACTTGCCAAAGTCTATCAGTTTTGTCTTGCAAAAAAAGTTGGTGTCGTGAGTCCAGCAGAATCCACCAGTGTAGTACATATACCTCGTTCATACCAAACATATAGCCAAGGAGTTAAGCTGTTGAGATCCTGAATCCATCAAAGTCCCCCAACTGCTCAATATGGATGTATCCTGAATCCATCAACGTCGTGCAGTACTGCTAGGCTTTTCATAAGATGGAATTTTTGAGTTGGGGTGATGTAAATCAAATTAGGTTTTGCCCTTCACCGACGTATAAACACTGTAAACTCAGTGTGTTTACCTCCCGAGTGAAAGTTGGAAAAAATCACTTAGGTGGGAATCGAACCCATGACCTCCTACTTTCTAGTGCAGATGTCGTTCCACTCGACCACCGAGCTAACGGGATCGGTTGGCTTGGTTTCAGTCTGATGTACATAGCAGCGGGTACCGCATTTACTATTCATAAGATGGAACTTTTTGCGTCGGGGTGATGTAAATCAAATTTACTGTCCTGCTAGGCTTACTGTCCTGAATCCTCAAAATTCTCCAACTTTTTCAATATAGAGTTACATCCTGAATCCATCAGAATCCTCCAAACAAGGTTGTGGATTTGATGGATTCCGGTTAGCGTTAATATGATTTAGAAGGCAGTTGGGAGTGTCTTTCTCCTCAGTTCACTTTGTTGCCACTATTTCCACTTCTTTTTGACTATTCATTGTTGATTTATGAATTTAGAATGTCGCGATCAGAATCTTACTAATGTTTTCACTACAAAAATTGGAGATGTTCATTCCAATCCCCTTCCCCTCTGTCTTGGATAACGCTGTCATTTTGATCATTTTTCTTGACAGGAAGAGACTCTGGTCGCCGAGGAGACAGAGTGGGAGAAAGCTCGCCGGATCTTCAGCATGTACGACACAGAGGGTAGTGGCTTCATCACCACCATCATGCTGAAGGAAGTACTAGACGCCTTGGGTCTTGCCACCATGCCTGAATAGTGAGTCCGGTTGACCAATCCGTTTAAAGCCAGAGTCCATCATTTGTAGCTATCCAAAAGATAACTGGCGAATTTATAGTTGAAAAACATACTTGGTTGAAAGATAGTAAGGGGACTAAACTCCCTGTGAAATTATTCTTTCTGGCAACCTGTCATTTTGAAGACGAAAGAAGGCCTTTCCAATGGTGCGTCTTAAGAAGCACCGTTGGAAATTTCCGTTAGTAGTTTTTTTTTTTTAATAGGCAAAGTGCGCACAAGCATTGGCACGATGCACACGCGCGCGCGGTTGCTGTAATTCGTCGGATCGGTGCGCGACATCGCTTAGCTGCAATTGGCTCGGTGAGAATGTGTCTCGGGCGCTGATTTCAGGCCCAATTCAGAACATGATTCAGCAACTTTTGATTTGAAATCAAGATCCTAGAATGTTGTTTTTCTCAAAATATACAGCTGAAGCCGAGCTGAAACTTCATCAAGTTAGTTGTTCAGTATCCTGTAGTAAGTTTGGGACTCAAAATGAACAGTAATTGCCTGCAGAAGTGGGGGGGGGGAGATTTTAGGAGATTTAGACAACGTTCCGAGGGGTTCTTTGGTGATATTGGCTGGTCGTGATAGCGCCCTCTCATGCTGGCAGGTTATCGCTGTGGCAGGTTAATTTTATCGTGTATCAAACCATAGCAATGTTTAGCCCCTAGAAACATGCTGTTTCTCATTGGTTCATTGTTTCTTCCTCCCATGTATTGAGTGTTCTGATTGGTTGGTTTTTACCCCCAGTGTTGACTTTGTAAAGCAGCGCTTGGATCCTGATGACTTCGGTGTTATTCTCCTCAACTCCTTCATATCAGAGTTCTTCCCAAATGAGGTCAGTTAAAAATTAATTACAAAATTTTAAGTTTTACTCAATTTATACCTTTTTCCTACCTGCAGGGCCCAATTTCACAGCGCTGCTAAGCACAAAAATGTGCTTATTACAAAAAAAGTCTGGCTTATGAAAACAGGTTACCAGCCAAAACTCAATGTGGTTTTCATGCTAAGCAAACAACAGCTGAGTACTAATCACGAGCTATATACATCACATGGAATTTTTGCTGGTAACCTGTTTTTATAAGCCAGCCTTTTTTTGTGCTAAGCAAATTTTTGTGCTTAGCAGCGCCGTGAAATTGGCCCCAGGTCTTGATAACTAGAAATAATATAAGATTTGATCCAACCAGCTAACCGCTTAACCTTGATGGTGTTGTTGAGACATCTGCCCTAGTAAGTTGGAGGTGGATGGTTCGAATCCCATCCAACCCAAGCATACTTCTATCATGTTTGTCCCAACAAGCTGTCAGAAAATACTTTTACCAAACTTTTTGTTTTTCTTTTGGACAGCCTGATCGGATCATTCCTGAATATTTCACCGTGTATCACTACAACGGACTCAAGAGATCTTGCCCTAACAGACAGGTAGGTTAGGCTTAGCTTCCATCACCGGCCGGTTTAAGTACCGGCCAGCCTAGGCCGGCCCCTTTGAGGCCGGTATGATCCTTGGCCGGTACTTTTGCCTCTCACAAGGCCGGTCTTGCTCCAGTATCTCGTCGGCACTTCAAAGTCACTCAACGAACAACCTACTGGTATGCAGCCTGTCAGCCTCCAGAGTTGAACAAAGAGTTCTAAGCGGATTAGTGTCTATTGTGTAAACATGGCGTAAACAAGCTTCCAGACTGTAACTAAACTTGATGGCGAAAGATACATACGGCAGTGTGACGTTTAAACCCTTTGAATTTAAAGTTTGCGTCTTTTTTACGAATTTTTATCAGCTGAGTTTGAGAAGAAAGCAGAAAACATGCTTTATTAATCATAACCATTCACCTGTAACTGTTAATTGATAGCAGTCACGCACTTAAGGCCTATTGTTGCCCGTGGAGGATTAAGCGGATTAAATACCCCTCATTGTTGGGTCCCAAATGCTGGATCTGCAATTATCAGGCATGAACACAATAGATCGCACATAGTTGGCTCGGCCGGTTTCAAGAGGATTAAACTAACTGGCCGAGCTACCAGCTGGCCTGTATTCAAACCGGCCGGTGATGGAAGCTAGGCCTTAAGGACACTGATCACATTTTGAACGGTTGTACACAAAATAAGCATATTTGTCACCTGTTTTTCAAGAGAACGTTTCCCTGATCACAGAGCGATCTTAATTCTTTCAACTTCCTATTAATGTCCACCTGCTTCATCTTTACAGTTGGCCTACGTGGAGGGCCGGGCCACCATCCCTGACCCCAGCGAGCTGACTTGCCTGAGCGACGCTACGCCCATCAAGAGCTGTATCCGGACCAAATGGCCCACCTTTGAGGTGGAGTGGAAAGACAATGCAAACCCTTCCATCATCTGAAGCCACACCCCCTAATAGACTGATCCATTAAGCCCCGCCCACTGCACATGTCAAGCCACACCCCCTAATAGACCAGTCCATTAAGCCCCGCCCACTGCACATGTAAAGCCAAACCCCCTAATAGACCAATCCATTAAGCCCCGCCCACTGCACATGTGAAGCCACACTCCCTTATAGACCAATTCTCTAAGCCCTGCCCTCTGTGCATATGAAGCCACACCCCCTGTGCATATGAAGCCACACCCCCTAATAGACAATTCATTTAAGCCCCGCCCACTGCACATGTGAAGCCACACCCCCTTATAGACCAATTCATTAAGCCCTGCCCTCTGTGCATATGAAGCCACACCCCCTAATAGACAATCCATTAAGCCCCGGCCACTGCACATGTGAAGCCACATACCCACTGCACATGTTAAGCCACGCCACGTAATAAACCAATTTGTTTAGCCCCGCCCACTGCACATGTAGGCAATAACAGGTGTGCATCATATATTCATACACACACAAATGTGCATGGTCATTAAATACACAGTTGTGATAGATCAGGTGGTGTGGGTCTTAATGGTTCAGTGTATTGGACATTGCTAGCTAGTTTAACAGTCAGGTAGACATGCTTTTGTAAGGTTTTGACATTGCAGTAGGCTGGGATCCAGACATGTCAAAATGAGGTCATGAGGTCATGTCCAGTGGGTGTTGCTTTCAATGGCCACACCTTTTGAAAGGTGTTGCACAGTGTCAATCACACAAAACGACAATGCAAACCCCATTTTAATCTGAGGCCACGCTCCCAAATGGATATCACTGCAGTATGACTGTCAGGTAGACATGCTTTTCAAATGCTGGAAAAAGGTGCATTGATATTAGAGATAGCTGTGGAACTCAAGTGCTTAGCGTGAACATAGTGTGCTAATCACCACACCACCAAATACATGTATGTTCAGCAACCGTGCAGTAGTTAAGGAATACAAGGGTCTTTTGTTTTTAAAAGTTACTATTAAACATTATTTAAAAATGTATGTACATGTAATAACCTGGGCTGTGCGTACAGACGCGTACTCCAGATTTCAGTATAGATATACATGTATAACACTTAGCTGATATGGGCACAAAACGGAGTATCCATAGCAAAAATTGTGGTGCACTTGCAGTAGCCGATTCAGAGGGGAGGGGGGGGGGACGGTGCAGCTGGTGCACGCCCCCTATTTTATGTTTTTTAATTTTAATTTTTTTGGGACTACTTCTTGCCTTTTTCCCCCGTTTCCTCTGCTGTCAACTGGTTATTTAATCACTTCAAAGACACATTTTCACCCACACGAGCAATATTTGCCCGCTTGTAAGCTCGGGTTTCCCCTCCATTTTCGGCCCCCTTTCCTTAACCAGTTCGTGCTGGGATTATTTTGACAAGATTGGAACGAGGCGCGGGATTGATTTTCACTCGACCTCCAGCCAGGCGGGTTGAAGCCGTCACCCTCAAGCAGCACACTCGTATTTGCGGCCCGCTTGCTGCGAGCGGGTCGCTGACAGATATTTCCGGCCTTGCTCCCTGTGTGTCTATCCATCATCCGTTCCGAATACCGCAAAACCTTTGCGCGTACACCTGTCATCCGGCGCGAACTGGTTAAATGCTGGTTCCGCCACTGACTTGGGAGACACTCCCTGAAGATGTAGGCTTGCCCATGGACAATATATATAAAAGGGGAAACAAAGGTTTTTATCTGTCATTTCCAATATGTACAGAAGCACATGCCAACCCTGAAATTGCTCATTATTCATGAAACTTAACTGCAAAAAACATCAGATTTTAAGCCGCTTCCTTAAAAAAATATGACCTTCACTTTGATATTTTAAATTTCCCTTTGAATTTACAACATTAACTAATCAGTATAGAAGTTTTGCTTTATTGTTGTCGAAGTTCCGGTTGCAAAAAAAAAATATCTGTACAATAGTGTTAAGTGAATTCAAAACCGTTGCAGTGATGCAACTAAAGTATCTTGAATGATGACATTCGCGAAAGGACCATGGCTTATTTGTTGCCGCCCATTGGTCTTTGGAAACTCTTCAGAATTGCAACCAAGAAAGACCTGCTGGACAGGGATACAAAAAATGTTAGTAGTTCTTTTATATTTTATTTAGAAGCTTTGTAAGGATTCTGTTAGTCGGTTTTTGAGTTGGTTATTTATGTTTTAAATCTGTAACTTGTGTTTAAGGGACTTGTAATCAAATCGTTCAATAGCAAGTCAGTCATACTCGATGATGTAGTCCAGGTCAAAGGTAATTCAGGATTATTGTGACGTGATTAACACGTGTTAAGCCTAGTTCCATATCGATGACTGCACCGATAGTGCACAGAGCCGTCAACAGAAATATTACTTGACGAGCTCAAGCCTTTTTTTGTGCTTTTCCAGTTGAAATACCGAACTCGCTTATTCTATCGCTACATGTATTAAATTCACAAACCAAGCCATATTTGAATAAGTTCCATGAATAAACACTTAGGTAATTTGAATAACTTGTGTCGTCACGTGAGACTAAATAACTTGTTTTTGACTTGATTACAATATTTGTTTTGTACCAGTGTATTCATTAAAAAGAGAAAAAAAATGTGCTGAATTTGCTGTAGTGTTATGGTAACGAGGATGGGTTCACATTAGAGCTGTGCATCGGAACCGACTACCCGACAGCAGATGTCGGGAACTGGTTGCAGAGATAGGGATCGGGTTGATTCATTGGATAGCACACACGCTGTATTGATCGTCACGTAGCCTACTCGGGTCTCCGAGATTAAGGTCAACTTAGTGTAAATTACATGTTATTTAAGATGACCAAGTCGGTATTCCTTTTTCAGAGGTTAAACATTGCACAGTTTTTTTCCAACATGTAAGGTTATTGGCATATTAAAGTTTCTTCCAGAAATATTACTATAGCCAAGTACTCCGTTGATATAAAGGAAAAACTTGAGTTTTCACGAAGCAAATGCTTGCTGGTTTCTTGTTCAATTTTCATTGCGTTGTATATTGCTCTAATACGTTTTGAATGTTTGATTTTATTTGATTGTGAAGTTTTGTTTACTACACGTCATGGTGTTTGTGTCGCCTAGACGAAGTTTTGAGGGACACTAGCCAGACCTAAATTGTGTACGTCCGTTTCTCCATCTCTCCGCATGACCGTATGTATGAACGATTAGGTTAAGTTTTTGAGAACAAAAAATGTATACCTTCTACATGCTTTCAAGGATTTTGATGAAACTTGGACGCAGTGACCCTTGGGTGGGAAGACACGTACTTCATCGGATTACTGAGGTCAAAGGTCATGTATGGGTCATTAGAGGTCATTGTTCAAATATGCTTCAAATGTTTCTTTGTCTACAGAATTTGATGGATTTAAATGTCACTTGGACAGAGTGATCATTGGGTGGGGGTTCATGATGACAACTCTTGCGAAAGTGGAGATCAAAGGTCATCTAGGGGTCATTATTGAGGTCATTGTGTTAAAATGCTCGACATTTTGGAAAGAACGTTGCAACCTGACGCTACTTTAGCGGTTGTGTACAAAGTCTATGGACAAATGATGGAGAGTCAAGAAAAGTTTAAGGAAAAAGTATTTCCTAACAAATTGGAAATGTTTCTCGGCCCCAGATTCATGTCTTATCATCATTTTTGCGATGACTGACCTTCATTGAGATGATATATGAAGAAATAAGCAGCGCCAGGTTGCAACATTCTTTCCAAAATGAGACTTTATCTTACGAACACAAAAGATAGGGATGGATGGTGAATAAAGGCGCCACATGCAAGGTTTTTTTTCATACCAAGGTCTGCACTATGCGTGTTTCCGCTTGCACGCGCCCAACTTTAAATCTCACGCTTTCTCAAAATACTTCACGGTAAGTCTCATGCTGAACGCTGCATGTTAGTGCAGACATAACACGCATATTAATGTTGGACATGTGAAATTGCTAAATATTTATCTCACTGGTCTAACCCGAAAGCTTTTTAAACTTTTTGTTGCAATAATTGATGGAGGGCATGAGAATTTAACATTTTTGATATTTTTTTTTTTATTAAACTACTAAAAACAATCCTAGTTTAATCACGTTGTGCATTGCTAATAATGAACTTAATAGACATCTGGTGTGAGCAAGCAATAATGGGACGGAACTTTCGATAAACAAACCCACGTGATACTGTACGCTTGTCTATTGGACAAGGATTGTGTGACGTGTTTTGTTTATAAAAAAAAATGCACTGTTCAGGAGATGTATGCGCGAGTGACTGGTCGATGGCTCATCCTTTTAGCTTGGAGAACCTTGAAACTTTAATATCACAGAACTAATGCAACTATTGTGTGTTTGTCTAAAAAGAGATATTGGCGAGATGCTAAATTATTGATAGACTCGATTTAATTGGCGCCTACTCGGATTGGCATATTTTCCTGAACCACAAATCTCTAATTTCGCGCACACTAAACAAATTCACGCGAGCCCAAATTATACCTCTTGATCTCGATGCCCTCTGCACAAATTTGATTTTGTTCCTGCGCAAACAATTCCAAAAACCTTTTTTTTTCTTTAGTGGGATCGATCTTTTTACTCGCAATAAAGGCCGGCTACCGCATTAAATGTAGTTAGGGGTTACCTTTATTATGTAAATGAGCCGAACAATTGGCCAATCCGCAGGCCTGTTCAGTAAATGCGTTCACCTGTGTCGAAGGTTCGTGCAGTATTTACCACATGCCTTTGTTGCTATAGACCAAGAACTGGTTTATTTGCGTGTACATGTGTAGTGTGAAATGGGATGCCTGTTCTAAATATCTAATACCCGAAAAGAGTTGTGATGTTATTGACATCTTTCCGAGAATAAGTTCTGGACTACATTGTCGGTAGATTATACTCTTCAAGGAACGCGTGACGAAGCTTTTCGTGAATTGATCCTGCAAAGGTTGAGCTTATTAGGCAATATACTTTGGTTTCAATTTGCAATGTGAAGGCAAGTGGTTTTGACATCGTGGAAGAACGCCAGTACGTTCAGTTGCATTGACATTTCCGACACAACAACCAACAGAAACTTGCATCTATTACAGGTATCATCTGCGAGGTTGGTCAGTGAAGCATCGTGACGACTGATCTCACTCTGAGGGGGATATGGCCGCGATTTTCCCGATGGCTGCCACGCATCACCGGGCATAACCTACAATTCAACAGACTCCTGGTAAAAAATAGACGTACGGTATTCTGTATCACATCGTTTCAAAGACCAGGTGAACACGAACCCTCGTGGGTCTGTTGTAGCAACGGCGTCAATAATTGCGGAAACAAGTCTTGTATCGAATTTGGTGAGAATTTGTTTCACTGACCAGTGAAGGATCTCCAGCGAAGTCCCCTTGGGAAGCCTGAAATTGAAAAGGAAAACTGCAGAACAAGCTATGTGAATTTCAAAGTTGCCTCACTGATTAATTGTCAGTTGTGAATGCACCGGTGATACGTTCAATATTAGCAAACTTTATGGGGGATGGGCGGAAAGAGCTCCAAAACCGATGTCCACGCAATGGGCGGAGCTAGGATGGAGGACCCGTTGTGTCTTCAGGTGGGGGAAGAGATTCCCGAAGAGCATCACAAGAAGACGGGACATCGTTTCAAGTCGATCAGCGTCAGGAATCACCTCACGAGCTCCCTAAGCTCACTGAGACCTGGTAAGCGTTCTATTTTATTTTCCAGTTCGTCAAATAGGCCTACGGTTGCACTGTGTAACAAATCTCTTTTGTGAGTCTTTGAGGTCTAAAGAGAACCGGGGGGACGGGTTGGATTCATTGTTTCGGTCAGGGTGCGCTGCCTGTCGTCAGGAAACTCAGGGATTCCAGCAGTAAGGGTTTAGTTCTTAAAATAATAATAATACAACTCTTTCACGTCACAAAAACATCACAAAGTGCTGTACAATTAAAATACACAGGTTATTAAGAAATACAGATAATAATAGTTATCAAACAAACAAGCATGCCTAGGTAAAACAACTTAACAATTAACTTAAGTGATACAAAAGTAATGCTTAAAAAGATGAGTTTTCAAGTAGGTTTTAAAAATGTCCAAGGCATCAGCAGATCGTGAAATGTCACTGAGTGCATGCAACACTCATAGTGCATACGTAGGCTTACATTGATTGAATGTTTTAAAACTTTTTAACCAACAACTTCCCCTAATCCCCAGCCCAGCACAATGCAAAAAAATCAATGGCCATTGTGATATAAATAGCTGGTATACGACCCGAACCGGGCTCTGACCCTGCTAAATGCCACCGAAATCCGAAGGCTCTTCGATCGTGGGAGGTGCTGGCTAGGACGATAGACCAGCCCAATAGTTTGGGCTCCCTGCATAATTAAGAGGGTGCCGTCAGAACGTCAGAGCATCGGCTAGCACTAACAGGGCATAATTTCGTCTTCCAACTTATTCGCCACCAAAACTTTTGACAGAGGGATAGCCCTGTGGATACGGTCTCTCCTTAACAAATCCCCCCCAATAGAATTCTGATGCACGGCGGCAACTTTTTTCTAGGAATTTTCCAAGAAATCAACACAAAATGCATGAACCGGTCTTTGCTATTTTCTCATTTATGTAAACACTTCTTAAAAAAACACCCAAATCATTAAAAAACACGGGGTTACGGGCCCTATATTCTCCGTTCCGTTTGACTCTTACACACTTCTTAATAAACCGTCTTCTTTCGCTTCATTTTTTTTTACACATGCAAGTTCCCGGTCCATACACTATAAAACACTTCAGTCAGATTTGACTAGAAGCCAGTTAAATTTGACTAGCCATTCAGGGTCGGCTGGGTGCAACTGAAAATCAGTCAATCTGACTAGATTTTTCCAGTCAGTATTGAAAGAATAGTTATGCGAATAACTAAAATTGGAGTCAAAACCAACTACTTGTACTAGTCATAGTGTGAAACTTTGCATGTTAAACTAAATTCCTCGTCAATTTTCAATAACTAGGAAAACATGTCAATATGTTTATTAAGTTATTTTTTTTAGAGTTTAGTCTTGTACATGAGTATACTAAATTCTTCCAATTGAATCACCTTTCGCGGTTATATCCGATGCAGATCGTTCCTACATATACCCAGGACCCAAAGGTGTACATTGTTCTAGCCATTTCACTATTCCAACTTTGCAGAAACTCAGATATGTTTTGACAATTTGCAAGGAGGGTCTCAAATCATGGAGGGTCTCAAAGAACTTGAAACTTCTTGTTCTAACCTAAAGCAAAATCCGAGAACAACAGACAGCACCGCACCATGTTTCACAGTATTGTGCACACTCAAAAGTGCGAACTTTATTTCTATCGCCACTTTGCCGGATTGAAACATTTTCCAAAATCGGGAGATTGTCAGATCGATGCAACCCTAATACGCTGTGAATACTTCTCACTTTGAAAACTGTTGTGTGTTGTTGCGTTGGGCAGGATTTCTAGACAAATTCCCGGAGGGTTATGACACGACCAGAATGATACTTGAGACTCAAATGAAGTCGTTCCACTTTTTCATGTCATTTTAGGCAGTGGCACCTCTCACCCGTCCGGCGACACGGCTGCTCAGGAGGCCATACTGGCCAGCATCCGGCTGGAAGACTACGAGTTTCCCTTCGAGAACGTAGTCTTCGAAGGAGGCGGCAACAAGGGGTTGGCCTACGCAGGAGCCGTCAGGGTAAGGCGATTTGTATCTCTCATCGGGACATGTTTTGGAGACTACACATTGCTGGCGTACTGTGAATATTTTCCCCCGAAATCTTTGCTTTTCGTCTTCGGCTTTGCATCCAAATTCTGAATCACCGAGAAGCAAACCAAATTGATATATGAACTTTGGGCTGCATATCAACCGATTAAATGTTCCTGAAGTATTAACAGTTACCAAAATTAACCTTCCCAAATCCATCAACATCCATTCTCCCGTTTTGGGGATTTGGTATGCAAGCCATGAGTATACCAAGTCCATCAAAAGCCACCTATAGCAGTGGTGGTCTTGTGGTGGATTTCAGCGGATTTGGTCCTAAAGCATTATGTGAAGCAGGGTCAGTGATGGATTTTGGCAGACTTGGTCCACTTGTTTCCTACTTCCATGGTAAAAGACACAAGTGAGTTTTAATGTACGGTTTCAAGCTGTAGTTTCCGAAGCAGGGTGCCTAAGATCTGCTTAAGACGAAGACATCAAATGAGAACCATATAGGCACAGACGGATTTCACAAAAAGATCGCAGTTCACAGGCCTCAAAATTGTTAACATCATCGGTCATTTACCTCAACTTTATACGTTACCGGTTATTTACCTCATTGTGAAATCTAAATTGTATAACTTTACCTTGATTAAGCCATTCTCAAATAACGACAAAATTGTAACCAATAGGCCTAAAGTCTACAGTCATAAAGTATATAACTTTGAGGCTCTCGATCAAAATTTAAGAGATTATTTATGTGATATTTGTATACCATAATACCCACCACTTAAAAAAAGTTAACGTATCCGCGCTAAAGATGCACGAAGGGTTGTTTACTAAAAGCTGCTTGCCAGCCACTCCAGAAGGCGCATTTACAATTCATGGCACTCTTGGAAATGTACTTTGTGCGTACTGAGAGCGGTGCTCACGGATTTACATGTAACAACAAAAAGCTTCAGGGCCTCATTGTGCTGTGCGTATTTACACAGGTCGTGTATAGATTTCTGTTCGAGTACATGTAATAAAGCTGATCAAACGCTCCAAGCTATTCATGTGTCCCACTTTACGTTTGCTTTCATTCTTATTGTAAGCATAGTTCGAGGTTTATGTTATGTAACCATGAGCTTTAATCGGGCAGATTTTCCTTTCACTACACCTCATGCGTTGCGGGTGTCTCACCAGAGGGTAGTGTTTGTTATTTTAGCTTTACATGGTGTCCCCAAAAAAGTTGTGCAAGCAGATATCCTTTCAGTTTAATTTCTCAAAAACTACTTAATATTGTTTCTGTTCCGCACTATAGCCCCCGAGTTTGATGGTTGCTATAGTGCGAAAACAAGTCTATAGCCCCCATCAAACTCGGCGCGAAAGCGAAAGCGAAAGCGAAACAGATTGTACTAGTGACGTCAACAATTTGAAGTCTTTTTATGCGTTAAGTTCTGAGGTGCGCCGTCAACACCATGTCGAAAAAAAAGGTTTTTAAGGCCGGTTCATTGTCACCCAGAATGCGAAATTCGATAGCAAGAATTTGTGAAGTGCGACCTAATTGTTTGTACTCCCATACAATGCACTGCTTTTGCTAAATGCCTTCGATGCCTACCTCTGCGCATGCGGGCATAAATTTGAATTTATTACTGGTCATGTAGGTAAAGGTAAAGGGGACGACCTGTATTCACGGGGACGAACCTGTATTCACAGGAACGGAGTGCCCATCTCTCTTTCATAGCGATTGGGCCAGACTCATATGCTGCTGTGGAGGGATCGCCACACCTCCTCCACAGCGAGTCTGTTACCTTCCCAGCATTGACAATGCCGGTACCCATTTAACACCTGGGTTGAGAGGAGTAATTGAGGTGAAGTGCCTTACTCAAGGGCACAACACGCATGGCCACGGTGGGGTTCGAACCCACAACCTCTCGATCACGAATCCTGTGCTCCACCGCTAGACCACACGTGACTGGTCATGACTTTGCACCAATCATATTCCGATCCTGTTGTTTACCCTCAGGTGTTTGAGAGAGCAGGGGTGTGGCCTAACATCCGTCGATTGGCAGGAGCCAGCGCCGGTTCAATGTGGGCGATACTCCTGGGCGTGGGCTACACCTCCCATGACGTGGAAAGGTTCCTTAGTCTCGACCTCAAGCGGTATTTTCTAGGTGAGACAAAAATGGCAGACAATACAAACTATAAATCGATATATATTTGAAAATTTTTATGTAAATTGGCAGGGCTGATGTGCGTTTCATTTCCTTCATTGTGACTTGAAAGTAAAAAAAATCTTCTTCCACATTGGAGAATTTAATTATTACCTATTTTGGATGTGTTTTGTCAAAATCAGTCAGATAGCCTGATACGATCGAAACCGGTGTTTTGGGCGATTTTTTTTTTTTTTTTAATTTTCAAGATTGTTTTGCAAATTTATTATTCTGAATTTGTCTAAAATATTCTGTAAAAGTTTCAGACCAAACTTTTGCATGTAAAGGTGAATTTGGGGACGAAAGTGTAATAGTTCTTCTTCGAATAGCTGCCAGGAAGGCTTTTTTTGACAAAATATTAGCACATCATATCTCAATGGTTCTATAAAGTTTAAGTCCTCCAATTTTAGCCAACTACTTATCTCTTATCCCTAAAAGGGCTTATTTTGACCATCTCACATGGGGGGAGGGAGGAGATCTCGGCCATTGAATGACGAAAAACTATGAAACTCGGTACATGCACAGAACAACTTAACATAAACATACCCAAGAAACGTCACGACTGTAGGTCAACGCGTTTTGGAATTATGGCTAATTAATTATATACTCCAATGCGGGTAATTCTACTTTGTGTACATGCCGTTTTCACGGCGCTTAGCGCCGGAAAATTTTATGTTTGTGGTATCAAAATAATGATGCGCAAGACACGAGGCTAAAAAGTTAGGACAGCTTGGGCCGCGAAATAATTTTTTCAAGGGCATCGCGGAAAAAGGTTGGGGGGGGGGGGATTCCGCCCGGCCCTTTCAGGGTTAAGCTAGGGTTAAGCTATTGTTTTTGATTGTTGTGAATATCGTAGATGCCTCCTGCGGATTTTGTTCACTGATCCCGAACCTGATGAAGCACTACGGATGGCACCCTGCCACAAAACTGTATAGCTGGTTTGGGGATCGTCTGGAGCAGGCCACGGGGCTTAGGGACATCACATTCCAACAGGTATTCTTTTTCCTCGTAAACATTTTGATTTGTTAACCATGTACTGTGGTTGAACAAGACATGACCATTGGTCTATTTGATCCATGGTGACATTCCGTCTGACAATGGAATGCCAGACGTAGAACATGTAACCAATAGAATACTATAAGTGTGGTTTGAAAGATAGGCCTACACCTTCCCACTTTACAATGAGACATCAAACGTCCAAAACTGATAATTGTTGACAGAATTATGACTAATTTTTAAAGAGAGGTCAAATTGACCATGGGTCCAAGTTTTCAATTTTAGGCATTGGGACAAAGGGAGGCTAAAGCCTACAAAAATGTGTTTTAGAGAGTAACACAATTCTAAACACTTTTTTGCTATCAGCTTGTAATGATGTTTACATGCTAAACATTTTATAGCATGAGGTGATAGCAAAAAAGTGTTTAGAATTGTGTTTGCTCGCTAAACACATTTTTTTAGGCCAGGCAAATATCCACACAGAGGCAAAAAGGGTACCTCTGTCCCAAAGCCTAAAATTGAAAACTTGGTTTCATCGTCAATTTGACCTCTCTTGGAAAGTTACTCATGGCTCTGTCAAAATTATCAGATTTGGACATTTGATGTAGGCCCTATCTTTCAAACCATAGCTATACTGTCTATGTTGGTTACTCATTTCGTTGTATTTTGATACAAATTGTATAGGCCCACGTTGAGTCGCATTGGCCAAAGCGTGTAGTGTCCCTAAGCAGGATGCTTTATCAAGATGATTCTGTGTATATGCATCCTGGGCCAAATTTTATGAAGCAGATGCCAAAGCAGAAAATATTGCTTAGCTCATTTATGTACTCAGCAAAGATCTGCTGAGAACCAGTGATGAGCCGTGTACATGCATGGTATTTTAGCTGGCAACCAGTTTCTGCTAAGCGAATATTTTCTATACTCACCAGATATATGACAAATTTAACACGGAGGTCTGCGTGGTGGTGACCAACGTCAACGTCATGGATGCCGAGTATTGCCACGTCAAGACCACGCCCAACATGTCCGTCCGGACGGCAATGCGCATGTCCATGGCTATTCCAGGTACTGTTCTGATCTTATCTCCCTCTGGCTTGTCTCATTTATTTTAATCGTACATGTATATATCCCCCTTTTTATGTGTAGATTAACCTTAAAAAGAGCCGTATTGTCTATGTGCGGAACCTGTATTTAATAGTCCTACTCGTTTCGACTGATGTTTTGTACATTTTGACACCAATTTCATAAACTTCCGATCAAGAAAATTCAATGATTCGAACGTGTGGTGGCATTATGATTAATGCTCGCTTTATTCTCCCTGCGATACAGCACATGCGTAATATATACTAATAGTGATAATGTACACAACGTATGGTACAATATCAATGACGATACATATCATTGACATGAAATTACATATCAATGACGATAGGAAAATGACCAAACGTAATTTTGAGGAATGTGAAAAGGTGAAATTGTCTTGTTTTTTTTTTAGGATGAAAGTGGTATTCCTTTCTCTTTTCTCTGACAGGTTTATTTACCGCAGTGAAATACAAGCGATATGGACGGGAAGATTGCTACGTGGACGGCGGGCTGTTGTGCAATTATCCCATTCATTGCTTCGACGGTTAGCTCTAATTTTCACTTCCAGTGGTTTTGTTTTGGTTATTGAGAGAATTAAAGCATCAGTTTTTATGGCTATCGTGTTGGTTGCATACAACTACAAAACTAGGTTATTATTTTGGTTGCATACAACTAAACTGGCTATCATAATAGTTTATCATTTGGTTGCATAAAACTCTATCATTTTGATTGTACATGTATACTGCTCAACTAGGTTATCATTGGTTGCATACTAACTAGTTATCAGTTTGGTTGCGTAAAACTAATGGTTTATCATGTTAGGCGCATACAAATTATGTAGTTCATTGTTTGGTTGCATGTTAACTAATCTGGGTTATCGTTTGCGTGCAGAAACCATGGAGTTATAAACACATTCATTTTGTTGCATACAACTAATCTAGTTTATCATGTGTAGTGCATCATCTCGGATAATTTAGGATACGTGGACCAACTTTATCTAATCTGGATGTACCAAAAATAACTCTCTGTTCGTGCAGGTTGGTGGTTGTCAATGAAACCAGAGGACGGTTTCCTACAGCAATTGCAGCCCCTGGAGAATGCTGCCATTCTCATGCAGAAGAATGCTCGGTTTGCACCGGTCAACGATAAGACGATCGGCTTACTCCTGGTAAGCATATAACCAGCACATTCTTCTATAGGAATTGGCTAAATACTTTAACATTTGCTGAGCAAAAACAAGTTGGGATGTATTTTTGTGGCTGGTTTTTAATGGACTGTGGCTCTTAGCATAAGTGTGAGTGCACAATATGATCTGGGGGAAAATGTATAATGAATACCTTCTTCCATCTTGTTTTGTTCCAGTTTTCCAGTGACGAACAGGACCTAATGGTCAACCAACTCGCCCAGAAGAGCGCGTGTATCCTTCCGGTCGAACGGCCCGATACCAAGCTGTCAAGGTGTGCAAGAGAGTGATTTACCCTGACAAAAGTGTTTCCTAGATGAGATGTAACAATTGTTGACTGTTGTGATGAGGGATATGACGTAAAATCACGAAAACAAACAGCTCAAACACAAGAATAAGACAGTCGACTCACATATGCAACTCAACTTAACGTCAACAGTATGTATCTGAATAAAATGATGGCGACAATCCATAAGAAATTTGGAAATCATTTTTGTTGTTCGCAGGGAGCGTAAAGACGTCAAATCCCGGCAGAAAGAGGCTTGTCGGGAGCACCGAATGGTGACGGAAGCCATGTCGAAGTTCATGTGCGTTTTATCGGAAAATCAGTTGGACCAGCGCGTGGGCCACGTCAGTAGAAAGGAACTGGAATCAGCGTTCGCAAATGTAAAGCCCAAATTATTATACCTTTATTTTTTCTTAATCCAAGAGTTCTCCAAACGGGGTCTACCCGATGTTCCCCAATACCTATGTTCCCTGTGCTCCCAAATACAGCAATTCCCACAATTGATAAAATACTTCAGTATTATGTTTTTTTTACCCTTGACCGAGTATAAACAATGTATACTCAGTGTATTACCTCCCGAGTGAAAGTTGGAAAAAAACACCAGGGTGGGACTCGAACCCACGATCTCCTGCTTTCTCAGTGCAGACGTCTTACCACTCTACCACCGAGCTAACGGGATCGGTTGGCCGGTCGGCGAAGGGCAAACAAATCTAATATATATTTATCAATCAAATTAGGTTTTGCCCTTCACCGACTTTTTTAATTTTTTTATTTATTTAGGTAACACACTGAGTATACAGTGTTTAAAAAAACGTCGGTGAAGGGCAAAACCTAATTTGATTTATATCACCCCGACGCAAAATTCCATCTTATAATAATATATATTTACATCATCCCAATGTAAATTCATATGCATAAAATACTGAATTCAGGATGCCTATCAATTGAATTTCGTAGACTATTGACACGAAAAGTTAGAAATGCTTGTCTTCCTTAAGGGTTTGAGGTTGATCACATTTTCTCTTGACAGAAATCTGACGATTTCACGGATGAACACGCCAAAACATTGTTCGGGGAGAACTTCACTATCGAAGAGATCTTCAACTATCTAGACTGTAATAACGACGGCCAGGTAATGTCAAGTAATAAGCCATGTATCTGTCTAATTGCCTTATGCACAAGTTGGCCTTTTTTTGTCGAGTTCCCTGAACGCATTTCATTAATTAACTGTTGAATGGGATGGCGCCAAACTGTTTATACAAGCACAATGCAACCTTAACTGTTATTTTATGTTTTATAAATCTGGCTTTAAACATTGTGGAAAGTTTAATTACAAATTTTGAATTATTTATTGCAGCAGACTGGAATTAATCAGTAATTATCTTGCTTTCATGTCTCTTCGCAAATTTCAAAATTTAAGATTTTACCTCACTTTCAATTCAATATGGCCGACGCGTGCTTAACCCCCAAGTCCCATGACGATGCGGTCGCTACCCAGAGTGTTCTGCTTCATGCAGGTCACAGCGACCAAGCTGGCTGATCGTGACCTTTTCGCTGTAGATCCTTTGCATTCAGCGGCCATCTTTAGGTGCTTTGGGGTTATTTCGATTCAAATGTCAACATCATTGTCACTTGGACAAGCCAGTCTCTGATAAACAACGACTTGACTTGCACGAGTCACTATCTGAATTTGATTTTACCACGCCGTTGGCGTTTGATTTCCCATCCCAGATTTCGTTCAACGAGCTGATGGGTCTCGCCGAGCAGAAAGGCATCGGTCTGCAGAGCTACTTCCTGGGCTACCAGAGGCAGGACATCAAGTCACTGCGTGGCTTCCTCGACACGCTGTCCAACACACTTCTGGTCAACGTTAAGCGAGTTTTTACAACGGTAGGCACACACAAATCGATAGAAGTCTGCTCCTACCCGTATGAGAATGTTGTCATTGTTGAAAAGTAATGTAATCAGAGTTCTTCCTTTTTCTTGCACCTTTTGATTGCATGTTAATCTTTTTTGTTTTATCTGCACTGAGGGGTATTTTGGCTAGCTTTTTCGAATTTCATGATCAGGCTCCTGAGTTATTTGTAATTGTGCACTGGTGTATGTTGTTGTCAAAACAGTCATTGTTTTTTTCTAAGGAGGTTGCCTCGATCTCGTTCTAAAAGCTTCCTCGGTGTTTTTTTATTGGCTTCTTAGGAAGGTGACTTGGAGCGGACCGTGGGCATTGATACTCTTTATGTGAGTGCTACAGACTTTCAGTTGGAAGAAGATGATCGGAATTTCCTTGTCAAGGTAAAGTTGGCATAAAGTTAACTCGTTTGTAATACATTACCTAATAGCAAAGGAGACTTTTTTTGACGAAATGAGAGGCATTAAGCGCTGGGGCAGCATACAGCTACTGACAAACCTATAGCCCTTTTGTCGTTTTTTCCCCAAGATTGCGTCACAATTACGCCGCATATGCCAATTGTCAGGACATCTGAATTCTTTGTCCAGGTATTTAAGATAAACATCTCGTTAGGTAATCAGGGCAGTGGTACAGAAGAAATTTAATGAATTGAAACACGTGGTGCGTGACGCAATAGGGTCAGCTGACAGCCACCGACCAATCGTGACGTCGTTTGCCGCACAGTTGCGTCAGGCTACCACGTACTCTAAAAGGTTAAATGTTGCTCTTTAAAGAAACAGACGTTTTAGAGTCGGTCACTGCACGTGGTGCATCAGACAATCTTCTCCCTAATACTCTCCACCATGCAAAGTATGAAATCCTATTTGCAACCCCATCTTACTTTGTGCAGCAAGGTGAACGGAGTGCCACGACATTCCTACGGCAGTGGATAGCGCGCAACCCGGACAAGGCGGTACGAAAGAACAACAATGCATCAGTACCCCTCGACCTGCCCACGGCACACGGGCAAACTCGGCAGGGTATCCCGGTACAGCAGGAGGAGGCGCACGGGTCCAAATCTTTGACAGTTACCGGTGGCCCGCCGGTGCTGTCGGTGTCTCCAGCGCCTGCCCCACAACGAATGGAAAGGGAAGTCGATGAATAAGCAATTTAGTCACAGGTATAGGCAAATTTAAAGCAGTAACAGGCTTCAGAGTTGTAATGGAGCCATCACAAGGCATCAAACACCATCATAAGTCATCACATGGCATCATAAATCATTACAAGGCATCAATAATCATCGCAAGTCATCAGTAATCATCACAAGTCATCACAACTCACAATTAAGGCATCATAAATGCATCATAAATCATTACAAGTCATCACGAGGCATCATAAGTCTTCGCAAGGCATCACAAGGCACCATAAATCATCACAAGGCATTATACGTCTTCACAGGTCATCACAAAGGTATCATAAATCATCACAAATCATAACAATGTATCATAAATCATCTCAAGTCGCCACAGTGCATCATAAATCATCACAGAATTAATTATCACTAGGCACAACTTATTCGAATTCGTTCCTTTGTCATGATTGTTCATTTGTAGTTAACCGTGTGAACTGACTTGTGATTTATATCTTGTGACTGACTCCGTTACACCTCTTTAAAAGCCTCAAGATTTTTTCTTCAAAATCACCGAAATGTAGATTTTCCTAAATATTTGCCCGTCTTTGACGAGTAAAAGCTGCCAAATAATGCCGCCCTTTAAATATTGGAGATGACAATGTTGCAAATGATAAATAGGTTTTATTTCGTATTTCGAGACACAGTCCAGTATTGCACGCAGTGAGCGTATGGCCTGGTGTCGGATTCGACTCGTTTGAAGCATAACTGGCCTTTTCTTTGACAATATTACCAAATCAGCTGAAGAACAGTAATGTTCTTAATTATTTTGGTTTTGGCATATTAAGATATTATTATCAACTCTTTGGACAGTTGCTGTTTGATTTCTGTGCATTCTATTTAATGCCCTATTTGCCTTATAGGTATAGCCAATAGAAAACGTAATCTGGTCTTATTTCAATTTTCTTTTTATATACATGTAAATATATAAAACATGTTTTGTTTTCAATCTGTATTTTTTCTTTTCTTTTTAATGCAGATTCCCCTTGATTATTGAGTTCTTATGCACTTGACCGATTATGTATTACATGTATTATATTTTACCTATAACTTTTAAAGCATGCGCACAAATTAAATATACACGACTGCACAAATACCAGAAACAAAACGAAAGAAAACATTTCAAATCTTTATTAGCAGACACTACAATTTTTGTTATTTTTTTGTTTATACACAATTTTGTTTTATAAAAGCGGAAGTAACATATTCTCAAGTGATCTAGTTTTCTGTTGTGATTTGTTTCTCCTGAAAGTTGACATTATAAGCAGATTGAATTATTGATTTCTAATCAAAGCACTATTGGAATAAAAACTATACATGCATTCGGTAATATTATTTGTTATTGATGAACAGCATCCGCTAGCTTCCCTATTATTGATATTGACCCAAGTGAGATTTTTTAAAAACTTTCCTGCATAATTCCATTCGCAGTGTCAGTATAAAATTACAAATTTATTCTACAATTGAAAGCATATTCTTGTCCCCAAAATTCTCTTAGCTGAACCCCCTTTCACCCTATTAAGTTTTGAATTTTATAATTGTTTTTCAAGATCCTTTATTTGCCAAATGGTAAGCTTACTAAATACATTTGTAACAATGTCAAAAGAATCAAATAAGATCATAACCTTCACAAAATCTTCCAACAGAAATACCATTTCTCAGCCGTTTATCAAAATGTCATTCTACATAATAAACCAATACACTTTCAATTGCAAACAACTTCCCCTCAAGCGGAATAATCCTGCGGACGAATGTCGAGCACAAACTGCCACGGAAGATATAAATATTTCATCCGCTGTATAAATAATAAATAATTTTGCCAGTTAACGGCCAGTGTCAGTATTCTGTTAAATAAAGTGAAGGGGCTTTGGGTGGGAGTTTTTGGTAAGATTAGGTGGTAAAGAGCGTCATTTATACCGTGGCGAACACCACAAAAGCACAGCTAATTCGACCAAATTGAATAGGAGATGAATTTTTCATTTTTTTTTTTACTTTTTACACCGTAGCCTAACCTACTGTTGAAAGATCTTAGTTGTTTATGCTTATTTGTGTTCTAGATGTCGTTACTTCAACAAAGGGGAAAATTATATACTTTCAAAACTATACTCTCGGAAGGATCTTTGATTCAAATTTCAATGAAGGACATGGTAGCCAATACAAATTCTTCCAATATTATTTAAAAACATGATTGTTTGTTGAAGTGTCCCGTGATTGTATTTTGAAGCATAACATTTGGACTTTAAAAAATTTACAGGATAAAGTAAGGAGTTTTGAATTGCTAAAACCGTCCCGGGTCCACAATTGAAAAAGAAGAGAAAGTAGAGACATTAATTTCAGTTCTTAATTGGAAAGAGTGACAATAGAATTTATGGGTTCAATTGGGTCGAGTGAAAAAAAAATAGTTTGAGGTTTTAATTGCAAATCGTAAATATAGAAATGGAACGTGTCAAAAGATAATCTAAGTTCTATATTGAATATGATTAAACTTTACAAAGACTTGAAAATATTTTAAGTTCGTAATAGGTCAAAAGAGAACTTGATTGTTCAAGTTCTTGATAGGAATGAGTAGGAAGATAATTGAAGTTCCAAATTGGAAAGTTGAATTTTTTTTAAAGGAAATTAAATTCTTATTTGGAAAGAGTAGCAAAGAACTTAAATTCTATATCTATAAATATATATCTATCTTCGTAATAAAAATGAGTACAAAAATTATTTCAGTTCTCAATTGGAGAGATTTAAGATAATTCAAGCTCTAAATATGTGAAAAGAGTGACAAAAATACTTTAAGTTCTTGTTACAAAAGAGTAACAAGAGAACTTAAATCTAAATAGGAAGGAGTAAATAAGAGAGTTATTCCTTCATAGGAATACACACACAAAAAACATTTTTATAGCGTAAAGAGCATTTAAGATTTTCATTAGAAAAAAAGTAACAGAAAACATCAGGTCTTTTCTGGGAAAAAAAGAAGTAAATAGAAAAGAATTTCAGTTTTTGATAGCAGAGAGTAAAAATATAGTTCTCAATTAATTAGAGATTCATTTAAGTTCTCATTTGGAAATAGTGAAAAAATAGATTTGAAGCTTCATTTGGAAATAGTAAACAGATTTCAGTTTGTTTTTGAAAAGTAAAAAGAGGTTGAAGCTCTCTCTGAGACAAAAGTAGAAAAAAATATAGACATGTAAAAAAAATTCAGAACAGGAAACTGATACTTAGCAAAGTATTGTTAACTCAACAAATCTACACAGAAAATTTAGAAAATTTATTTAGTTAAGTTCTCATTTGGAAATAGTAAAAAAATAGATTGGAAGTTTTTATTTGGAAATATTAAAAAGATTTAAGTTCTTTTTTTGAAAAATAAAAAAAGAAGTTTAAGTTCTTTCTGAGACAGAGTATAAAAATATATTAAATTGGTAAAAGAAATGAGTAAAAAGATCATTTCAGTTCTCAATTGGAGAGATTAAAAAGGTAATTCAAGTTCTAAATATATGACAAGAGTAAAAAAAGAATTTAAGTTCTTATTACAAAAGAGTAACAAGATAACTTAAATCTAAAAAGGAAAGAGTAAAAAAGAGAATTATTCCTTCATAGCAATATATAAAAAAATAATTTAATAGCAAATAGGGGATTTAGGATTTTCATTCGAAAAAGGGTTACAGAAGATATCAGGTCTAATCTGAAAAAAAATGGGAAAAGAAGAGAATTTTAGTTTTTAATATGAAAGAGTATAATGAGTTCTCAACTGAATAGATATTTAGTTGAGTTCTCATTTGAAAATAGTGAAAAAATAGATTGGATTTTTTTTTTTTGGAAATAGTAAAAAGATTTAAGTTATTTTTTGAAAAAGTAAAAAAAGAAGTTTAAGTTCTTTCTGAGACAGAGTATAAAAATATATATTAAATTGGTAAAAGAAATGAGTAAAAAGATCATTTCAGTTCTCAATTGGAGAGATTAAAAAGGTAATTCAAGTTCTAAATATATGACAAGAGTAAAAAAAGAATTTAAGTTCTTATTACAAAAGAGTAACAAGATAACTTAAATCTAAATAGGAAAGAGTAAAAAAGAGAATTATTCCTTCATAGCAATACATAAAAAATAATTTAATAGCAAATAGGGGATTTAGGATTTTCATTCGAAAAAGGGTTACAGAAGATATCAGGTCTAATCTGAAAAAAAAATGAGAAAAGAAGAGAATTTTAGTTTTTAATATGAAAGAGTATAATGAGTTCTCAACTGAATAGATATTTAGTTAAGTTCTCATTTGGAAATAGTAAAAAAACAGATGGGAATTTTTTATTTGGAAATAGTAAAAATATTTAAGTTCTTTTTTGAAAAAGTAAAAAAAGAAGTTTAAGTTCTTTCTGAGACAGAGTACAAAAATATATATCAAATTCGAAAAAGAAATGAGTATAAAAGATCATTTCAGTTCTCAATTGGAGAGATAAAAAATCCATTTCACGTCATAAATATATGGAAAGAGTAAAAAAAATATTTAAGTTCTTATTACAAAAGAGTAACAAGAGAACTTAATTCTAAATAGGAAAGAGTAAAAAGAGAAGATTCCTTCATACAAAAAATTAATAGCAATTAGAGCATCTAAGTTTTTCATTGAAAAAGAATACCAGAGAAAAAACAGTTCTCATCTGGAACAAAAGAAGTAAAAAGAAGAGAATTTTAGTTCTAAATCGGAAAGGGTATAAAATATAAAAATAGAAAGGGTATAAAAATAATTTAATAGCAAATAGGGCATTTAAGATTTTCATTCGAAAAATATTAACAGAAGATATCAGGTCTAATCTGAAAAATACAGAAGTGAAAAGAAGAGAATTTCAGTTCCTAATATGAAAGAGTATAATGAGAAGTTCTCAATTGAATAGACATTTAGTTAAGTTCTCATTTGAAAAAAGTAAAAAAAAAATAGATTGGAAGTTTTTATTCGGAAATAGTAAAAAACGATTTAAGTTTTTTTTATTAAAAAAGTAAAAAAAGAAGTTTAAGTTTTTTCCGAGAGAGTACAAAAATATATATAAAATTCGAAAAAGAAATGAGTAAAAAGATCATTTCAATTTTCAATTTGAGAGATTAAAAAGGTAATTCAATTAAGTTCTAAATATATGGAAAGAGTAAAAAAAGAATTTAAGTTCTTATTTTGTAAGAGTAACAAGAGAACTTAAATCTAAATAGGAAAGAGTAAAAAGAGAATATTCCTTCATAGGAATACATACAAAAAATTAATAGCAATTAGAGCATCTAAGTTTTTCATTGAAAAAGAATACCAGAGAAAAACAGTTCTCATCTGGAACAAAAGAAGTAAAAAGAAGAAAATTTTAGTTCTAAATCAGAAAGGGTATAAAATATAAGTTCTCAATTGCATAGAGAGTTTATGTTCCTATTCGCAAACAGTAAAAAAAAATAGATTGGAAGTTCTTATTTGGAAATAGTAAAAAGATTTAAGTTCTTTTTTGAAAAAGTAAAAAAAGAAGTTTAAGTTCTTTCCGAGACAGAGTACAAAAATATATATCAAATTCGAAAAAGAAATGAGTAAAAAGATCATTTCAATTTTAAATTTGAGAGATTAAAAATGTAATTCAAGCTCTAAATATATGACAGGAGTAAAAAAAAGAATTTAAGTTCTCATTACAAAAGAGTAACAAGATAACTTAAATCTAAATAGGAAAGAGTAAAAAAGAGAATTATTCCTTCATAGCAATACATAAAAAAAATAATTTACTGGCAAATAGGGGATTTAGGATTTTTATTCGAAAAAGAGTTACAGAAGATATCAGGTCTAATCTGAAAATAAAATGGGAAAGGAAGAGAATTTTAGTTCCTAATATGAAAGAGTATAATGAAAAGTTCTCAATTGAAAAGATATTTAGTTACGTTCTCATTTGGAAATAGTAAAAAAATAGATTGGAAGTTTTTATTTGGAAATAGTAAAAATATTTAAGTTCTTTTTTGAAAAAGTAAAAAAAAAAGTTTAAGTTCTTTCTGAGACAGAGTATAAAAATATATATCAAATTCGAAAAAGAAATGAGTAAAAAGATCATTTCAGTTCTCAATTGGAGAGATTAAAAAAGCATTTCACGTTCTAAATATATGGAAAGAGTAAAAAAAATATTTAAGTTTCTTATTACAAAAGAGTAACAAGAAAACTTAAATTTAAATAGGAAAGAGTGAAAAGAGAATTTTCCTTCATAGGAATACATACCAAAAATAATTTAATAGCAAAAAGGGCATTTAAGATTTTCATTCGAAAAAGATTAACAGAAGATATCAGGTTAATCTGAAAAAAAAAAAACAGAAGTGAAAAGAAGAGAATTTCCGTTCTTAATACGAAAGAGTATAATGAGAAGTTCTCAATTGAATAGACATTTAGTTAAGTTCTCATTTGGAAAAAGTAAAAAAAAATAGATTGGAAGTTTTTATTTGGAAATAGTAAAAAGATTTAAGTTCTTTTTTGAAAAAGTAAAAAAAGAAGTTTAAGTTCTTTCTGAGACAGAGTACAAAAATATATATCAAATTCGAAAAAGAAATGAGTAAAAAGATCATTTCAGTTCTCAATTGGAGACATTAAAAATGCATTTCACGTTCTAAATAATGAAAGAGTAAAAAAAAATATTTAAGTTTCTTATTACAAAAGAGTAACAAGAGAACTTAAATTTAAATAGGAAAGAGTAAAAAGAGAATTTTCCTTCATAGGAATACATACAAAAAATAATTTAATAGCAAGAAGGGCATTTAAGATTTTCATTCGAAAAAGATTAACAGAAGATATCAGGTTAATCTGAAAAAAAACAGAAGTGAAAAGAAGAGAATTTCCGTTCTTAATACGAAAGAGTATAATGAGAAGTTCTCAATTGAATAGACATTTAATTAAGTTCTCATTTGGAAAAAGTAAAAAAATATAGATTGGAAGTTTTTATTTGGAAATAGTAAAAAGATTTAAGTTCTTTTTTGAAAAAGTAAAAAAAGAAGTTTAAGTTTTTTCCTAGAGTACAAAAATATATATCAAATTCGAAGAAGAAATGAGTAAAAAGATCATTTCAATTTTCAATTTGAGAGATTAAAAAGGTAATTTAATTAAGTTCTAAATATATGGAAAGAGTAAAAAAAGAATTTAAGTTCTTATTTTGTAAGAGTAACAAGAGAACTTAAGGAAGAGTGAAAAGAGAATATTCCTTCATAGGAATACGTACAAAAATAAATAGCAATTAGAGCATCTAAGTTTTTCATTGAAAAAGAATACCAGAGAAAAAAAGTTCTCATCTGGAGCAAAAGAAGTAAAAAAGAAGAGAATTTTAGTTCTAAATAGGAAATGGTATAAAATGTAAGTTCTCAATAGAGAGTTAATGTTCTTATTCGGAAACAGTAAAAAAAAGATAGATTGGAAGTTCTTATTTGGAAATAGTAAAAAGATTTAAGTTCTTTTTTGATAAAGTAAAAAAGAATTGTATCTATATGGAAAGAGTGAAAATAGAATTTAAGTTCTATTTGGAAAAGAGTGAAAATAGAACTAAAGTTCCATTGAAAGCGTAAAAAATAATTGGGGCTCTCAATTGAATAGAGTAAAAAGGTAAAGTTTACAATGTTGTTTCCGATTTCTCATTTCAAAAATATAAAAATCTACTCTTTCCGTGTTAGTTTTACATTTCTGTTTGTTTTTTTAGGACGACAACATGGACTGTACATAGGTTAAAACAGAACTGCTGTCACCAAAAGTATAAACAAATGTAACTGTATAAAAGTGGGTTTTTATGGAGCCATTGATGGTGGTGCGGTGGTGATGTCGGCCATGGCCTTAATTAAAAATGCTGATGACATTAAGAGTAATTTTAGTCGACACTAAACTCAAGTCGACATGTTCACTTTGCTCCAGAGAAATATCTAACGCCTTCTTGAAATTGGGAGTGAAGACTTTTCTGTGAAACCAACGGGGCTCATTTTTTCCCTTCATGATCGTTGTGTAATGTCAAGATCCTCAAAATATCAGACTGATTACAATAACGTGTTCTTTACCAAAAAGCGAGCTAGGGTAAACTCAACGCACTCCTTTTCCCTCGCAAAAATGGACCGCAACTAAATTCGCCCATGACAGGGAGAAGATATACGGCCAAGGCGAAAGAAACTGAGTGTCACTCATGTAACATGTTATACCCAAGAACACTTTGTCGGTAGAAATATCATGTTGGTACTTCTTTGAGAATCCAGAAACCTAGCCGCTCTCTATGGCAAGTTTTAGCTCACGTGGTCAGGTTCTACGAAAGTCTTTGAATGTACAAAAAGAAATTGTTCATCTGCGCGTAAATCATATTTGAAAATCACGAAATTTTTTGAATATCAGACACGAAGAGAAGAGGAAAAGGTCCGAAAATAGATAATTGAAGGTAACGAAGTAATAGCTATGAAATAACAAAATATTGAGGTAAGGAAAACAGGTCAAGTTTAGAAAATACGGATTTAAAGAGAATCCACCACTTCCATCACATTGAACATTCACCACAATCCTTATCTTTTCAAATGATCCTCACTATTCTTAACACTTGTTCTCTTATCATTCAACATCATCTGTAATCATTCATCAACATCCTTGATCGTCTATTTTCATCTGTAATCATCCATTACCACCACTGATCATCCACTGTCGTCCTTGACTATCCTCATTCAGTATTCAATCATCCTCTATCCTCCATCTACATCCTTGATCATTCATTATACCACCATGCCCACTCATCCATCACCACCCTTAGTCATTCGTTATTCTCCCCAATCATCCATCACTATCCCTAATCACCCTTCACCATCCTTGATCATCTATGATTTTTCTTGGTCGTCCATTATCATCCCTGGTCATCCATTATCATCTCTATACCTTTCCTTCAAAGTCCCTGATCATCCATCACCATCCTTAATCATCACTAACCATCCCTAATCATCTACCACCATGCCTAATCATCCATCACCATCCTTGATCATTCCTGGTCATCCATTATCATCCCAAATCATTCCTCAAAATCCCTGATCCTCTATCACAATCCTTGGTCATCCATTTTCATTCCTAATCATCTACCACCATGCCTAATCATCGGTCAACACTCTCACTGCCTGGTCATCCATTATCATCCATAATCATTCCTCAAACTCCCGATCATAATCCCTGATACATTCCTCACCATCCTTAACCATCCAAAATCATCCATCGTCATCCTTGATCATTCATTTTCATCCCTGATCATCCCTAACCATCCGTAACCATCCTTTATCATCCCTTAACATTCTTGACCTTCAATATCCAAATTTTTAATCATCCATTATCATCCTTGATCAGCCCTCGTCATCCCCATTATTTATCATCATCCCTTTAATCCATCATCATCTTTCACCATCCCTCATTAAATTACCATACCAGCGTACCATCTCTCTCTCTTTCTTTTCTAAAAATATCATCTTTTAAAAATAGTGTCCTAAGAAGACGATAGGCCCATCACCACCAGCAGCACAAGTGGCTATACCGAAAAACTACCGGGGATCCGTGTGTAGTCATACGAAAAGGCAAACTAATGACATTAAAGTGCATACAAATGGTATGCTAATCGCTGATATGGAACAGAAATGGAATTTTACGAGGGAACTAGAGGTATTAGACCCGGGATCAGGCTAAATGAGATTTACAGATGCAGAGAATAAAAGACAGAATTGAAAAAAAGGGACGAATGAATTCAATGCAATGCTTTCAAATGTGTTGTTTGACATCTTTTGGGATATATTGCTAAGGAAAAAAATAACCATGTGCATCGAAGTTTTGTTTGTTGCTGTTTGGAAAGTCGACATGATCTTGTACAACGGTACACATGTCTAAGGAAGGCCTATGTTATCAAATTGCCCAAAACTGAGAAACAGAAGCAAACAATCACGGCTATGGGGAAAAGAAAAATTCTGAATCTGTAGTTTTGCAGTTTAACCCAGAGCCCTTTCACCTCTATACAAAATATCAGACACTTTTTAGTTCTCCATCGCCGTTTATAGCAAAATATTTACATAGAATGACAGCCACCTGCATTCTAAACTACTTTCCTTTTCTCTCGCATTGCTGACCCAGTTCAGTTCCTCTTAACATTCCAGTTTCTTCCGGAGAGAGAAGGCGCGATATCTGAGTGCGAGAAAAAAAATCATTGTATCAACTTCAGACTGGAAGAGGACAAAGGCACACGCTATTTCGATCGATACAGGCTACGTGAGGGAATTCAAAGTGGGCGGGGCTATTTTACTGCTATTGTGTACGTGTTATCCAGGTGATACTCAGTGTGCTGACGCTGAGGGCGAGTTGAATTTGGGTGTTTAGTTTCGGTCTTCGAAGGGAGAAGATTGTTGTTTGAAAATGTCTCAGAACTATGGTTTTTAACAATGTGGAGAGTTTCAGAAAAGAGATTGGAATAAAATAGAATGGAATGCTTCATCGTGCTTTGTCCCATGGGAAAGCTATCACAACGGTAGGAAGAACATAATTTTAAGTCTTGTTTGCACGTTAGTTTTAGACGCTTATTTTACTTGTATTGTTTGTATTCAGCATAACAGACATTATGAACCTACCTTAAGTGCATCACGTGTGTGCCGATTAACACGAAGCCAGCAGATATTGCAATAATTGGTGTTCCATCGCATTTGTAGCTACCTATATTTAAATAAAAACATAAGAACAGAAAATATTTTTTCACTTGAAGATGACATTGTTTAAACGACTCTCTGTTAACAGTTCAAGTTCTTTAGTTCGTTTTCTGTTATATTATCGTCCAGGTCGTGGCTCCTGTATAATTAATGTTGTTAAAATGTGGAATGAAAAGGGCAGAAGTCTGACATCTGAAGTGGGACTTATTATGGTAGAACTTACCTCAATTATATTAGTTGGCTTCTTCTCGTGATGTCCATGGTGCTTCTTTCGACAGGTGCTTCTGTACCTTGAGTTTGGTGTTTTTTTATTGATTCTTTGAAACTTTTAATTTTTTTTTTGGGTGGTTTAGATTTTAAATTTTGCTTTAATGTATTTGGCCTCTTAACCCCCCCCCCCCAATTTCGAACAAATGCCGAATGTGTTGAATTTTTGTGTAATGTTTCTCGTGTTTAGCCCCTTCCCAAATCCGAGTTATCCCCTTGTTTGTGTCTACCCTAATTGTGATAGTACATGTAATTATATTCCCCCTCCACCTTGCCATTTAATTTTGCTTTGGAAATGAATCCTTGAAAATGCAGCCAAAACCCCGTTCAAAAAAGCCCTAATGTAAAAAAAGAAATCTAGAAGTAGAAGTCGTATTCGCCCCGACAGACGGAGTCGGGGCGCTCCACAGGGGAGGAGGCGTCGGCCGTACTGCAGTCGGTCTGCTGAGGCTCTGGTTCGGTATGCTCTTCCACGGGAGACTCGCAAACCTAAAAAAAAAAAAAAAAGGATCAACAGAAATGTCTTCTTCGAACCATTGTTACTTTTATTTACCCATGTTGAATAATAGAGGCTAGGTTTTTTTACAAGGTTACATTACGTATTTTGTAGCATATCACAGTACACTATGTGGTACAATATACGCAAAAGCTTAAAATTTGGTGTTGAAATGCGTTTAACTGCAGTACTCTCGATCTCTCAGAATAGTTCAGTGAAATCGTTTTCCATTCTCATGCATTTTCAAAGAAGAGTTTCACACTTAAGACCTGTGTTGTTTTTGTAACTTATACTTTATTTTCTCTAACCCCCTTCGATATCCGAGTGCCATTGATGAAGGGAATTTTTACGTCTGTCCACAGTATCAAACAATCAGCAGATTCCATGAAATGTTTTGACAGCAGACAATTCAATTCAATTTTATTCAGCTGAAATCAACAATATAGACTGCATATAGCAACACAAAGATAAGGAATCAAAGGACTGTTTATTCCGTTTGGGAAATAAGCTTATAGTCCAAACATTTGAGACTCTCACTACCGTATATATGAGAGTCCCAAAACTTAAGGTATTGAAACCATGCAATACAAGAAAACAGACCGGCACGTGAAACAACCAGTCCAACAACCCTTCAGTACTGCATCAATCAACTGTGCCAAAAGAAGCATATGACATGCCTGGTACTGGTCTCTATTTCTATAGAATAATGGCTGTGACAGCCATTTTTCAAATTTTGAAAATTGCTTATTATTCTACCAATATTTTTTTTTAGAGGACAAATCTGCGATGGCCCTGTAGTCAAATATCTTTCTCATGACTCTGACTGTGTGTGCCACATTTCATGCTTGTATCATCAAAGGCACAATGCCATCACCTATCTTCCGTACTGTGTGACTTAACATGTGAACAATGAAAATGACTTATGATGTTGTTATAGGACCGGTGCAGTGTTAAATTTGGAATCTATGTGAAATATACATTTACGGGACCCTTGGTTGTGTTGCGCATAAGTGAAGATATTTAGAACAGTGATAGGTCACGTGTGAGGGTAAGAATCCCAAAGACCAGCTTTTCATAGAAGTCCAAATTCCATGTGACACCAGACTTGAATCGACAACGGTAGCCTACTGACTTTTGATGTATTGATGTTACCTTGTGCAGTTTACGGCCAAACTTGGTTAGTGGACGGCTCTGTTCGTGCTGCATGAACGCGTCCAGGCAAGACTGGGCGGCGGTTGGCTTCCTGGCCTTGGCCCGGGCCCTGTTGCCGTGATTACGGACGGAACTCAGGTGAGTCTCCTGCAAAATTACAATCAGAGATGAGAAATTAGACTTGAAAGCTTGTTTTCGGGATCAACTACTTTTTTGTAGTATATGGATTGTATCTCTTTTGTAGGATGTGTATGGTTCAGGGCACAATCGATATGCAGCGAGGAAGTGGTTATAGTGACCATGTTTTATGTCGGTCTTCCTGTGGAGAATTGTCACAGACGTTTTATGCATTTACAAATAACAAAATGGTGTACCTATGCAAGAATTACTTTAATCGTAAATTTTCTACACGGTTTGTAATGTACCATCGTATTGAATGTTGGCATCGATAAAAATATTAACCGCTTAAAACTAAATCGATATTGAGGAATCTTTGCTTCAAACCATGATTGTAATTTTACCAAATTTATAAAGCATTTTTCCCAACAAAATTGGCTGACCTAAATGAAGTGAAAAAATTATTCCCCCCCCCCAAAAAAAATACCCCACATGTTTAATTCTACCAAACGGTGCAATCTGTCAAAGATGCAAAATTGTGCATCCTGGCACAATTTGATTTGACCACAAAGTTCGCTTTACCGCCCTCTGTCGTTCGATATTGAATTGAACTTACCAGATGCATTCTCTGAGCTCTCCTGACGTCATCCTGCAGTTGCTTGTCCCGAAAGTTGTTCTCCAGGACGGCGCGGCTGAGGCATGACGGGAGCGGCCTGGTGGCGTTCTTGCCGTAGAGGGCGAGCTCCAGCTGAATGCCGCCGCGCGATGGAGGGCGCTCTCTCCAGGCCTTCTTGACCGGCAAGTGGGAGGGCAGGGGGCTTGCAGAGCGGCTGGCAAAGTACTGAATAGCTGTCACTGTTGATGGATGTAAAACAAAAACATCGTCATTATACACATTCTTATAACCACTTATTATGTACATATATACACGTACTTATAACCACTTATGGTGTACATATATACACGTACTGATAACCACTTATGGTTGTATGTACAGAAGCTTCTATAAAATATGTATGAACGCAATAAATTAATGCCCGAAGCGAGAAAACCAACACAGGTGTCCAAACACACCTTCAGGAACTACAACAAATTGAGGTGTCAAAAAAAGGTGACGAGTTGAGTTATAATTGAGAACGGAATTTCTTTGGCTTACTCTTTGCGGGGTCTGCTTCCAGGTCGATGATCCCAACGTCCTCGGCCTCTTTGCCGGGCTGTGATTGGTCCAGATAGTCGGTTGTCTCGGGCTGCTCGTCGAGGGCGGTCGCAACCGGGTCTGCGATGTCATCCTCAACATCCGGGGCATCCAGTGGCTCGTTGGTTGGTTTGTTGAAGTCGGTCCTTGAACAACAAAAATGTAAATGGCATTTCTTTCAATTAATTGTGAAGATTGGAACATTTAATTAAAATAAACTCATAGATGTCTGCATGATTACCATGAAATTACACCCGCCCTTCCCTTAACTGTAGGCCCTTTTGGCTAAGAACCGTCCTCAATCCTGGAAAATCCTCCAATTACCTTCATTTATAATTGGATTCAGCCTCAATCCTCTAAAACCAACAGTTATTTCTTGAATTTGTTCAATGGGAGGGTGACCACTGCCTCAATCAATACTTCAATCACAAAATACGTTGAGACAGTGCCAATGGTATCATGGAGCAGTGTGGATAGTATCCACAAATTGACGACCACGATTATGCTGGGATGAACATAAACATTGCAGGGTACGGCCTACGATCTCGATCATGATAATACATACTCCAAAATCTGACAAGCTTTTTTTGCCATTCAGCCTCAATCCTCCAAAAACCTCCAAAACCACCTGCTGACATTGAAGGATTCAGGAGGGTTAAGTTGTGAACCATTGAAATTATAATTATTAATGCAGAGATTTTACATTTAGGTCTGTGCCAGTAAATAGGCTGTCATTGTTACAGTGAAGCTTTAAATCCAGATCCTGCCATAGGCCGTGATAGCTACAATGAGATCTAGAATAATTGTTTGCATTTTACTTGTGTGTTGTACATCATTCTTCATGTGGCTCTGTCAAAATGCTTTCCTCTGGTAATGATTAAAATCTCCCATGTGACGTGCATATGCTGAGAATATCAATCTCCGACATGGCATATCACTGGAAGAATTTCAAGTTGTCTTTCTGCATTACGGCTTTAAATCCTGATGCAACCTGGAACCATGTCAACCATCGTGTGATACAGAACATCCTTTTTGTTTGTACTTCAAATGTTGTAAATCATTCTACATGTGCTTATGTAAAATATGACTTCCTCTGATAAAAAATCAAATCTCCCATGTGATTTGTATAGGCAGAGAATATCAATCTCCGACATCATAATATTGTATCACTGGCAGAAGTTCAAGTTGTCTTTCTGCATTACGGCTTTAAATCCTGATGCAACCTGGAACCATGTTAGCTATAAATGTGATATAGAACATCCTTTTCGTTTGTACTTCAAAAGTTGTAAATCATTCTACATGTGGTTCTGTACCGCTGGTAATAAATCAAATCTCCCATGTGATGTGCATTATGCAGAGAATATCAATCTCCGACATGATATATCACTGGCTGAATGTCAAGTTGTCTTTCTGCATTACGGCTTTAAATCCTGATGCCGCCATGAAATATGTTTAGCTACGGTTTGTTCTTAAAGAAGTCTGGTTTAGTATTTCAAAAGGTGTAAATCATTCTACATTTGGTTCTGTAAAATATGATTTCCTCTGGTAATAATTCAAATCTCACATGTGATATGCATATGCAGAGAATGTCAATCTTTGACGCAATAATGTGGCCGAATTTCAAGTGTTCTCTCTACATGCCTTCAAGATAGACCGTTAGTGCGGAGTATAGGTTTTCCCGGCCGATTTCACCAAGTTTTTTTTATTCAATTTAACGCCTGGCTCATTCAATTTGGATTGGAATTGAAAGATCGCGCAGATCGCCATTCAACAATCAAAAAGAATAATTCAGTGTCACTATCCTATCGGCTGTTGGCTTCACCTGTCCCTGAAGATGCATTCAAATTAAAAGAATCGTGTTGTTCATTCAATTTCGTCTGAACCAACAGTGCGGGGTTGATCGGGCATTCATTTTTTATTGATGGGCAAACATATTTCACATTCTGGCAATCATCTTTTAAGACTCGCTGCGTGTCCGTATTCCTATACAATGCTGAATTATCTCATCGTAAATCATATCTGATATCTTCAATCCGCATGATGCTCATCTCCCTTTCTTAATTAAAGGGTCCGTGCAATGAATCATTCCTAGCAACACTCCTCTTAAATGTATCAAAACTATAATAGTTGACATAATTTTTTTGGTTAATTTTATTGCAAAGTACACTTCTTTAAAGCCTTTAAAGTTTGGTATGCTCATTGAAAACATTAATGTGAGAAAGGGTTTCATTGGCTTACTGCCAAAACTGAATCACCAAAGAAAGAAATTTAAGGCAGCAAAATGTCCAAAATTCTAGCAATAGCCGTGTAACATTGAGTTTTTTGGCCCGGAAAAACATCACAGTTTTGCTCATGAATTTGGAAGTTTGCATTAGCATAATAAAAGCCGAGAAGGCACCGAAAATACCCTTCAAAATGACAAATAAAACTTGAAACTAAGGTTCAATGGGACCCAAATGTTGCATTAAAAAACAATTACTTTGCATGGGCCCTTTATTTAGACAGACATAAGCAGGAACGTCTTCGTCAGACGGAAGCGGCCAAAGAAAACATTTTAGAAACCTTAAGGTTACCAAGTGAATTGTTCCCGATGGCCCAACCATAACAAAACATACGTTCCCCGATGTCTTGCACGTCAAAAGATCGATTGGTGAATCAGCGATGAATAAAAAAAAACCTTACAAAATGCAGAACGAAAGTAACAGTCAACAAAGTTAAAAGATTAATAGCATATCGAAGCACAGATAAAACGTACCTCCTAGAAATAGGGGGAAATGTATCTTTTAAAAAATCTTATTAATTTGAATGACCAAACGCTGAAAATGATTGCCCATAAACGAATAAGAAACGAAAAGCATGGTAATAGGCCATGTATGCACCGACGTTTGCTAATTTTAATGCATCAACCTTCAAAAGATGTCAAAAACTTAATTTCAGAATGCTTACAATTAAGTTTTGAGTGCATGCACCAAAACGAAATTATAAACACTTCACGCGAAAGCGACTGCGAAGCGAAATTCGTGACGTCAACAATACATTCGAAGCGCGCCCACCATTGTTTATGACGACATGAACTTCGCTTCGCCATTGCTTTTGCGTGAAGTATGAACCATCAGGCTTTTGTACTGTTTGAAATTATACTTCTACTGTGTCCTTATAGGCCGTAATTTGACTGCCATTAACCTTGTATAGAATTCCACTGAATTGTATTGAGAAAGAACGGGTCCCTACCTCTCAACCTGTTCTTCCTGATAAGGGATGACCCCGATAGGTACCACCTTGTTGGACACGCCGCATGCCGGCAGCACAACCCTACTGAGCACCCGACGCCAACTCGGGCGGTGCATCTTGCCTCGCACCCACGCCCGCTGGCGAGAGTCCGCGGGCTCTGGTCCAACTTTAGTATTCGTACAACCCATTTTCGGATGACGAATGTCTCTATTCTCAGTTTTCTGACGAAATTTTGCGCAAAATATCACGAGGTAAAGCACTCTCAATGTTCACTCTCTCGATCGCTACAGTTTTCTGCCTGTTTCTGAGTTCTCGTAAACAAAACTTTTTAATGTATTCATTCGATGACGTCACAGTTGTTGCCAAAGAAGTTCATTTTGTAATTTTTTTAAACTGTGACGTCAGCACGGAACTACTTCACAAGCCGAACATCTTGAACCGATACGCCATTATTTTTCATTATTTTATTGGAAATTATATTTTGGCGGGATTTTATTTAGACGTACGCATTTCGTGAAAACCAACCTATTGGCTCAGTATCTGAAAGAGAGTTGACGATAAGATTCAAATACTATTTTTCCTTCCACCAAATAAACAGCGCGGAGTATGACTGCGCGTTATACGCGCTGAAAACGTCACAGTTTGAACGCGCGCGTGCAATCCAAAACGCACGCGCATAAGGCATGCGCGCGCTGTTGTGGTTCTGCATTCAAATGCGCTGAATATTCATAACATGTTTCCCATTCCGTTCGCACACGTTTATTCAAGTTCAAACTATCCAAAGTACGAATTGGTAAAGTTTTCTCAAGAATTAATATATGATAATCATGTTTATCGGAAGTATTTCATCTATTTAATATAAATGAATTCATTTAAGTCGTCAAACGACCCAGGAAAAGTACCGATTCGATTAAAGGACTACATTAACCGTTTTTCAAGTCCTCTATTTAACTAGCTTTATTCTTCCCAATAATGAATAATTCCTTGAATCTCTAATGTATACATTTTCATAAACCGCGGGAAAGACTCGTAAATGTTATCAAAACAGAAGGTTCCTAATAATATAGCTTGTCTTACATCTCAAGGATGAACGAACTTGTATAATAAGCGAAAGATACAAGAAACGAAACTGCAGTCCGTTGTTGCTAATTGAAAGAAAAGTGAAACAGCTAATCTTTCATTGAAATTGACTGGCGTCGTGTTTAAAAAAGAAGAAGATGCCACCCGTGCCATGCTCGAAAGGCAGGGACAGAAATTAAGACGTCGTCTGCTAAACGAATCTTATTTGTGGCTAATTGAAACCAGCGCACAGTTTTATCAAGGATGTGGGAGTGTTTCTGCCGTTGTGAAAGCTAGTCGGAGCGGCCGGATCAATTAGGCCTAACCGCCCCGTAATTTGCCAGAAAGGACGAGGGAAATTAGCGGAGGGATAGGGTAATCCAACCGCTTCCACTTTGTTGCTTATTAATTATCGTTCCGCTTCTGATAAAAAGAGTCTTTTCGCTCTCGGGCCCTGTTTCACTTCATCAACCTTGAATTTGAGTGGTCCCACCGGTACGTGTCTGCATCGGCTTCCTCTCAGTGTTTTCAAACTCTGTTCGACTGTTTTCCAAGAAGCGATTCAAGAGGGGCAATGTGCAATCGGTAGTCTATGTAATAGACCATGGCGAATGGTCTATGATATTTGAGCAGATTCGCTGGTTAATTATGCAAGACAACCGCCTCTTGACCTCTAGATTTTGACCAGTCAGCGGGCGCGTTCTATATCGGATCTTCGGTCATTCACTCGTTGTCGCGTCATAAAAATCCTTGACACACACATCGGCTGTGGCCGTTTTCTTATGTTACGCGATACGCGCAAGCTTGTCTAGGTTTGATCGATCTATATGCAGGCTCATCACAAAAAAAAATGCATTGGAATTGACCAATCAAACAGTTAGTCCTGATTTGGGAGTGAAATGACGTAACGATTCAGTAAAGTCGACTCCGATTGGCTGAGGCGCCGATCGCATAAATCTGCATGCTTAGATAATTTTATATCAGACATTATACAGGAGACTGGGCTCCGTGGATAACGGGTGATACTCAGACTATGCAATTGACGGCTCAGCACAGACATTTGCAGTTCATGTTATGTGTACTGCCTGAGAGTGGTTCTCATTTTAGCTCATGAAAAAAGCCAAACAATGTTTTCTGCTTAGAAGCTCAATATAAACAAGCCCCATCATACATCTTCCGGCCTGCTTGTGCTATTTTGTCTAATGTTTCTCGATGGGACTGAACACGTCAGGAATTAATTACCTGTCTTCTGCACAGAGCCAAGGTCAGGTGGGCTTTAGCACCAATGTTTTCAAATTTGCTAGATTGTTTTTCCGGGAGCAGTTCAAGATGTGCTATCTTAAACTGAAACTCTTTCCATGATGTGTTCCGTATTGTCTCCCTCTCTTCTGCTGAAGCATAACATTATGATGTCTTCTGATATTCTGATTCGGCCCGGGCGTGTACTTGAAGCATTACGACATCTGCATGTGGCATCGTTTGTCTCAGACTGGGCCATCTGTTCGTTACATTTTGTTTTGCTGCCTTAACTCGACAACTATAGTACAACGTGGCGGTCACTGTGTGAAACAATTTATCAGGGAGTTGTTTGTAATCACAAGGTCTCTGTTAAGACCTTATATTTGATTTCTGTTCCTTTTTGGAAACCACTTTGAAAACCGCTCGTGCGTAGTGAATTATATATTGCATTTCACAGTATACGGCTATTGTCAGTAATTGATTTTGTATAGCTTTAGAGTGTTATATTAATAACTGCTACTGACGAGTAGCCATATTGTGCTCTTATATCACTGAAATCAACCTCGTCCCCGAGAAATACTTTAATTTCAACCTCCAATAGTAACCCCATGGATCGGAAACGTTCTTCCTGTTTCCTGATTACAGTAATGGATTTTTATCGAGTAGTTGGTGTTTTAATTCCAACGTGTATTACGTAATAACGTTCGCTGTGAATTATTATGTCTACTCCACCTCACACACAATCATCGCTTTTTCATTTCGCTTGTATTAATATGAAATGTGATACTATATTATTGGTTGGATAAGTTTGTAACATTTTTATCTTTGAAAACATTTGTGTTTTCGTAACTCACGCCGCGACGAATTGATTGTTTTTACCCTAGACACAGCATACAAAAACAAACGTTGATGTAAAGCACAGCCAGGCATCAGACTTTTTCTAATTTGCATGTACGTATCCAAAAAATTTGGATACGGAAACGATCCAATGCCAGGGTGAGAGAGCAGGTAGCGTACTGCTCGACACCATGGGAACGAGGTTGCACTCAAATACAAACTACTTTGAATTTCACTAAGGGTAACCTTTATGCGGCAGGAGAATTTGTAAAATTCTTAATATTTTAGTAGCTCAATGTCAAGTCCAAGTATTCGAATATGCGACCAAATCCAAGTTGGAACAATTGACTACTAAATTATCTTAAAATGCTCATGGTAGTTTTCGATCAACCCTAACAATGGGTCATCCCGATGTTGATCTGTCATTGTCTGCACGGCCGTTCCGATGGCCCTCAGATAACAATTCCGTTTAAAGATCTTTATCTCAACATTTTATTATATGCCTGAAAGGGCTATCCATTACTAAGACAATCTTGCTCTTTTTTCTCCATCAGTGACGGTTTCTTGGAATGATATTATCAACCACAAAACCTGATTTGTGCGATAGTCTCAAGGGTTCAGACGGACATGCTTTAATTTGTTGATGTGATGTTTTATAAGACTTTTTTTTACTCAGCCCAAATCCCCACCCAGATAACATTCCCTAATTTGAACAGACGACAGGTGGAAATTTAAGCAAACCATATCCCTCCACATGGTGAAATAGCAATGAAGCAGTTATTCGGTAACCGTTATATTACCAGGTTTAGTACCTAATAACATGGAAACGCTAACGTCAAAACGGCCACCTCCTCACGAGATCGGTGGAAATTGGTCACCGTGTTCTAGTTTTACCTTTTAAATAGGTAGCTTTGTTGGTACAAACGAGCTCCCAAATATCGTTCAGTAGCCAAATTTGACTTCGTGTCCAGTCATTGAGTTGTTATTTACTCTACAAGCGCTGCGCCTAAAGAATTCACCGCAATTACGGAAAAGGTATTATTTTCATTGGCGAGGTAACAAAAGAGCCAGGGTCGTTGAGAGCCAGGGTTTGAATGTACTGCTGATGAAGGAAGGAACTTCACAATTACCCAACCGTGAAATTTGGTGGACACTGCCACAACTGTCTGTAGCGAGTACCAATTAATTTTGACCTGGAACAATATACTGTAATTAAACTTGAACTAGCAAGCGTACATCGCTTGCTACTGAATTGGCTTTTTAATATTGCCGGTGGTTCTCAGAGGAAAGCGGCCAATATTGTTTTCTTCTTTTGACCGGAACAGGTTCTTCAACTCGGAGCAACATCGGATCTAGGTAAGGCCCAAAAAAAAAATAGTTCTGCTTCCGGTTTCCCTACCTACCCTATTCTGACAGCCCCTACCCTAATTTTGTATTGGAAAAATGAGGGGAAAAAACACCCAATTTCTACCTTTTACCCTTGACTACACGCAGACGCCTCCATAGATCGTACACACAAAAAATTGGCAAAACAAAAATATTGCCCTAGTATTTTTTTTGCCTTAAACACGTGCGTGATGCTTCCCCCAATGGTAATACAGACCTTTGTGGTCGGAGCTGGCAACTTCAGATAAATTATGACAGCAATTTCTTTTTCTTCATTTAAAAAATAATAATTTTCAATAGTACTTATTTGCAATTAAAAAATTAATCAAAAGAAAATACATACGAATCTCTGAGTGTTCTAATCAAATGAGTATATTGCGTTATTTAGCGACGTTTTGCGTTATTCAGTGACGTATGAACTGAATTAGTTCGACTGTAGCGGTCTTCGGTTGATGATCCCAACAGTAAATTTTCCTCTCGACCTTTCTCGTCTTGGTTACTCTTAAAGATGTAAGCAACCGGAGCGGTCCATTTGTCATGACCAATCAATATATTCCTCATCCCACCAGACCCTATCTTTTCTAAGGACATATGATTTGTACCACTTGCTCGCCATTCATCACTTGCGAATATTTTGCATTGACGTGTCACAGACACATGTGCCAATTGGGGTGGAGTTACACAATTACGCAGGTTTTCATGTATGGAATGGTCACCGATAGCAAACCGCCCCCCCCCCCCAATTCCTTGGAGGGTACGGTAGGTCTACGCGCGCTGATCCGAACCGA